GTTAAAACTAATTTAGAAGATAATATAAAAATAAATAAAATAGATTTAGTATAAACTACTAAACTATTTTAACTTATTTGCTCTGTTTATTTTATTTAATATATATATATAAATAAGATAATATTATAGGAATATATAGCTGCCTTTCTTTTTTTTTCTCCTCTTTATACTTAAGATTTTGTTAAAATAGCACCAAATTAATAGAATTATGTTGATCTGATTGGCCGTCACAGGTAGAAGATCTTTTATTAAATTTAGTTATATTTTAAATACTTTATAATTTAGATAACTTTGCTTTTAGAAATATCTTTATTTTAACTGTAAATTTTATATTAATATAAATATAAATATTTACTTTAATATCTACTAGGGTTTAGATAAAAACAGCTATTATATTTTTTAAAATTAAAATTTTAATTATAAAACTATTTTTAAAAGATTTTAATAAAGTTTTTAAATTAATATACTATTAATTTATATTTAGTATACCTAAAACAGAGACTTTTTTTAAATAGAGTTTTTTATTAATATATTTTTAAATTTGGCCTTTTTTATTATCTAAATTAAAAATATTTTTTTAAACAGTTATAATTTAAATATTTAGATTTTTTATAGTAGAAGTATTTTTTTAGCTAGTAATATAGTATAGATTTTTTTATTTATATAGGGTCTAAATAGAATTTTAGTTTTATTTTTATTATTTAATAGAGTAATTCTGCTGTTTAGGTTATTTTTTTAGTTTATAAATAAGATTTAATAATAGTATTTTATATTTTTATTAATACTTTTAAAGACTCTGGTATAAATAGTAGTATATTATTTAAAATTAATATTAAACTTATAAAACTTAATAAAGATTAGTTTTTTAAACTTTAAAAATAACTTTTAGTAGAAGTTAAACTTTTAAAAATTTTTAAAAATATCTCTTTTACCAGCCAAATAGTAAAATTAAATATAGAAATTATAAAATTTCTATTTAAATATTATTTTAAAATATATTTATTTTAGTTTAGTATTCTACTTTTAGTTTAGGTTAATATAGATTACAGCTAAATAAAATAAAATATCTACCTTATTTTTAAAAAATTATTTAGTTTTAGTTTTTAGTTTAGAAAGTAGATATTTATAAGTATTACTTTTATAATAACTAGCTATATAAATTTTTTATATAAATAAGTTTTTATAATAGTTAATATTAGCTTTAAGTTTTTACTTAACTACTAGTCTTTAATTTTCAAAAGTAATACTTTTTCTATTATTAAATATTAGAAAATTAGAAAATTTTGTAGTTTTTTTAAAATATAGTATTTTTAATCTGTACTGGTTACTAGGGTTAATATAATATTTTACTTTTACTATATTTTAATTTAAATTATTTTATTTTTTAAAGTATTTTTTTAGCCTTTAGTAGATTAATATTATAAAATAGTACTTTTTAATTAATTTTTAATTAAGTTAATTTTTTTTTTAGTTTATTTATTTTAATCAATAATTTATTAATCTTTTTTTAAACTTACTATAGGTTTTTAATACTAATTTAAAAGTATATACAGAATTTTTTTTATAAAAATTATAAAATTTTTTGGCTGTAATATCTTTACCAGGGGTTTTACTAGTCTTATTTATAAATAAAATTAGTTTTTATATATTTTTTTTTAATAACTTAGTTTTTAATATATTTTATATTATTATAACTGTTCCAGTTTTTTAGTTTTAATACTAATTAATTTAAAATTTAACTTAATTTAAAGTTTAGTTTTTATTTATTAGTTTTATATAGTTTATAAACTATAGTAATAAAATTTTTTTAATTTTAGCTATAGTTTAGTTGTATATAAAAATTTTTAATTCTAAAATTTATATTTTTTTAAATTTATATTTTTTAAAACTAACTGTTATTGCCGTCAGCTTGTATAGAGAAGAGGAAAACTTTTTAATTATAATAAAAATATATATTTTATATATTTAGTTATAAAAAGTTTTAAAAAATAGATATTAAAAAAAATAATATTTAAAATTATATAACAGCTGATTAGATTAATATAATTTTATTAATTTAGTATTATTTTAATAAAATCTTAAGTATAAAAAAAAAAGAAAAAAAAGTAGCTATATATTTCTACAGTATTATCTTATCTATATATATATATTAAACAAAACAAACATAGTAAACAAGTTAAACCAGTTCTGTTTTAGTGGCCTGTACTGGGTCTGTCCTGTTCACCCTCACACTATAGTATTATCTAGGCTTATTTTAGTAAAGTTGGATTATAGACTATTTTTCTTTTATTAATTATTTTAATAATAAATTTTTTTATTAATACAACTATAAATAAAAGTTTATATAAACTAATATTTAGTGTTTTATTACACCAATTCTAGTATCTTATAAAATTAATATTATAGTATATTAAATATTCTACTTTAACTAAAGTTGTTTCTAATATTCTATCTACTAGTTTTAATATTTTTTTATTTTTAGACTTTTTATTTAAATTAAATATTCTGTCTACAGTAAAACTAAAAATATATTTATATATTAAAGTTATTATTTTTAAATATATAGATACTTGTCTTGCCCAGGACTTCTTATACTAATTTAATATTTAAAAAATATTAAAGTTTATATTTATATATATAAAAAAATACTATAATATAAGATATAAACTTATAAAATTTAATATTAGTAATTTTATTTATTTTTACTTATATTATAAATATACTATTCTATCTACTTATAGCCCTAATATTAAAAAAAGTTTACTTAGCAGTATACAGGCCTGTTTACGGTTTTTAAAGTTATTAGTTGCTATATATACTATTTTAAATTACTGTTATTTTAGTTGATTTATCCAGTAATCTTTATTACTTAGTTTAAATCTATATTTAAAGAAAATAATTTTTTTAGCCAAGAGTTGCCCAAGCCCTTTTATATTATTAATAAAAAATTCCCTAGTAAAACCAACTATTAGAAAGTTAAAGTAATTATTAATAGATATATAATATACTATAGCCAATACTATAAGCCTATTTTATAGTATTTAATTTATTAGTCTAGATATGGCTTTAAAAATAATTAGTAGATTAAGGCTACTAATATTACTACTAATAAGTTAATCTAAAAGTATAAATATTATTATTTATAATAAAAATTATATCTGTTGGTTTTAATATTTTAAACTTGTATTTTTATTTTTTAATATTTTTAAAGTTGTACTTTAGTTTATCTAATTAACTGTCTTTTTTTTAATATTTTAAAATTTTTATATTTTTATTTTTTAACTGTTTTTTTTTGTATATTATACCTTTTAATATACTTATCTTTATATCTTTTAAATTATTATTATTTATAATTTTATATATTCTAGATTACCTGTCTCTTATATATTCTGGTGATTTCTGGATAGCTTTGTATTTTTTATATATTCTACTTTTATATATTTTACTATTTTTAATATAAATATTATCTTTAATAATCCGCCATCTGTAGCGGTTTGCTTAGTAGAGATTTTAGTAATATTAATTCCACTGTTATTTTTTATCTTTAGTAATTCTTCTGTGGTTTAATCTTCCGCCGGTTTTATATAAGGAACAACTATTATAATTAATAATATTAATTATATTCACACTTATCTGGCTGCAACTGTCACACCTGTTGCAAAATGACTGTTATTTTTTTTAATTAGAAATCTATTACTCGGCTATTGCCTTTTTTATTAGGGGCCTGTTAAACCTGTGGCTGTTATTTTTTTATTAAGGGCCTATTAATCGGCTGTCGCCTTTTTAATTGTGGGCCTGTCAAACCCGTGGCTGTTGCCTTTTTTATTAGGGGCCTGTTACTCAGCTGTTATCTTCTTAATTAAAGGTCTATTAAACCTGTAGCTGTTATTTTTTTTATTAGGGGCCTATTGCAAGGTGGCTGTTACCTTTTTTATTAAAGGCCTATTACTCGGCTGTCGCCTTTTTTATTAGGGGCCTATTAAATATTAGGGGCCTATTACTTGGCTGTTATCTTTTTAATTAAAAGTTTATTAAATTATGGCTGTTGCCCTTTTTTAGTAATAAGCAGATACCTCTCTATAGTACTAAAAACTAGTACTTAAAGTATGTAGCTTAGGCTGCCCTTTAAAAAAGCTAAATCCTACTTATAGTATTTTGTTATATATTTTAGATAGACCGCTTTTGCAGGTCTACTATATAATAATTAAATAGTAAATATAAATACTTTTCTAATCTCTACTTTTTTTAGCCTTATAAGAAATAATGTTTATTTTTATTTGTAGCAAGCTGCTTCTAATTTACTGCAGATCTTATTTTAAAAAGTTGGATCTTCTATATAATATTTAATAATAAGTATTTATACCTGAGCACAGCTACTTACTTGGCTAAGTATAGTAAGGTATAGCAAAATATAATTATCCTAGTATAGAGTATTTATCTAGACAAGTATATTATACAAAAGCTCTGGTTATTTGGCGCTAGCTTTTATATAACTTACTTATTAACTATATAATAATATTTTAAATGCTAGTAAATTAACTACTGTACAAATTGATGGGTCTCCTGGGATTAGGGCTTAGTGCTGCCGGGTATGAGATCCGGGGAGTTCCGCTGTCCTCTATCCTGCGCTGCACAGTATATTTTCTGCTAAACAATACAGTACCACAATTAATTAAGAAGTTCAGATCGAAGGAGTATTATCATAGGGAAAGAACATTTGGAAGGGAGACCTATGAGTTACTTGTCACCCACATATTGATAATCATTTCTGTAACTTGACAGCTACTAGTAACTCCATCCCACCGGCTCATCTAATACACAGAGCATTCTTTGTAGTCCATCCCACCGGATACCTCTTCCATCCCACCGCTGCTTACTGTTGGATGACGTGATCGAGGACAACCCCTGACAAATGAGAGGGTGTGAGGTGAGAGTGTCCAGTCACCTCGGCTTTTCCCCTCAGGGCCCAAGCCAGCCCCGCCAAGCTGCAAGCCCCTCTTGTTTACAGCACGTACAATAAATATCTCCCAACCCCTCCACCACATCGCAACAATCATAGCACTGTATACTTTTCTCCAGAGAACCAACCATCTCTGGCATCATTACCATTCACCACACATACATCTTCTCAACCTAAGTCAACCAAAATGTCCCCTCCCTCCTTCCGCGAACACATCGGCCTCCCGCCCTCAACCGCCACCCTCCACGACTCCACGCTGATCATCATCGACGCGCAAAACGAATACGCCACCGGCAAGCTGCAAGTGCACGACGCGGCCCACTCCCGCGCCGCCATCGCCGACCTCCTCGCCCGGTACCGCGCCGCCGGCGCCAAGCAGAACATCGTCCACGTTTTGCACCGTACCCCCGCCGGCGCCCCCGTCTTCACCCCCGATACCCCGCTGGCCGAGGAATTCGAGGAGCTCCAGCCCCGCCCCGACGAGAAGGTTATCTTCAAGCACTTCCCCAGCTCCTTTGCGCAGACGGAGCTGCACGAGCACCTTCAGGGCTTGGGGGCTGTCGGGAAGAAGATCGTGCTCGTCGGGTATATGGCGCATGTGTGTGTGTCGACGACGGCTCGGGCCGGGCATGAGCTCGGGTATGAGGTGCTGGTGGTGAAGGAGGCGGTGGGCGATCGGGCGATTCCTGGTGTCGAGGCGGAGACGTTGGTCGATGTCGCGCTGTATGAGATCGGGGATGCTTTTGGGACGGTCCTTAAAGAGGGGAAGGAGATTGGGGAGTGAGAGGGGGTTTATGTCTCCGGAAATGAGTAAAGTTGGGATGTTCAGGGCTGTATTTCAATTTCAATGAATTTGTGAGGAACTGACATGTATAGCTTGATTCTGAATGATAAATTGCTCAGTGCATATCACAGAGTGTAGACAGGCGGGTCGCAGCCAGTAGCTAGCTCGTAGCAAGGTGCTGCTAGCTCTAACAATTGAAATCGATGCAGCTCCTGACCATCTAATCTCCGACCTGCTATTGGCATTGTGCCTTGCCCTGGGCCGTCCGTTACTTCACTGGCATCCAGAAGTCTGACGTGACTCGTGTGTCTCTCATACGGTGGCGGCGGACATGTACCGTACTCCAGCACCTTTTCGCAGATGCTCCCATCCGGTCCTATAACTCGAGGGGTCATATAGATGGATAACGGGATACTGGCTACAATCTGCCCACATTGTCAACTTGATGGCTGCCGCTGTGATCACTCTAGAATAACATACTGTGTCGAATAAACGCCCCTTCCGGTCCCGAAACTCGGCGCGGACCTCAAGAGCGTGCTCGATCGCGATCATCTTCGTCCGCACACTCTGCGAGCACAAGCTTACGCTCCGCGGCAGCGCCACTCGCGAGCTCAGAGCCCACTCCGTGCCGGTGCAGCTGACAGATCCACTTTCCCCGACGGGGGACCGTGTTTCTTTGAACAGCGAGTGGGTTCTCGAAGCGCTAATGGACAGGATATTCAGCGCTGCTTGTGCGGCAGTCGCATTCAATCGGATGTGGTGGCTTTCGACCACTTCTAGTGTCAGGGCGGAGAGGTTGACGTCCTTGCATGGCGCCTGGAACTCCATGTCCACGGAGAATATGGACCCGAAAGGGATGGTGGGGCTGGGGATTGAGATGCAGTATTCAATACTCTGGGCTGATTGGCCCCCGGTCGTCTATATAGGGCTTTATTAGCCTATTCGAGATTTCCACACAGAAAGAGAAATGGGGCGTTACCAGTGGAGATTCCGTAGATAGCGGACATAGCTCTATATCAGGAAGCCTGTAAATGCTTAGGGCTTGCGACACGACTATATCCTTCCAAACTCGGCGCTCAATGATCGCTTCGATTTGGTATGTATGATAGGCGTGATTGGGGCCGACGGATGTCTCAAAGGGATCGCCCGGTATCGGGATGTCGAAAAGGAATTCATAGTTCCCCGCTGGGATATGGAAAGAGGCGTGTATTTTGGACGAGGCGAGCTCTTGTTCTTCCTTGTACGTGATGAGCTCTCGGTTTTCGGTGATCATATCGTTGTTTCGCTTACTTCGGAAGCAAGCGAAGTCAGAAAAGCCTCCGGAATAGAAGGATGTGGGAGATATGTGTTTACATCTTTAACCGTCCTACAAGCCTGACTTTGATCGTTTTGACCCATATGGCTTCAGGCAGGGAAAGGCAAAAACTCCCTGCAGTGGAGGCCATGTCTCCAGCCGTCTGGGATGCTGAAAGAAAGATACATGACTTATCCAGTCTGTTCAAAGGGGTTTGCGGTTAGGGCAGTAGTTCATGGGCTGATGCAGTGCGACCGACATACCTAAGGTCATAACATGCTTTCCCCGTGCGAAACATTACTCAAGCGCGACTGAAGAGAGTATTGATAAGCTTGTCAGACTGATAACTCTCAGTCAGAATGGAAATCTTCGTCCTCTGAATCCCAGTGGGTTGATTTCATTTGTTTTTCTTATATTGTCTGCTGCTGAGCGGACCTGCCTAATTGGTTTCGGAGTCCCGACTTCCACTCATGTAATGATCCCGCCCTACTTTGAAAGTAATTTGAGAAGTAACATGACAGCATTAATATACCTCTGAATTACCTCTGCCTGAATAAACCTATTACTATCAGCGTGACACATAAATGTGAGATTTCATCTCACGCCTTGGAATCCACTGGCTCCCACACCAAGCGCTTAACCATCTACTCTCCATCAGCGCCAACACTGTTGATCACCGAGCCAAACACCTCCAAAGCATGACCAAGATAGTCTTGGACACCTGTGACCCGAGGAGTCATATCACTACCTAGAGGCAGAAGCTTCTCATTTTGATGGCCTTTCCCAACTCCCTCGCCGACAACAACCTCATACAAAGCCTGCATCGCCTTGTCCTTGTCACCGTTGGGTTTGGGCTTTCCATCGATCAGTAGTCTCTGGACCTGTTCCACCACCGTTCCATTATAGTCCCCCAGCAGGAAGAACTTTCCCAGAATCACCGAGTTAAGCATATTAGTGTTGAAAGTCCCCCGAGCACCACCGTCAAAGTGCGGATATTGAACGGAGCGACCTCAGCCAGGACCTTGGTAAGTGCTGACCAGAAACCACAGTCAGACAATTCAATTCGCTAAAGAAGCAAGCCCCTCATGAGTGTGCATTACACTACATACCATCCAATCCCGCCTTTGCGCCCGCGTACACTCCCATGGGAGGGGGTGCCGTCCAGCGAGGCCCCGCTGCTCATGTTGACGATCACGCCCGACTTGCGCTGGCGCATATGGGGCAGCACGGCCCGGATGAGACGCAAGGGGCCGAAGTAGATCGCTTCCATCTGTGCTCGCACCTCCTCCTCGGCGAAGGTCTCGATGGGGGCGTAGACGCAGTAGCCGGCGTTGTTGACCAGAACGTCGATGGGGTCCCCGCGGCGTTCGAGCTCGGTGATGATCTCGCCGCTGTTGCGACTATCCACGTCCAGTTGCACCCATGTTCCGCCTGCAGAGTCGAAGTCAGTGACGAGGTCTGGGGGTCGCGATGACTCGATGTCCGCCAGCTTGGGCGGCGCGGGCCAGCGAGAAGCCGAAGCCGGAGGAGCAGCCGGTTATGAGCCAGGTGAGTTTGGTGGTTGTCATGATGAATCGGGTAGTAATTATGAAGAAAGCAGAACAAGAAGTACAGCAGATTTGTCTGCCCTCAAATATCACGTTCCGGGGATATCGCTGCAGTAAGGCCGTGGGAATAGTTACAGCACTCACTAAATCCGCGGACTTGTCGTACCTATCCCCGGATAGCTTCAAGGTTATTTCAGTCTAGTCAAGATCTTTGATCGCACTCACTCCGCCGTGAGACTCGAATGAGTCAAATCAAGTACTACTGACTGGTACCTCTTATTGAGAGTACTTAGCAATTCGAGTGGGAGTATGTCCCCAAGATTCACATGATTGTCTACCTAGTTATTCCCTGGGCTTATCCTCGCCAATCTCTTTGCGTTGTTGAGGTATATGGGACTTGAACGTGACCATGGAGAATATGTTATCAGCAATAGACACTTTGACCGAGTGGTTAAGGTGCTGGCCTGCTAAGCCAGTGGGTTCGCCCGCGTGAGTTCGAATCTCACAGGTGTCGTTTCTTTTTGTGTTTTTTACACCCCTTCCGAACCCCATCTTTACTCCTACCTATCTTTCCAGCCCGGGTCCCGCTCAATTGCTCACTTCCATCTTCATAATATCTTGCATCAGGATACACCAAAGCTTCACATGTACGGAGCGTACTTGCCAAGGACTAAGTATTTCACGTCTAGACGAAGTAACTAATGCTTAACGTATATCACTGTGCGAATGACTGCAACACAGCCGCCATACACTTATTCCACAATCATTCCAGTTCATGCTGATGCTAAATCCTCTTTTGCGCTGACCCATCACCGCCCCATCGTGAATATTGTCTCACGGAATGCTGAACTCCATCCGGACCCTGCCCCTGCAACACGACCCGAGACGTACCGCCTTTTCTGATAGCTCGCCGGAAAGGAGACATCTCATGAGATGGCCTAGACTCATGACTCGGAGAAATTGTAGCCTTCTTGCGGTCGACCATGGCATTCATCACCGCCTGATTCCAGACCTAATCAGCAGGGGTGAAAGGGCACTCGAAGCTCCACGCCGCTCGAATTTGCACGTCGTGTTGCTCAGGCAGGGCATCCAGCTCAATAGATGGAGTGTGAAACACCACCTCGACAGACCCACCATAGGCGGTACTGCGTGCTAGGCGTTCGACATGAGACTTGAATGCTGTGAAATCGCCATCAGGGATGGATGCTGATTTGTGAAGCGTCCAGCTGGAACCGACTCGAGGATTAGTATTTGGAGATATAAGATTGAGCTGGGTGAGCATACCTTGGCCTGTCTGGACTTTCACGCAGCCAGCCAGCTACTATCTCCCCAAATCCGGAGCCGTTCTGAACGGAGGATTCCTCCCATGACTGACAGCCACTTGCATTACCCGCCACGAGTTGCCCCGATCGGACTCCCACTACCTTCGTACAGTCGATCCAGAGGTCAAAATCAATAACTTTAGATTGGTCGTCCGCGACGTGCGTTCCAAGGATAAAGAAGCCTTGGGCGGAGAATTGAGCTGCCCTATCAAAGAAGATATGCGGTCGTCCGACGTGGAGGCCATTTCCGCGGGTGGCAGTCATAAAGAGCATTGACGAGGAGGGGAGGCGAGACGTAAGCAGGGCACGATGTGCCCGGTGAGCCCTCTTTAAGTCATTAATTCAATTGAAGCTGAGACAATCTGCGTCATAGTGCATTCTAGTTGAAGTGAATCTGGTCAACTAACGATATAGTGTCTCAAGTTGCCAGCGGCCATTCGACCTTGCTGACCAGGATGCTGCTCACCGCCCGTCGCACCCATGTCGATATTTTCACGTAGCTGAATTCTTGAATCCGCATCCTCGAGACAAGTAAGCACTGGCCAATGGCCTGTAGTGTCAGACCAGTACTAAGCCTGGCTGAGGACTACGGGGCACCGGCTGTTCTGTCCGAAAAGTCCCGGTGACAGAAAGAGGCTCCTCCCTTCAACTGTAACCCACACCCAGGTCTCGTGAGAGACCTATAGAGTTGACAGTGCTTTATCACGCCGTACACAGGATTGGGCATGCGATAGCATCGACGTTGCTGCTTGAGAGAGGCCAGGATCCAGACTGTCGTGACAGCTTGAGCCAGGGACTTCTGCTGCTACACAAGGACGCTGACGTCGAGACGGAGAATGACCCTGATCGCCGGACACGGTTTAGCTGGGCTTTCGAGAACTATGGGCGAGAAAATAGTGGAGAAATATCGTCTGTAAAGCGACCTACCTGCTCATAGTAGCAGCTGCAATCTTCCCTGTTGTGGTTAGTTTGTTAGTTTGCCTCTGGGGACAGGCGCCCCCATACGCCGTCACGGGTACTGTTGACCCCCCCCAAGATACCGTCATAAGAACCGCCTTCCCTCCGAGGATCCTCTAACTTCCTTCTACTTCTCTTAGCCAAATATTAATAACTCGTATAGACATGGGATCTCTTCGAACAAGGACATTTGTTCTACGGGCGTGATTCGGACAAGAAGAATTCCGATGTCCATCATATCGCTGAAATGATTGCTATTATGGGGCCACCCCCGAGAGAAATCACGCAGAATAGTGTCTGTGCAACCGAGTTCTTCGATGGCGAAGGTATATATGGATCGTAAGCTTCCAACAGTCTTTTGCTGATAATGAAATAGGGGGTTGGAAGGGAGCCATCAAAATCCCTTCCATATCGTTGGAGACGCTCGAAGAGAATCTGGAAGGTGAACCACGGCTGCTTTTCCTCCAATTCTTGCGCAAGATGCTCCAATGGAAGCCCGAAGAGAGGATGTCGGCAAGAGAGCTCTTGGACGGCCCTTGGTTAAGGTCACCTTAATGCCCAGATCTGCTTGGCGGGTGAAAGCAAAACGACACCGTGGTCTGAGTCCCGGTTGTGCCAGGCATAGGGAACAAGGAATGATCTCAAGTCTTTCACTGTCAAGTACATTTCCACTCTACGGGCGCAAAATCTTATGGTCCAATCATGCATGATAATCAAGATCACCTAGGCAGCTGGTGGGTTGCTCGTGTTACCTGTACTAGGAACCCTAATCTTCACCATGCCTCTCAGCTTCAAGGTAAAACTAGGTAAGGGCTGGCTGAATTTGAGTACCTCGGAGAGGCCGTTTAACAGCTTGCGCCTGGCCAAGGCTACCGCTCGCTGCCAGAAATTTTGGGGGGTAATGCGGCCGTATGTTGGCCTCCGTAGCTGTCATTCTCGGCGTCGAATTTGACAGGTCCTCGCATTCGATTTGTAGGTCTTGCTTCTCGCGAGTTCCTCAGGAAGCTATCTGTAAGAGCCTCAATCCTACCACTCCAACTGCAGCCAGGAAACAAGATCCACCCTGTACCGTCAATTGCTGCGGCGCGGCATTCTCCTCCTTGGAACAATCATCGGGCGGATTCAGACCGTCGCAGAGCCGCTGGTGCTGAATGGCCGCCATACTTGCCGCGGTGTCCTTGTCAATGGCGACACGACAGGGATCTGGGGTGGCCGGCGGATATGTTGTGTTGCGAGGGATAACCAAGTCCACTTCGAAGCGCGCGGGCTATAGTGACTAGGAGCCCGAGAAATCCGAGCCTTCTCGCTGGAGAGAAGTGCATGACAAGAGTGAAATCCCCCACAGGGCTTTCTTACTGTGAGAACAAGGATAGCAAGGCAGTAAGCAGACCTTCTACAAAAGGCGCGTTAACGCAAAGAGATAAAACAGAATAGGGGCACATCCCTGGCGCCGAGACGCTATAGTGTAGACATCGTAGGTCAATTTAGGGCTGATTCTTGGTACAGAATTTCCTCCCTGCGCAGGTCCTCCAATTACAAAAAACCAAGTCCAACCCCGAGATGGCAAAATAACATGCCAAGGATGTATGCCAAGACAAATGTAATTAAAAACTGAAGCGTCCAAGGCTGAACTTACGGAGATCTCCAAGCCTCGGTCAGATGCCTCAGTCAGATGCGAGCCCACGCCCGGAACCCAGTTTCCACTTACGGAAACTCGCCTCCGCACTTGTCAGTCAAGCCGGGCTCATGCTTGACTTCCACAGCCCAACAACCCTTCACCGCAGCCCAATATCTCGATCTCGGAAGGTCTTCATAATGCAGCTGAAGTTTTTGCCTGGACACGACGGCAGAAACATTTCACGCGAGCATCTACGGCACGCTTGTGCCTCTTGCCGTCAGAAGAAGGTGCCTTGCCTAAACCCTCACTGCTTGGTGGACATCCAGCACTGATGAAGGGAATAGAAGCGATGCCTGCACCATAAATCACGACGCATCGTACAATCTGCGCAGGTGGTATCTGACCTAGAACGTGAGGCGCAAGAGAGCCCTCGTGTCTCGTCGCCACAGCACAGAACCGAGCAACGACAGCCCTCACATATATCCCCCTCCATCCCATCAGCGCCAGGGTCGAATACTAGCAGAGGGAACACAGACCCCGAACAATTCGCATGCGATACCAATCCTGTTGTCACCCTGCTGGATGACCCTAAGTCAAGACTCCCAGAGGGTCAATCTCAGAGAGGGGACGTGGGGGCGTCGTTGCATCACGAATGCCTCTCCCCTCCGATATCAGAACCACAACCTCACGGACACACAGCGAATGAATCTATAGCACACACGGTCCCTGTGCTACCCCCAGAGCCACAGCAACAGGCCCTCATCGACATCTACTTCCACCGCCTCCACCCCATCCTCCCACTCCTCGACGAAGAAGAAACCCGCTCCCAATTCGCAACCAACACCCTCCCCCTCCCCCTCCTCCAAGCCATCTGCCTCACCGCGTCCAAAGACCCCCGCGCCGCGCCCTTCCTCTCCCTCAACCCCGACCCAGCCCTCCTTCCCCTCGAAACCTTCGCCCGACTCCTCCACACCGACATCATACGAAACATGCCCAGCCCCCAAGAACGTCGGATCCTAACCATCCAGACCCTCGCCCTTCTATCGTTGCACGCATGGGGCCCCCACGGATGCGACGAGGCCTCCATAGCATTATCCCAAGCCGTCCATCACGCCCACACGCTGGGCCTGCACCTCGCCCCGCGGCCGGGGCGGAAGACCCCCTCGGCGTCGTCGCCCTCCAGGACCCTATTCTGGTGCCTCTGGAGTCTGGACCGATGGAACGCCGCCGTCAACGGCCGCCCGCTGCTGATCCACGACTACGACATGGACCAGGAGGTGCGCGACGTGCTGGCTCTGCCTTCGCCTACTTTCTCACCGGCCTTCCGCATCTGGCTGCGCATCGCCGAGCACCTCGGCTGGGTGATCCGGTCGTACCGGCCCGTCCGGACCACCTATGACAGCCGGGCACAAGACCTGGGGCTCTGCACCTTCGAGGACCTCGTCAACGACTCCGATGGCTGGGCCATCGACGCCGAAATCCTGGGTAAGTGTACTAGTAAACAAGCCCAACCCAGCCAGCCCAGCTAAACCCAGCCCACCAGCCCCACCCCCATTCACCCACAATCCCTAACCCTGATAAAAAGAAACCCTGGAACTCTACCACCACGCCGTGATCCTCCTCTCCAAGCACTCCCAAGGCCTCCAGGGCCGGTCCCGCCCCCGGGCCGCCCAAATCCGGCAGAGCCAGGCCCTGCACAGCGTGGCGGCCCTCATCCGCCGCCACCAACGCCAACACCCCCACCCCCACCCCCACCCAACCCCGCCCCTCGCGCTCGCCGCGTATACAATCGCACTCGCCTTCTCCATGACGTACAGCCACCTCAAAGAAGCCCGATTGCCCAGCGCCCGGGCGCTGGCGCTCGAGCAGCTCGATCTGTTTCATCGGGCGCTGCGGGGCTGGGCGAGGACGTGGTGGCTTGCGGCTGTTATGGCGCATTTGGGGCGGAATGCGCTGGAGGGGGTGCATCCGCAGCGGCGGGAGCAGGAGCTGGGACGGGTTGGCCTAGCGGGTGATGGTGATGGTGGCGGTGGTGATGGTTGTGAGGCTGCGATCCCTCTCAGCGTTGAGAATCAAGCGCTGGCGCCTCGTGAGATTCATCATATTGATAATCCTGACGGGGTGACACTGCTGCCCAGCCACTCGGCGGGTGATCTTCAGGGCGAGGGCCTCGAGGCGCAGACGGCTGAGATCGCCTCGCTTCTGGAGGGCTGTTCCGCCCTCTCGTCGTCGGAGTACGGGGCGTATTTTGATAGCTTTTGGGAGAATTTTTCGGATTCGGGGTTTCTGTTGCCGGGGTTCTTCTTGGGGGAGCCGGCTGTTTGCTGATGACTTTTCTGGGGGGGGGGGGGGGGGAGTAGATGAGGAAAGAATTGATATCAGGATACTTGAATGACGGCGGTGTGCGTGATTGTAGATACGTGACTGTTCTATTTCTATCTGGTATGAACAACAGCGAGTCTTGGGTGCTCTCTAATGATCAAGGAAGTTCCGTTCCTGGTTGACCACCCAGGGACAACTGCACATACACACTTGGGGTCAGCCAAACAGGTCCATCTTCCTTACACACAATCTACCGCTCAGATCGAAGCGGCACCTCCGTCGCAGGCACCACCGTCTCGAACCCGCCGCGCAGCTCCTCTCCTCCCACCCCGCAGATCCCACTCAGATCGACCTCCTCCCCCCACGGCAGAGCATCCACGTCCACCTCCCACCCCAACAGGCACCGCAGCACCACCCCAGCCCCGGCCTTGCTCATGACCTCATTCATCTCCTTACACCGTTCGTCACAGACACACTCCAAGCACCCCTGCGGCGTGAGACACTGGCAGGTCTCGATGCGCTTCACCGCCCGGCGCAGCAACACGTCCACAAACTCGAAGGCCTTGCTCGCGATGCCGGACCCGCACGGCCCGCCCTTCGCATCATAGAAGGTCAGCCGCGCGGGACGCTGTCGCGCGGGGGGCTGGAGAATTTTCTTGACCTTCGACTCCAGCTGCTTCCTCGTCTGGCCCTCGTGCGGTTGACCTTCTTCCGCGGCTAGGCGCAGGCCCCGGCCGAGCTCCTTCTTCGCGACTTTGCATTCGGTGCGGACGTCCCCCGGGGAAGAAATCACAAAGGTCGGGAGCAGCGAGAGGATGGCGTGTTCGGCGGCGTGGATGGCGGCCGCGATGTTGAGGTTGTGTGAGCGGAGGATGTCCAGCGCCCGCTTGGGGATGTCCAGCCACATCCCCTTGGTGTAGATGTCGATCGGGGGGTTGTCGACCGTGACGGCGTCCAGGATGCGACCGCGCTTGTCGACCTTGAAGAACCCGTAGACGACGGCGTGGATCCGGATTGAACCAAAGAAGGCGCGACTCGGCGGGTCGGGCGACTCTGATGCACCTTTGGTTCTGGCGGCGGCGGCGGCCGAGGCGGTGATGGAGAACGGCGTCTGGTTGATGAACCGGATAGAATCGGTTTCGATGGGATCGATATCGGTATAATCACGCTGCATCGTATTCCAGTCCACGTGGACCCGGATGACGCGCGCGAAATGGCGATCGGGGTGGAATTCCTGGACGAGGTACGTTTGACCTTGATGGAGGAAGATGCCTCCTTCGTAGATGGTAAAAAAAGCGCGCGACGCTTCCACCTCTTCGAGCACCACGTTACGCGAGTTAGTGGTGTCGATGATAGCGAAGTGCTGGTCTTCAGTGTCCCGGATGGAAACAGTGCGGGATGGCTGAGGTCGAAAGCGCTCGTGGCAGTGATAGTAGCCCAGAGCATCGCGGGTGAGGCGAGTCGCGGCGAATTCGGCAAGCTGTGGTCCAAAGTAAGTGCTGTCTTCGTCGGGTCGGATGGGCATCTCGAAAGCGGCACATTGAATGTGGCCCTCAAGAACCAGTTCGTTGGCTAGGTCGACTTGAAGTTCGCAATTGGGCTTGGTGAACAGTTCCTCGGGGTTGCGCATATAGTGCTGGTCGGTAGGATAGCGGTCGCCAACAAGAACCGAGAGCGAATCCTTGTTACGTCGACCTGCGCGGCCGCTCTGCTGGCGAAGATTCGAGATCGAGTAGGGGAACCCCAGAGTGATGACGGCGTCGAGGGACCCAATGTCGACTCCTAGCTCGAGGGCATTGGTGGCCACAATGCCCATCAATCGGCCCTCGAACATGTCCTTTTCAATTACACGTCGGTCTTGCGGGCTGTAGCCACCGCGATAGCCCATGATGAGCTTCGCAACCTCGGCGCGCCCGAGGTGTTGGCATTCCGCCCGCACAGCTTGTAAGAGAACCTCACACATCTTGCGGATCCGACAGAACGCAATAACCCGTGCGCCGCGTAAAATGAGCTGGCAGAACAGACGTGCCGTTTCGGCGACACTGTCCCCGCGGCCGGATGTTGGGTCGTTAGGATCTTTGAATGGCGTATTCCAGCACATAAATTCCTTGCGTCCCGATGGAGAGCCATCGAAGTCGATCAGTTTCACATCTTCGACTCCAAAAATGGCCTTCATGTGCGCTTCCGGATTGGCTACTGTGGCCGAGCAGGAGATGAATCGCACCTGACGGTTACCTACAGCGGCGCAAATGCGGCGTAGGCGACGCATGATGAATGCGACATGGGATCCGAATAGTCCATTATACACGTGCAGCTCATCGACTACAACGAACTTGAGATTTTTCAGAAACGTACGCCAGGAGCTTTCTTGGGGCAGAATGGTGATGTGTAGCATATCGGGATTCGTGAAAATGATCCGCGCCTCATCTCGAATGTGATTCCGTGCGGCCATAGGTGTATCTCCGTCGTATGTCTCAACGATGGTGTCCTGAAGACCGTCCAAGAATTGAAGCAGCTCCTGCATACTGCGTCTCTGGTCCTGTGCCAAGGCCTTGGTGGGAAATATGTACATCCCGCGGCTGGCAGGATCTCTCTCCAGCTCATGCAACATGGGCACCTGATAGATCAAGGATTTTCCTGAGCTAGTGGAAGTAGAGACAATAACATTGTGACCATCGTATAGGTGATTGATGGCCTCTGCCTGGTGGGAAAATAGCTGAGTAATGCCCTTGGTATTGTACAATGCATTGACCAGATTCTGAGAGAGCTGAAAATTGAGTTCGGCATATATGGAAGCCTGGGCTTCAAACACTCGATGTCCCTCGGGAACAATCTGTGCCGTATACCAATCCATCTGCCGGATCTCGTCCACGATTTCCGACATGGATTTCCGGACCTTCGGGATCTGAGGTGGCGCTTTGACGGATGTCAAGGCCGTCAACTCATCATCGTCCGGAGGGATTGGAATGTACGCATCCTTTTCCGATTCCAGTAGCATAACAGGGTCGATTTTATCGTCTTCGCAGCGGATCAGAAACTCGTCGATCGCGTCGCTGAACTTCTTGTTGCGTTTCTCGATCAGGCCTAGCATCTGCTTTTGACTGAAGACCGGCATTTTGAGGTCCTCGTCCTTCATTTTACGTCTCGGCTTCGTCGGCTCTCCAGTTTTTGGATCTCTCACCTCCCGCCTGAGATCCTGATCCACAAGCTCGAACAACAGGGTCCTGGTCGGAACACCGTCCGTCTCAGGGAGCATATCCCTACCATATCCCAGTTGTTTGACCTCTCGCTCCCCCGTGGTCATAAGCTCAAGTTTGGCGTCGTCGACATATTCGAAGCGAACTGCTCGCGGCACGAGCACCCTAACACGAGCAATGTCCTCCACTGTCAACTCTTGGCCTTGCAACTGAGCTTGAACGGCTTGTTTGATGTTGCTGAACGTGGTCGCAAAGTGCTTTCGCGTGCAGCAGAAGGTGTAGACGAGGTTCAAGGCGCGGTGGGTGCGCGATAGCTGCTTGAACGCGTCGGGCCACGGGGTGGATGGGGTCCGCTTGGGGGGTGCAGCGGCTCGTTTTCGCTTTTTACCCGGCTGTGTCGATGCAGATTCATCTGGGGTAGCAGGTTCGGCTGATTCTGGCTTGGGAGTCGAACGATCATCTTTGCGACCCTTCTTGCCTGACTGCTGCGCTGGAGGTATGGTCGCGGTGGCGGCTTCGGTGGCCTCGGCTGGTTTAAGCTCCTCATGGGATCTTTTTCCGCCCGTTTCGGTGGAGGGACGATCCACTAGAACTCTGGGACGGGCCATACCCGTCACTCATGGTGGAAACAAAAAGGCCAGTGCTGCGAGCGGATATTGGGTGTTGGCACCTACAGCAGCAAGCAGTGCAGCAGACGGGTTGACGGTTAATTCAAGGTGGAGGTTACTTATTTGTTGTCGGTCTAGCGTGGAAATCTCGGGGGGTCTGGGCCCGGAGCCGGATTTATGTATCTCCTTGGGCACTTTCGGTGATGACCAATCCGCGGGCTCAGCTGTAAGTTAGTGGTTTCAGGAAACTCATGCATGTCTCAAAACAGCACGTTTCTCGACGGCCAGGACCTTGAATATACACAGTCTCCGTACTGTGCTCTCAGACGTGCGTGGCTGGTGGTTTTATTTCAAATGCAATGCAAAAGTAAAGTACTCCGTGGACCGGTAAGCTGACATGGATGAGTTTTGTACTCCTAACTTGCCCTACACCTTGCGTGATGCATTGTGACTGACGTAGGCAAATGGACATGTCGCCTGCCAACGGCAGATGCTCCTTTTGGAAAGGTTATTGAGTTTTATTGTGACGATCAGGAACCAGCCACGGCAAGGCGAACCGATGGGGACTTTTTCGATAGTGGATCTTCCCGATTCCTTTTTTTAGGCAGGCGTCGAGTAACACCAAATGAGTTGCAGAGCTGACGTAGCGGGTTTGTTGGTTTGGTCTACTTTTGAGCGTCCGATTACCTTTATAACGTTTTGATTGTTATTATCAGCATGAGATGAGGCTCCAAGACAAACATGCCCTAGTCAATATTGCAGTCCCAAGAATTGCAATAACGTTCAACATTTCTCGACCTCGTTTATTTGATGAACAACAAGTGGGGCCAGTCATTTCGGATCAACATTGTTACCGCCGGCATCAGAACCTGCAGCGTCAGGCACCCATTCACTCAAACCACACTAAACCTGCACTAGAGCTGCACTAGTGGTACTGTAATCTGAGGGCTCTTTTTTGTGGCTGCGCGGGCGGGAGGTGCAGTGCAAAGCAGTGCTGTGCTGTGCTGTGCCCACTGGGCTGGCCATCCACCACCAGCATCTCCACCTTCAAAGTCAGTCACTTTAGTCTAGTCGCTTGGTCGGTGGTAGGCTGGTGTGCTTCTCTTTCTCACTCAACTTCCCCCCCCCCCCTCCTTTGTTTCTTGACTACCTGCCACCCCATTCCTCCATCTTCCTGTTTGTGTTGTCACTGCAAGCCTGCTGCATGGCTTTCATCGTTCTTCCGTGATCTTCACCTACCTACCTGGAGTCGGCTGGGTGTTTTGTTTACTGCCTCGGGTCCCTCTGCAGGGACTCCTAGCTTGCACTGGCCCCGAGCCCGCCCGCGTGTTGTTGCAAGTTTCATGCCCAAGCACTAATTAAACCCCAACGTGTGCCCCGTCCCTCTCTAATCGTCATCGACTACCTTCGTTTGCTATTGCTCGCGCTCGCTGTAAACCGATCTCTCGTGTGCGACATCAGTTCGATCGTACCGTACCGTTGACTCCTATTCCCATCCGAACTCAATTCGCTCTGGACCTTCGTTCCCCTTTTCGGCCCCTCGGCCTGGTGCGACACCACAATCACACACAACATCGCAGCGCAACCAATACACAGTCATAGCATTGGCTTCCCACTCATTGAGCCATGGCATCTCCTTCGCTTTCCGAGCTGGAGCAGCGCAATCGCCTGCCCACTCTGTTTGAAGTTCTCAGTCGGCGAACGCTCGCTCCCGTCGATCTTTTTTCCTTCTACATTTACATGCGCGACCAGCAGCGATCGGTGGATTACCTAGACTTCTGGTATGTAATGGCTTAGAATAATGTGTGACTCGCGCGCAGGACAGTCGCTGATTGAATGCTTGCGCCAGGCTGGATGTCTCACAGCATATGTCCCTCTGCCGCCACTATGTTCGTGAGCTGCGCCGATCCGTTCTCGTCGCGACGCCTGATCTGGAAAAGGCCGACAGCAAAGGCTCTTCCGCTGCCTTAGACAACATCGAGCACCTCAACGATATCCCTCTGGTCGAAGCGGGACCCTCGGGGTCGCGCCATGCCCTCTACGAATTAGAAGACCGCGACGCAAACCAACGACTGTCGGCGTTCCTCCGCTCGGACGGCCATATATCGGGACATTCGCCGCAGAGCAGCTTGGGATCACAGAACGCTGCCCGCATGGCGTCGAACGAGCAGCCCCCGCAAGATAGCTCCGGGACTCGAAACGACTCGCCGTCGCCCGGGCACACTGTGGCACGGGCGGATATCCGCGCAAGCGCAGAGAAGATTCTGTACACATACCTGCTTCCCGGGGCCGAGAGAGAAATCGTTCTCCCGGAGGAGATGGTGACGACGATTATCGATCATGTCGAAGACCACGGCCGGGATGACCCCGAGGTGTTCGACCCGGCTAAGGACTATGTCTTCCAGGCGATGGAACGCGATGCATTCCCCGGGTTCCTGCAGGCCAAGGCGCTGGGAAACCTAGTACCTTTGTCCATCATCGCCCGTCTTGCGTTTGCGCTGATCAGCTTCGGTGGAGGTTTCTGGGGTGCCTTTTACGTCGTCCTTCGCGACAAGCCCCGACATATACGCTGCTGGGTAAGTCAATCACTGCCGCTCCGGGACTTGCGACCTTTGCTGACTTGCGCCACAGCTGATATTGCCCTTTGCCGTTGCGTCTTACTTCCTCGTTTCGTACCAGTACAAACTGGACCCGGTCATGGCGTTCTTGGGCTACAGCGAATACACATTTATGACCTGGTCCCCGATCCGCGAACCATACGTGCGGAAGCTCCTGAACAAGCGCGCCACGGCGACGGCTCTGATCGCCTTCTTCGTGGCCACCGCGCTGAGCATTCTCTTCATCTTCGTCCCCGGCACCATGCTCTAGATGACGCAACCTCTTTTGTGTGTGCCAGACCTGCCTTTTGACCTCGACGTAATGCAGCGCCATCTCCTGTTCATATATCCTGTCCCGTGTTACCCTTTTGTTCCTTCGATTCTAGTAATTTTCATCTTAGCAGATACCATACCCTGATCCTGACTGATACTAATCTCAATCGATAATCCGGATATACTTCTATTGACAAGCTTCTGTAAATCGTGCGCAAAACATGTGCATCTATGGCTGTAGAGTTGTTGTTACGTAGCCGGCAGAACCGACTACCCATCCGTAGCTAAGTAAGACAGCCTGAGATCGCATGCTTGCCTATATTGGAGACGCTGCGGAACGTGGATCCCAGATTTGTTCCGGAGGCTGCTGCTCGATCGCTAACCAACAATGATTCGATGAGAGATCATCTAATATGTGGATGCTTACTATGAAGCCGCTTGAAGCAGCGGACTTATACATGACGATTGGGTTTACCGATCAATCCCCAACCGTGGCTCTACTTTGCCACAATCCCAGATGACATCATGACTTCATAACCAAGCACAAGGGTAAAGGTCCAGTATAAAACGCCTACTCTTCTCGAACCTCTCCGTTAGCCACATATCTCATAATAGCGAAAACACCACATCCAATATGACATCACTCCCCAAGGGTTCCACGTCGACCAGCAAATTCGACAAAAAGGGCGAGAAGGACAATTCCGAGAATCCGTTCACCCAAGGCCCGACGAGGCGCGGCGGTATGATCTCTCTGCTTGCAGTCTATCACCGATGACTGATGATGCAATCCAAAGTCCCAGATGCAGGCGGCGCGGCCTTGTCGGATGATCTCGACTTCCCTCACAAGGATTACCACGATCACCACGATAGTTCAGGGAAGTACGACGAGGACGACGATGAGAACCTCTCCCAGGACCTGGAGGATGCAATCCCTGCCAATCCATCGTAAATGGGATGCATGGTGGCAGCGGAGGGAGCAACAGAGGTGGAGTGAGCAATGATAGGACTATGTACATATATGAAGGGTTCTGTTCCAACCAACTTATCTCTATTGAACCACGACTGCTAGACGAGTGTCAGATTTAAGCCAGCCTACACTTCCCAAAGCAATAGAGCACACAGTCTCCAGATCTCAAGGAGTTTCAGAGATCGAGCTTTCTGATCCTGGGCAAGGTGAGATGTACATACAGCACTGATGGTTCTGAGAAGTCCAGCACTTGGAAATAGGACCATGCTGCCCCGATACGCCGACGAACACCATCTTCTGTCTCAACGAGCATACGCCCAAGCTGGAAACGTTCGGGAAGAATATAACGCAGTGCTTCTCCGTCTCAAGGCAGAATCAAAGCAAAGGTCTTCATCCTTTTGTCCAAGCCTCTGTCTATTCATGTCGTCCATGAAGCGAGTAGCTATACTTCTAAAACTCGGGGTTCTGTGGCCGAACTGGGTTAAATCGCTCCATGTGAACGAGCAATGGATGGCCCGGTCCACAAATTGCCAAATTCGACGTCAAGCCCATCGTTCTGGTATTCCTGGTGCTTGTGGCTCAGCTTCGGGTTATACAGAGATGGTCCCGGGAGGAGATTCCTGATACGTATCGAAAGGAAAGCGCGCCCCCACATCTTGTGCGTACATGATCAGCGCACCTCAACCCAGCCCTATTCCAAATAGCGGGTTGCTGGTGTTGCCATTTTTCTTCGTAGTTCCCAAGCAACTACTACTGGGTATTCCGTACCGAGGCGACACAGGCTGAAAAGGCAGTAGGGGACACACTGGTTGGTCATGTTGAGAATTGATGACGAGTTTGTGGGGTTTATATGGTTTGTATGGTTTGTATGGTTTGCATCGGATCGCGCGCGCGTGTGGACGGAGAGTTCCATTACTTCTCCGTTCCCGGCGTGTTTACTCGCTCCTCTCCCTCTCTCCTCCACCATCGCAGTCGTGGAAACTCGGATTATACCTTACGCTGTCTTTCTCATCTGTCGGAATCGCGACTCTCTTTGTGTCTTTGACACTCACGAGTATCTATTGGACTCATTCTTCGTGCCTTCTTCATGGGTGGACAAGCTCTCATGTGTTTCCTGTTGGGTCTCTGGCCTTCTCCCCTCTTCGCCGTTCGAGGCAACCTCGTACAGATCTTACCCCCTGTTACGCTCTCCAGCTCGCTGGGGAGTCTAACCCTAATGTAACCCCGTCGGTTCGGTGCCAACGGCTTCTGCCGGCGGCAAGTTTCACGGTCATGCACGGCGGTTTGAGCCCACTAGTTGACTCGCATCGCTTTCGGGGGATCGAGGAGGCGAAAGGTTCCCGATGCTCAGAGCGCCATCCTCCGCGGGTGCGCATAAAGACGGTTTACCATGCAGTTCCCGCCGCAGGGCACGCGTCGGTCTACCAATGCTGAGTGTAACGTGCTGATCAACCCCGGACAGTCTTCACTTGTTGCCGTGGTACTAAGCTGATGATTCGAGAGAGAAGGCAGGTGGAGCATGCCGGGCATCTCTTTGGAGATGTCACTGGGAGCTCATAGTGGGCGCTGGTGCAAGGAACTTACAACTGTGAGCTTGATCATTGCATGTGCGAGCTGGTTTCCCCGAATACGAACAAACCGTGTGTCCTCGGACATACCGCTGCCTCACACACAGTCATCGAGTCTTTGGATTGATCCACTCGTCGGAAACCGGTTTAATCTCTGGAATGGCCCAGGTGCTTCACCGTTCCAGCCCGGATTAAACCGCAGCGAGGTCAATTGCAAATGGATGACTTCCTTATGGTCGATCGGATGATGCCATGAGGAAACCCCCCTTGGGCTTGTTCGTCGCTTTCCAGTCTCAAACCAGTCTCTGATCATGCATCATGTATCTTTCTCCGCCCCTAACTGGGGTTAAGCGGTTGGCCTCCTTGGTCGGCGTGACTCGGCTGTCCCGCGCATGCTCCCAATCCGAGGGTTGACTGGGGCCTTCGCTCCCTGCGTTCCACCTCTCGATCATCCCGGGTACGAGACCGGCTAGTGGACTCGTGGATCACGGCATGCAGCCACCTGATCTGCGCTTTCCTCGGAAAGGTCCCGATCGATCGTGTTAACCATCTCTTTGCATCGAGCGGGTGCAGATAGATCGATGGGCGCTGACTCGGCCATAGCTTCGGCTATGGTCCCTCCCCTTGGGGAGAAGGAAGCGGTTTTTATGGATGTTTTGTTTGTCCGTTTCTCCATGCCCTCCACTGGCAGCAGTGGGGAGGAATCAAAAACTAGTCCGCGGGGGTACTGTATCACACACAAGAGGTTGAGAGGCCGTTGATCTTGGGAGGCGACGTGGGGTCATGATCTGCGGATCGAAGGTTCGACGATGGGAGATAGTATGCTCGGTCGAAGGGGCTCGAGCCACGAAATCTGGGGTGATTCAAGACTGAAATCTCCACTGAGGGCGCGAGGTATATCTGGCCACCGACTGTGTCCATCACGCTGGTGCCGCCTGTCCTGACCGTCGCTTCGGCAATGCCGCTGCAAACGTTGCGTTGGTAGACTCTCGATCGGGGGATTGTGCAGCATTGCTCTCCTGCTGTCTCGGATCCGTACAGGAGGCTTGTTATGGGACCTCGAAAGGGGATCAAAGCTCAGTGCTTGTCTGTCTCGTTTCCTGTTGTTTCCGACGCTGTGGGGGGAGGTGTTGTGTGGGTCGCGGGGAGAGGACTGCGCTTTGGGTTGTAGTTGGCAACGCAGGAGTTGAACACGAGGGATGGTCCAGGGTGGTGGACCGCCGTTCCCTCACCGAGGGCCCGCGGTGAGGGAACGGCCCTTTTTTTTTTTATAAGTGCTCCAGATCCCTTGGTTGTGGCATAGCTGACTACGGTGGCAGGTTGTTTCGGCTGGGGGCTGGCTGGGGGCTCGACTCTGGCTTGCGGATATCGGACGTTGAAGAGAACGGTTGGAGCAGGGGCCTCGGTTTACTAGGATCAGGATCGCGAATGGTACCTTGGGCCTAGAACAAGAGATGAGCTATGCAATGCAGCCCGTTCAATCTTCAATCCAGTTCATGCTTAGAGTCCACCGTGTAACTACTGTATCCGTATTACCACTGATGAATCCCATTGGCGACAACAGCCTTTCATATAAAACGCCCTGTCATACCTATCAGTTACCCAACCTTAACCACGCTCCACAACTCGAACCCCATGAACCACCACCAAGAACCTCCACTCTCAACATCAATCGCCAAGAACGCATTCCTTATAAAGCTCTATACACATACACTTCTCCTAGAAAAAGAAAGACAAATTACCGTCCCATCCACCCCCCATCGACAGTAACCACCTCCCCGGAAACATAGGCACTCGCCGCGCTCGCCAAAAACACGACCACCCCCTTGAAATCCTCGGGCCTGCCCCACCGGCCCGCCGGGATGCGCGCCATGATCCCCGCGTTGCGGTTCGCATCATTGATGAGCGCGGTATTCATGTCCGTGGCGATGTACCCCGGCGCGATGGCATTCACATTGATCCCCTTCGCGGCCCACTCGTTCGACAGCGCCTTGGTCAGCTGCGCCACCCCGCCCTTGGACGCCGCGTAGGCCGGCACGGTGATCCCGCCCTGGAAGGTGAGCAGCGAGGCGACGTTGATGATGGCGCCGCGGCGGCCGGCGCTGGCGGTGAAGGCCTCGGCGGGGCGGTTCAACAAATAGGCGCCGAACTCTCGGCATAGCGTGAAGACGGAGGTGAGGTTGATGTTTATTACCTAGCCGTCGGCCGGTCAAAATTAGTATGGGGTTGGAGGGATGGAGGGTGGGGTCGGTTGGAGGATAGAGTGTTAAGGTTAGGATCGGGACAGCTGCATACCTCGTCCCAATCCTCGTCCGGGAACTGCTCGCTCGGATGCCGGCGCTGGATGCCGGCGCAGTTGAGCAGGATGTTGGGCGCGAAGCCCTGTGCGGTCAGCGCGGGGAGGATCTGTTTGAGGGCGTCGCGGGAGGAGAGCTCGGCGACGTGGATGTGGGCGTTGCGGTGCAGGCGGTGCGTGATTTCGTCGCGGGTCGTGGTGTTGGATTCGTCTCTCTATCCCCGATCCAGGAATTAGCATCAGAAAATATCCGGATGGAGATGAGGTTGGGGGGGGGGGGTTGTTGTTCTGGTAGGTTTGGTTTGGGGGGCACCACGCACCTGAATCAGAATGATATCGGCGCCCGCTTCAGCCAGAGCGTACGCCATGGACTGGCCGATGCCCCGCGTGCCGCCGGTGACAATGGCGGTGCTGCCTTCGAGGGAGAAGAGGGCGGGGATGGACATTGTGCTGTTGTTCGTGTGGTGGGTGTCGTTGTTGTTGTTTCCGTCAGATGTGTCGTATGTCTTGAAGATGATCCGTCAAGATCGTGGGGTCAAGTAGACTCGCGGCTCATGTAATCTCACCAATTGCAGCGATGTCAATGCCTGCTGATCTGCTCTTTCTCTCGCTGAGTGACTGAATGACTCACTACCTACATCCCACGAACGTGGGGGAGGAGCCCTTTAAAGCAACCAAGCACCCAACAAACACCCCTCATGGCAGTCATCGCAATGCGGGGCACCACAGCGGAGCTCCTCCAGATTGGGATGATGCAATTGCCGAGGGTCAGCCTCACACAGCAAAGTCAGAGGCCGACGCCCCGCAGCGTCTCCCCGGCTATTGAAGTTTCCGCTCGGTGCTTATCCGGTTGTTGTGTTTCGTATCAGTACCGTAATCCGTGACAGTGATACACATCAGCATCGTGCCATGAGTCTCTTGCACTACGAATTGTGAATTCATCTTCAAGAGGTGGTTAGCACATATTTATCCTTCATGAGATATTTATGTTGGATCTACACCTGTCGTCGTCCTACCCTATTCAATGCCTTGTCGAACACCCAAAGGTCTACTGACACCAGCTTACAAAGACTCCTTGGGAAGCTTGTTCCTCGGTACAGCTTCCAGTGCCTACTATTTATAGTTTATTCAGTCTGATAGCCACGCCTTAAAATATCAACCATTCCAGCAATCTTGCCCCATGGCAAGATCACCGAAACATAAATGTATAATCATAGATACAGAGAAGTAAACTCCCGTGGCTCTACGCCACAGGATAGTGTGTAGGTGGTATCCATTGCGCCAAGGTCGCCAGCTAAGTAGAAAATCAAAAGGATAGATGGTCTGGGGTCCCATAAAACGTTCGTCGAAAGGCAGGGGCATGCCGTTCATTTCACCTCATTTGCATCCGAGAAAGGGCTTTCCACGCGCGGTGGAATGTGCCGGCTGCTTCGGTTCGAGCGTGTCCCTTCTGGGGTCTCGAGGAGTGAGGAAGCCCGGGCGCTGGGTTCGGCCCGGGGGTGGTCTTGGAACGGGCTCTGGCTGACGGCAGGCGAATCTTCAATCACGGTGGCGGGACGCGACTGCGCGTCGGTCTTGGCCTCGGTAGCGTTCTCGCTACGGGCCTGGCTAGAACGCTTGGTAGTGTCTTCCTCGTCGGATGAACTGGCGTCAAATCCGGACGTCGGGACTGCGTCTGCTTGCTTGGTGCTAGTGGATCGAGACACGTTGGCACTGGAGCTCTCGGATTGTTCCTCGATGGTGTGGACCCCGGCGGGGCCATTGGTGGCTTCCTTCTTCTTTTTCGATGCGCCTCGAACCATGACTGGTTTGGCGGTCACCGTGCGGGCCACGATCGAGCTGTTGGTGGCGGCCGCGGAGAGGCCGGCTTTGGCAAGCTGGGCTTGAGTAATGGCCGGCACCGCAGGAGCATCGCCGTTGGCCCCGTTGATGTTGACCACGGCGGCACGCGTGCGCATAACTTGCTGAGCCGGCATCGGACTGACGATGGCGTTGTTGCGGTAGATGGTGGTGGCCACACTGCTGCGGAGACTAGGGGCGATGCTGCGGCGCTCGTTGGACATCTCCGACCAGGCCGAATCGCGAAGGTCACCCGGCATAAAGAAATGTTGGTCGGGGTGGGCACCAGGGAGCGGTGGAACCGGTGGCACCAGACTGCCGGGAGTCTCTGGAGGCGAGCGGTTGGTGACACCAGGGATGTAAGCGATTTGGATGACGTTCGAGGCGCGAGTAAGAACGGTAGAGGCGATCGAATTCGTGGACTTCCGTGACTGTCTCGTGTCGGCCGCCACGCTGGACTTTTCGGCTTCGGATGCTTCTTGTTGTTCCTTGCGCTTCTTTCTGATGAAGAACCACCATACCAAGAACGTCACTATGGCGATGAAGGCGATACCACCGACCACACCTCCTGCAATCGCACCGGCGTCGGTACCGCCGCCGCCGGAATTACTGGAGGAGCCCGAATCTCCGCTGGTCGGAGATTTGACGCATTTCGTGGTCGCGCACTGAGTGCAAGATTGACTGACCATGGTACAGGTGTAGCCATCGTCGCAGGTCGGGCAAGCGGGCGCTGAAGAGGAGCATTGTACGCAGCTTCGGAAGGCTAGGAGGGAACGGGAGTAGAGGACTAGCGAAGGCATATTAGCGATCGGGCGACACTGACACAAATCGTAGAGTGCCCACCGTTAGGAGTGGTCAAGTCGGAAGGATGGAACGACATGACGGGCGATGGAGTGTTGAGTTGTGGTGTGAGAGATGGTTGATGGGAGGGCGTCGGTCGGAAGGGTCGTAGAAAGCTGTGTTCTCAAAACAAAGAGGCTAGGGAGAAAGAGCGACGGAAAGGGCGAAAAAAGAGTGGCAGGCCGATCAACGGCGTAAAGAACGTGGGCTATTGACTTTGCGATAAAAAGAGTGTAATACTCGACAGACGTCAAGTCGTGAAAGTTGGATGCTAGGTCATACAAGGAAGAGAGCGCAAGAGAGCGAAGAAGATGATGAAGGAAGATGGAGAGATTCAGATGAGCGAATGAGTGTTGGCGGAAGAAGATTGGGTGGGAGATTGGCAGGCAACAACGCGCATAGCAGAATGCAAATCGAAGTGGAGCTCCCAGGCTTGGGGCAATGGGAGTGGGTAGGAATGCCTGCAAGTCACTGGGTAGACGACTCAGAGTGGACGATTCCACACCGGGGCATCCAGCTGTAACGTCCGGAGGAACCAGGCGTGGGTGTGTGGGTGGCTGCCAGGTACAGGACAGAGGGAGCCAGCGCAAGTGACAGGGGAAAGTCAGGGGAGAAACGGGAGAACCGTGGATGCAGGTGAGGAGGGAAGTAAGGTGGGAGAAAGGGAGAGAAAGAAGAAAAGAGGGAAGAGAGAGAGGAACCGGGTAAGATAATCAATCAATCAAGTAATCAATCAATATTTAATGAGAAGCAGAAGAATGGATAAATTAAAGCGACCGACAAGATGGGGGGGGAGGGTGAGAGAGAGAGAGTGAGTGTGAGGGAGATGGAGAGGGGGAGATGAGAGTAGTCCAAGAAGTCCAAGAAAGAGTGGAAGAGAGCGAGAACTGCAAGTACGGGTGGGAGAAGAGACTAAGCCTGAAAGAAGAGGATGGGTGGTGCGGGCGGGAATTGCGTTGGTTGGTGGAGGCTATGGATTGGGGGGGCTGAGTAGGACGTACATAGTAGACTGTAGTACAGTCAGTGACACCCACTGCAAGTCCACGGCAAGTCCACTGCAGTCTCCGCCTTATTCCTGCCGCCTTATCATGGAGAAGTCTCCAGTGGCTCCAGTGGCTCCAGTGGCTCCAGTTGATGGATGGAGCAGACGGAGACCATTCCGTGGACAAGAGAGCAATTCACGGCATACACGGCATACACTGCATACACTGCACACACTGCACACTGCATTCACTGCAGTATCACTACACCATACGGATACTCATCCAGGGAACTGCCAATCTGCAAGCTCCAATCTGCAATCGGTCACACCCCTGACACGGACCCAAAAATATCGAACCAAAGGATCTTCCTGCTCCCCTCGTTCCGTCCTCGCGTCTCAAGTGCAGGTCTCGACCGTCGCTCGGTCCCACGTTGCCTCCGTTGTCTTCCTTCGCCCGGAAATTAACACGGCTGGCCTCGAGACTAAGCACCCACCGGCGTTTTGCCTCTACTCAAACGGCATGGATCCTCTGGACCTCTCTATAAAATCAGTCGACTGACACTGCACTAGTGGAGAAGTCCCAGTAGTTTGATTGATCCATCTGCCGAAAATCTTGTCAAGTTGGTCGGGGCCAGTCACGGTGACAGTCCCGGTCATGTGATCTTGCTCCCCTGACGGAACCGGACCCGGACGGGCCGTCGGCCGCCTTGGTCTGGTTGCACCGCCTGGTCGACTCGTGTTCTCGCTGCAGGAGGCCGCCATGGTGCGTAGCTTACGCTATCATGGATAAGTACATGCGAAGGTATACGCTTACCTGCTATAGGCTCAAGTTCCGGTGATCATAAAGTATAATGTCTCGTTGAATGCCCTCGTTGCTACAATGGGCAAGATCCGGCTGCGGTTTGCAGTGGCATTAGATATATCGCTGCGCATAGTCGCCAACACTCGTGCTCCGAGCACAAGCACGTGCTAAAGATGGATGATGTCTACCACACCTCATCAACCGCACTTCAATTATCCTGACTCAATCATGACGGCGTTTTGAGTCAAACAACATGATTTTCAAAGAATGTTTCTTTCTCAAAGGTCTCTTCGGCACCAACTCCGTCGTGCGCGAAATTGATACCCCAAGATATATATATACAATGCCACCTCAAAAGCGCACGAAGACCGGCAAACCCGCACGGCAGGCTGTGCTGAGCGGCCGAGTCACTCGACCACGCAAGTCTGCCATTACAAGCCACCAGAAGTCAAACCCAGTAGAAACTTCGCATAGCGAGGATGCGATTTCGGGAGAGAGCGATCGCCAGAATGACCTTCCGCCGGTCCAGGGCAAGCCACCGGCGTGGGCAGAGGTTGGATGCCACCTACAGAAGAACATAATGAAAGTCCCCTAATGTGAGTGTAGTGCCGTCCTGACCTGTGCGACGCCCTCCCCTGGTTTCGCTCCGCCCAGGGAGGCTACTACTACAACGGAAGTCTGTGCTACGGCTGTCTGGTGGATGCGGACTCGGGGATCCGGGCCTACATCGATGACGAAGTTGTCGTAACTCGAATGTAAGTGTCACCAGAGCCAGAGCCAGCCAAATAACCTAGTGAGCTCGATAGACATAGACTAACCCTGCAGCTAGTGGCGGTGGGTGCACCAAAGACGCAGAGGGCAATCTCGTGCTGCTCAAAGATCAAGATACTGATAGCGCGACCTTAAGCAGCGTGATGAACAGCTGGCGGATGCAGAACCCCGTCGGACTCATTATTGGTACGTAGACAACCGGCTTGATGTGGAACCCAGTGTTGATTCGTTGGCAGGAGATCGAAACAAGCAATTGAACAGGAAGCTCCCCCACCGGTACAACGTGATGGCCTACTTCCGCATCGCAGACGTCTGGTACGAGCAGATAGGCACGAAGAAAGGCGCCAAAGTGCGCTTCGAGAAGCTGGATCTCGCCGCGACAAGCTGGTGGGCGGCCCCAGGCACAACACCGTTGCCCGTGGAGCAACGGGATTTCACACTCGGCCCAGCCACGAAACGCTGCGCAAGCTGTGACCGCGAGAGCAAGCAGGTATACAACGAGGGCTGGATGTGCCTGACGCCGTCCTGCTCCCGGTTCTGGAAGGTCGGCGGCACCACGACGCCGCCAGGGCACCTCAGCTTCAACGCGGCATTTCTCCGTGCCCGACTCCCACCCGACCCACAGATCCAGCCTCACTTTGACCTGGTCCCAGACCTGCTGGCGACCCTGTCCGAGGACAAGGGCGACCTGGTCTTCAAACGCATCGCCTGGAAGGGGATCGTGTGTCCGCTGTGCTCTCGCTGCATTGCCCGGCGATTCTGGCGCGGATGGAAGTGCGCCGACGAGCTTTTGCAAGATTTGTCTCAGCAGTCGCATCGGTGCAGCTTCGAGAGATACCTCAAAATCTCGCCGCTCTCGGTCCGGTCCGTAATTGACGAGTTCGAGATCCATCCCGCCAAGCGGGCTCTTTACTTCGACCCGAAGCTGCAGCTCCCGAGCGTCGACGACACATCCTTATATCCGTATCGAAAGTTGGTATATACTCTGCCTGGGGTAGGGTTCGTGACGCATCTGGTGGCCAACCGGGCGATCAACACCCGTGCCAACGGGCCGGACGATCTGTTCAAACGGCTCCAGTCGGTGGACTTGGGGCTCCAGCGGTATCCGCTGCAACAGAGTGTTGGTTCGAACCCTCGACCCTCTCTTTACCCACCCATCGACACGCTGACCTCTTGCACAGTCCGCGGCACCCTCACTTCCCACTACGCAGTGAACTATGTACGCCCTCTCCCTCTGCCCCTCTCCCTCGTAGATTCCCCTCCAACAGGCAGACTAACTCCATCAGGGCTGCCCATACAAATACGTCGTCTCCGTAGCCAGCAAAGGCTTCGCCGAAGCCAGCGACGAGATCCTCCGGGCGTTCGGCCGCCTAACCTGGGCAACGGAGCAAGCGGTCACTACCGCGGGCGACGCCTTTCTGCCGCCCAACGAGCTCCTCCTTTTGGGGTATATGGAGGACATGAAGATCGGAGTAAGCAGCCAACCCCCGCATTCCCATTGAATCAAGTCCCTAACAGAAACCGTAACCCAGTACCACGACGACGGCGAATCCTCGCTCGGCCCCACGATCGCAACCCTCTCCCTCGGCGCCCGCGCCACCATGCTCCTGCGCATGAAGTACAAGTACTACCACGGGTACACCAAAGCCAAGCGGATTGTGGACGAGGATCCGGCTTTAGATGGGTGCGCACATGCCCCGGAGCGGAAGGCGCTGAAGCAGGCGCGGGAGGCGGGCGAGATCACGCGGGAGGAGTACGACGCGCAGCGCCGGGGCCTTCCTGCCGGCGGCAGAAGGGGGGAGGCGCCGCCGTGCCTGCGGATGGAGCTCAATCATGGGGATTTGGTGGTGATGCATGGGGAGGGGGTGCAGCGGTTTTATGAGGTAACCTTTTTTTTTTTTTTTTTCATTTTTCATTTTCCATTTTTGTCCTTCCCCAAAAAAGAGAACCATGGGGTGAGTGGAGGATGGGAGAACTGACGCTGACGATGCTGCTGCTGTAGCATTCGGTGATCCCCGAGAAGAACCTGCGATTCGCGCTGACGGCGCGGTACATCAAGCCCGAGTTCGTGCAGGAGGCGGACCGGCAGAAGGGGGTGGTTACGCTGACCGGGGAGCAGGTGTATGATGGGAAGTGATCCAGGATCGACAGTGCGGTTACGCGGTGGCGTGCAGCGCAACGATGGACTTGCGTACTCCCAACACTCTATATAGCTTTGCTTTTGCTACAATATACACCCAGTCATCTCCATTCAAGTAACCTAAACCCGCCAACTCTCCACCCCATAGTCCACCGGCACCGGATGATAGAAACTAAACCTCTCGAACGGATCCCACTTCCGCTTCAACGCGGCCAGCCGCACCAGATTCCGCTTCCCATACCACACCTCGGGGCCCTCGTCGCCATGCGCATAGTTATTGTAGAGCACCAGCTGGCCCCGCCCGTCGGGAGACTCAAACCCACTCGTCCGCGCAAACCACTCGCGACTCTCGACAACCCACGCATTGACGCCCGCCTCCACCGCGGCATCGGCATCCACAAACGTCGCCTTGAAGAGCACATGCGTCTCGATCTCGCGGCCCGCATACGCCATGTCCTCGGCCCCCGCAGCCCTCTTGACGGCCTGCGTCGGGAACCGCGAGAAGACGACCGACGCCGCGATGCGCCCTTGATACTCCCTGGCAAACTCCGCAAAGAGATCCGTGTACTCGACGAACGTCGGCACGTGGGTGCGCCGCAGCCCGGCCCCGCCGTAGATCAGGCGCAGGTCGTGCTCGCAGGGCGAGGGGTCCTCGCTGAAGAACAGCTTGGTGTAGAGCTTGTTCCAGGGGAGGACCGGGGTGAAGCGTTCGCGGAGCGGGCCCAGCGCGCGGAAGCGCCGGATGTAGGGTTCCGCGGCCTCGGGGGGGCCGTAGTAGATGAAATTGACGAGGATGGTGGCCTGTTCATGGCAGCTCTTAGCAATCCCCACACCCACATGCAGATAGATCCCCAAGCCCACTACACCCACATCACATCGCATCCCCACCAGCCTCACTGGATATCATGCCAGCGTAGGGCGCAAGAAACATACCATATCCAACCGCGCATTCCACCCCAACACCACCGTCAACGCCAGCCCCTCCGACAACTCCTCCCCATCGAACGCCCGCAGCGTCTCCCACACACTCGCGTTCGCGCTCGCCGCAAACAGCATATCGCCCTCGAGCACCTGCCCCGCATTCGTCGCCTCGTACACGGTGTAGGTGGCCTCGACCACGACCCCGAAGTTCCACCCGGCCCCGCGCAGCCCCCAGAAGAGGTCGGCGTTCTCCGTCGGCGACGCCGTCACCACCGCCCCGGTCGCGGTGACGAGCGTCGCCGACGTGAGCGCGTCGATCATCAGCCCCCGGCGGCCTTGGAGGGGTCCGATGCCGGCGCCGAGGGTGGCGCCGAGCGCGCCGACGCATTGCGCGGCGCCGGTTTCTGTCCGTGCAGCCCCACACACATAGTTAGTTAGTTATTTAGTGAAGGGGGGGAGGGGGTGTGGAGTATGGCTACAGTCGGTTGAGAATAGCTGATGAAAGGGAAGGGGAGGGGCCATGGGCATGGGATGGGGGCAAGAAGGCCGGGGGCAACGCACGGATCTCCTTCCCCGCCGCGTACAGCACATCCCACATCTCCTGGAACTTGGTGCCGCCGCCGACCGTGAGGCTATCGCCGGCGGGACTGAGGCGCGCGTACCGGAGGTCACTCAGGTCGATGTTGATGCCCGCGTGCAGGGTCGCCAGCGTGGCCGAGACGCCGTGGCCGGCGCCGGTGGCGAGGTAGGGGATGTCGTGGGCGTTGGCGAGTTGGATCTTGGGGGCGTTAGCTCTGCTCTGGATGAAAAGGGAGTGGGATAGGCGGGGAAGAGTACGATGTTCTGCACGTCTGCGACGGTCGCTACGCGGATGGCTCCGCTGTACGACGGGGCCTGGTACGCGGACCAGCGCTGCTGGATCCGGTCGGTCCAGTTCGGCCAGCTCGGGTAGAGGATCTGCGCGTCGGGCGAGAGGACCGGTCGGAAGAGGGATCCGAGGTCGGTGTGGTTGTGAGTCTCAAGAGTCTGGGGGTGGGCTGCCAGGGCCAGGGCCAGGGCCAGCTGAGCCAGTAGGAATATCAGGGCGGAAAAGTATGGCATCTTGGGTTCGCATTGCTGGATGGTGAGATATGTCGGTTCGGCGGACACAGGCTTTAAATTATAGCCTCGTGGGAGGGCAGCCGCTAATCGGGACTAACTATCTTGGCTGCATTAATTAACAGTCAACGGAGCAAGCCCTAGTCCAGTCCAGTCCCGGGTCGGAGATGCTCGAAGCCGAAGGTACATTACATGTACACTGGGCCATTGAGATGGCATGTCTGGTGCGGTGTAGCTGTCACATGCCGTATATCCGTATATCTGTGCAATCGACCGAGTAGACAGACGGCCAGGACACTGGCTGCGGTAGCTCCTTTAGACAAACGGCTTGTGTCGATCAACCTGAAAGCGAAAACGGCGGCCGTGCGGGAGGACTATCGGAGCCGAAAAGCCCACCATAACAGTAGTGTAGGTGGTGTAGTGTACTCCGCAGTGTACTCTGTAACTCCGTAGTGTACAGCAAGTACCACACCCAATGATCGTAACCTCATCAATTTAATTAAAGTCTTATGTATCACATCACTACCGTACCCTCAAAACTCCAACTCCTCCACCTCCATCCCACAATCCACACACGTCTTAACCCCGATCCCCGTCTCGGGATTCTCCACCGACCGGCCCCATTGATGCACATGCCGCCCGCCAGTCCCCAGATCATCGCCGAACTCCCCACCAGCCGCGCCCATCCGATTCCGCCGGTAGGCGTCCACGCGCGTGCGTTTCTTGAGCTCCTGCAGCTTGGTCTTGAACTTGGCCTCGCGCCGCCGCTTCTTCTCGCCCTCGCGGCGCTCGAACTCGGCATCCAGCGCCTCGGGAGACCCCCACTTCTTCGCGGAGAAGGCATACTCCTCGACCTGGTACCGCAGGTAGAGCATCATGTTGTTCCACGTGGACTTGTGGGGATTCGGCCGCTCGAGATGCGGTAGCAGTTCTTCGTCGCGGAGTTCCGCTACCGTGGAAGAATAGGAATCAGCACAGCCCATCCAGTACCCCGAACCGTCCCCCCCATCCCCCAAGGACTGTCAGAAGAAGAAAACTCACGATCCGTCAACAGATAATCCTCCTTGGCCTCCGTCTTCGTCAACAGACTATACCGGTCGGGAAATTTCTCCTTGCACGCATGACAGACCCGACACCGCAACTCCGCCTCCCACTTCCAATCAATCTCGAGACTGCCGCACTCGCGACACGCCTTCTGCTTCGCCTTCTCCTCCAACACGCTCAGCCCCGGCTCGAACGGGCCCGCGCGCTCCCGCCGCAGCGCCTGCAGCAGGACCTGCCGCTCCCACTCCTTCTGCGTCATGCCGGCGGGCTTCTGCTCGGCTTTCGGGTCGTGCACGTTCAGCGCCTTGTTGTAGGGATCGTCTTCCGTCGACAGGAACCCGCCCTTGGTGTCGGTCATCTTGCTGAAGTCGTAGTCGACGAACTTCGTGAAGTTGCGCGCCGGGCGGATGGTGTCGAGGGGTCGGTGGGTGGTGGTTGTGGCATCGCGGACGGTGGACGGGGTGGGTTGGGAGGTCATGGTAGTGTGGCTTCTTTTGATGCCTTTCGTGGGTTGTGTGGTGCTTGCTGCTGCTGCGGCCGCGGCGGCTTCGGCGTCGCGCTGTTCACGAATGGCTTTGGCTTTCATGCGGTTGATCTCCTATCACAGTTCAGGATTGTCAGAGAAGACTGGAGGGGGTGGGATGAAGAGAAGGACGTACGATCCGCCGCAGCTGCTCTGGAGTGAGCGGGCCTCGAGGGAGCTCGCCGGGCTTGGTGGTGCCCGTTTGAGGCGGAGGTGTTGACGGTCGGTCGGATGGCATGTTTGCTAGTCTCTCTCCGACTTGTCTGGATCGTAGGCTTTCAACGAGAATATGAATGGAGATGAAGATGTAGAAAGAGTTGGAGGCGTCGGCGTCGCGGTCGCGGTCGAGGCCGTCGCCACATCACGTGCCGATAAGCCTTTGAATTGATGAGCGATAAGGACTTATCGGTCCCGCCGATAGAGAATGACGTAGGACTACAATACTCTATACGGAGAACTCGGCCTCGGACTCGTCGCTGTCCATGTGAAGTCAACCCTAACTTGGTAGGAAAGGAGCCGGGGGGAAACTCTATCGCCAGTCCATGGTTGAAAAGACAGCGGGGAGAACGGTGGAAAGCTTGTCCTCAGCAGTCTTAGATGGTATGGACTATGCTCATACATGCAAGCGAGGTATTGCACAGCTGATGATGAATTATGATGCCCGATTCTCATATCAACGACTCCGGACTCTTACTACTTTGTATCAAGGAACTGGACGAGACCCAAAAAACATCCACATCATACTCAACCTAGACATATCACTTCAACATCGTGTTCACTACCCATCAACGCTAGCAAACACGCAAGCCGTAGCAACCCCTCCTGATCACCAGCCACTCCAGACAGTCGACTCAATTGAAACCCTCCCTCTCGGCCCTCACCAGCAACTCCTCCAATCCCACAAACTCCATCCCGGCAAAGATCTCCTCCTTCTGCCGCAACGCCTTCTCTCGGGGGCAGCAGATCGCCCCCTTAATCGTACACTCCTCCAGCTCCGGAAGTGCGATATTCGGATCATCCGAAGGGGTCGGGTGCTGCTCGACATCATGCTCGATCTGCTCGACGGACCGATACTCCCTCTTGAAGGGGCGGCCTGCAACCTCGTCTCACGGTGATCAGCACGCAGCCCTCTCAATTCCTTGCGGCACACAGTGCAGACACGGAGTGTGACGCCCGGAACACGTACCGTGATACTTCTCCAACAACTCCGCCGCCTGATTGAACGTGCCCCATTCAGCCGCCACATATGTCACCGGTTCCTTACCACCCCAGAGATTAGCATGCATGCCTCATCCCACCAACCTTAACCCCCACAATCAAACAACCCAAAGAGAAGAAAGAAGACATACCCATCGCTCCCGCCCCAACAACCGCACCACCGCCCGCGCCAAATCCCGCGACCACGTCCACGACTGCGGCGCCTCCCCATCCCCCTCCACCCGATACGTCCACGTCTGCGGATCGATCGGGAACTCTCCCGGCACGTACGCAATGTACGATTTATGCTCCGCCAGGAAATAGTCCATATACCAGCCGTGGTTGACCAGCGTCCACTCGATGTGGTGGCTCGCCGCCCGCGCCCGCAGGATCTCGCGGAAGGGCGCGCGCGTCAGGCCGTAGGAGCGCGGCAGCAGCGGGAAGTCGTCCACGTTGCCGGCCCACTCCGACGGGATCAGGCGCTTGCAGGTCTGCGAGGCGATGCAGGCGTCCAGGAGGTGGGTGTGCAGCGGGAGGTAGATGTCGTTGGAGCAGCGGATCAGCGAGAGGAGGGTCGTGGCCCGTGTGGTGTTGAGGATGGGGAGTAGAGAGGCTGCGGTGTAGTCGGTTTGGTGGGTGGTGATTTTGGGGTGTGAGGTCCAGATTGGGGCTTTCTTGCATCGAAGTATTGTTAGTAGGTTGTGGGCTTTGTGAGAGTGTGGGATGGGGATGGGGATGGGGGTGTTGAAAGAGCCAGGGGGATGTACAGATCGAGTCAAAATGGCAACGGCGTAGTCCGGGCTGCTGGTGATGGCTTCGGCGAGATACCGTCCGAACCCGCCGGTTCCACCTGCGAGGACGATGACTTGGGGCATTATGCGATCAGATCAATTCTGGTTCCGGTTGTGACTGTGAACTGTGAGATAAGATGCGGAAGGGTGGGCTCAATGCTGCAGTGTGCAGGTTGGTTGTCAAGCAGGCGGCTGTGGGCCCCGGGCCGTGTTTATGTACTGTACTCCCACATGCGAACACATGGGCTCCCTAGTTGCTTTCGTCAGTAGATCGACCTCGGATGCAGCTGCGGTGTGACAGTCACTGACTCAGAGACCATGCAGTCGACTTAACTTAGATGTGCTGTAGGTGGCGCTGAGTCAGAACTCTACTGTCGTGGATATGAAGTCTCAGCACTTGCCAGTGATGCTCGTACTCGAGCCATCCTGCGAGGAGGTCGTCACCGGCTCAGGATGGACGTCGAGTTGTGCAACTTGTCTATGTCACTAACAGATTCGGATCCCGAGGGAATTGAGGTTGCATTGATGCGGCGTGAAGTCATCCCAGGATGGATTGCGAATGCTGACACACGTTACATCAATCTCAAGATCATGGGTGGTGACACAAGCGTGGTCGACGAGACGGGGAAGGGATATCCCGACTTTCCAGTGGAGGAGATCGTCCGGACTGGCGAGTATAGACCCGGATACCTGCCATATAATATCTCCATGCACCTCGTGCCTGCCCGTGCCCACTTCTGCCAGACCATATACTAGCCAGATACATCCAACCACCTCACGTCATGGGAGAGTCACCAGCCATGAAATCACCAAGCCCAAGCAAGGGCGTCCAATGCGTCCCCAAAGACACGCCTCTCCCCGAGATCCTCGCCCACATGAAGCGTGACGGCGGCGTGATCATCAAGAACCTGATCGCCGAAGAAGACATCGACCGGACCAACGACGAAGTCAAAGAACGGCTCGCCCAAGACCTGGAGTGGGATGGGGTGTTCTTCCCAAGTACACCCCTTTAGCCCTTTAACCACCACCCCATACTCACAAGCATCCAGAAGAAACCAAGCGCGCTAACTCCATGATCGCGGTCAGCCCCACCTACACCAAGACCCAGCTCATGAACCCGATCTTCCAAGCCATCTGCACCCACTTCCTGACCACGCGGCACTGGTTCTGGTGGGGCGAGGAGCGCAAGGAATCCGTGTCCAAGCCCTACGTCTCCTCGTGCACGGCCATGGAGATCGGCCCCGGGGCCCAAGCCCAGCCGCTGCACCGCGACTCCTTCGTGAACCACACCTGGCTCTCCGAGATCGCGGCGTGGGACGACGAGCGCGACCGCCACCGCGAATCGGAGATCGGGATGATGGTGGCCGGGTGCAAGGTGACCAAGGCGAATGGCGGGACGGCGTTTATCCCGGGGAGTCATTTGTGGTGCGTGCATTCAGCCAGGTCCCCTTTCCCTCCCAAGCCATATACCATATCCCTAACAACCCAGCAGGGGCACCGACCGCACCACCCCACCCCGCGTGCAAGACACCCTGGCCGTCGAGATGGACAAAGGCGACGCCTTCATCCAGTTCGCCTCCACCTACCACGGCGGCGGCCGCAACACGACCCCCGACCAGAAGCGGCTGTGCTACGCCACCTTCATGGTCCGCGGGTATCTGCGCCAGGAGGAGAACCAGTTCCTGGCCGTCCCTCAGGAGGTGGCCCGCCGGTACGACCGCCCCATCCAGGAGATGATGGGCTACTCCCTGAGTGACCCGGCGTGCGGGTATGTGGAGCAGCTGGATCCGATCTATGCGCTGCGGCCGGAGTTGTTGGGGGAGGCGCGGCCGAGGGATTGGTAGGTTGTTGCTGGAGTTTGATTCCGGGGTGGGGGTCAGGAGGAGGGTTTTAGTCTGTTGCTTGTGTAGGGGATAGTGTCATCGGCTGGGGGATTTGTTCTTGGTTGTGAGAGTAGGTTGGGTTTTGATTGCTGTGGTGCGGTAGTAGTTATTGCGTGGTTGGGCTGGAAGTACACTGCGCGAAATTGATCTTTCTTAAGGTCTGGTAGCAACAGCTCCCTGCCAGCTTGTCGTGGTATTAGCTTGTTTAGGCTTGCGAACAGCGTAAGCTGGACAGAAAAGGTTTCAATGGTGGTTGTAGTAGTAGCGATGGCTTGAAAATCACCACGACATATAAGTTCTTGTTTGCAGCCACGAAAGGCATTAGCTTTCTCAATCTGCACGTAAACTATGTTCAAGACAAGAGCACTCTTCTTTCTACTAGTCGTTATACACTTGCTGCACATCAGTCATCGAGAGGACTGGGATATGAGGCACTTACTTCGCCATCAAAGTATTTTTTACCAGTATACACAGTTCCAGCTAATCCAATAAATGGAATATTCAGCACCCCTCGCAGAGAAACTCTACAAAACCAAGATAAGCAAAGATACCCAACCATCCATAAACCCGTATCCTCACAGAGACAATATACAAAGGACTCTCACGTCACACACGCGCTGACTATCTTCAAAAGCAAAGAGCACCTGCTGATGCAGATTCCAGCCACCCGGCTCTTACCAAAAGCCGGATGGCGATCTCGTCACGAACCGCACCCCGCATAGTCCCAACCCTAACCCCAGCTTTATACACTCGTATCCAATTTGGATGACTGCAAAGCAACCCCAAGCATGACTGCTAATCCCTGTGCCAACCAGCGGGGGTAAGCCGATGGCGTCGTGGTGCCAACATCCCCCATCCCCCCCGCAGGCGACTTCTCCATCCCAGCTTTGAGGTTATACAACATCTGGTCGAGTCCAAAAGAACCGATCCTAACCCCAGCACCCAATTTCTGCAGAGTAAGCACCTCTACCCATGACCTCAATAATCCCCAAGAACAACGAAGGTCCCGATTCCCATCAGCAGACAGAAGAGTGCTGCCAGGAGAGAAGCCATTAGCATATCCGCTCCCTCCTAATCCGAACGTGACCTGAAAATAATAGTCATACCCAGAAACAAGTTCATGTAGAAATACCCCACCGCCTCAGTCAGCGCGCCAGAGACCAACGGCCCGATGAACATGCCCCCCTTCCAGGTGGCATTGGACAAGGAGAAGGTCCGCGAGTACCCGCCATTCGAGCCGAAGATGCCGGGTTTCTCGTCGGCGAGCTCGTTCGCGCCATCTGCATAGCTTAGCATCTTTCACTAGCCACCAGAGAATTCCCAAATGTAGTTGGCGTGAATGACAGTAGGTGCCGGGTCAAGGATGGACCAACTTACTCAGAACCTCCACCCCCCCATACCCCAGGATCAACGTCCTCCACACCCCAATCGCCACCAACGCCCCAAGATACACCACCCGCCCACTATGCCCACCCATCATCATTCCCCAAAACTCCTGGCCCGGGAGCCCCAGCAGCACCAGCGACGGCGCCAGCAGCACGAACCCCAGGGACACGGGGTACCGCAGCCCGAACCGATCCTTGAGCCCGCCGACGGGCACCACCAGGACCAGCGTCGGCGCCTGCAGCAGCAGGAACAGGAGGCCGGCGTGGAAGCTGTCCCAGTGGAAGACCTCGCGGATGTGCAGCGGGATCGTGGCCTCGAAGCTCGCGATGACGATGGCCAGCAGCGTGTCGCCGAGCAGGCCGGCGGCCACGCGTTTCTTGCGCAGAATGAGCCAGTAGATGTTCTCCTCTTGGGTGATGCTGCTAGCCGCGGGGCTTGGCGGCTGGGTTGCGTCGGTGGTTGTGTGGTATGTGCGCGCTTCGGCGGCAGGGCTGGATGGGAGGAGCGGATCGGTGGCGTCGAGGGTCTGCGTCTGGGTCTCGCGGGAGCGAGTGCGAGTAGTGTCGTGCTCCTCGTCCCCTGTGTCCCAGTCTTTGGGATGGGAGCTGACGTGCGCCCCGCCCCCGCGCGGTTCGAGGACGAGCAGTTGCAGGATCAACCCGATCAGCAGGACGATGAACGCGCTCGACCACATGACGGGGTAGGAGACGAATTTGTACAGCGCGGCCGACACGGCCGGACCGGTCAGTAGACCCGCGGAGACGAGCAGGACGGCGACCCCGAACGCCTTGCTCAGGTGTCTCGTCCCAGCGGCGTTGGCGAGCATCGCCATGCCGACGATCCAGATCACCGAGCCCGCGACGGTCTGGATGAGGCGGCCGATGATGAGAACCGTGACTGCGAACGTCGTTGCATCAGCTCTATCCTCTATGACAAAATGAAGCTACCCACGTGTCGTTGCCCAAGCAGTCACCGCCGTGCCCAGCATATTCGCCACCCACGCGGCGATCAGAAGCCCATTCCGCGAGGACAGCTTATCCGCCAGGTAGCCGGTGACGGGCGCGAGGATGATCGAGACCAGGGCGTTCATGGCGAGGATGAGGGAGGTTAGTGTCTGAATGCGCGAGGCGGGCTGCTGGAGGCGGGTCTCCAGGATCTCCGGGAGAATGGGGGTGATGAAGGTGAAGAGGAAGTTATCTAGGTCACATACCATCAGCAGCAGTGATCATCCTCAAAGTTCTGCAGAATTGTGGTGTACCAACCTGAAAACAGCGCCACCGAGACTATCGCAACGATGTACAGTCCTGAGGACCGCCATCGATGGCCCAAGGGCTTGGACGGTCCCGTTAAGCCCCGTGCCATTGTGCGCAACTGCGAATGCCGGGGATAGTGAGATGGTTGCGCCCTCGCCCATCATTGTATGCTTTGCGTTATAAATGGTGTGAGAAGATATGATGTATCTCTGTCGATGACTTTCCATCCTCATTCAGCAGGTGTTTCCACGGTTACTCAATGGCCGTAACATTGCATATGCTGGTGCACCAGTTCGCTGCGGTGTCTGCGGTGGAGCAGGAATCGGGGTGATACAGTCGGCTTGGGGATACGAGGCTCGCGCCACTTGCTCGGGCTTGCTGACTGGGCGGAATGCGAATGCGGATAGGACCGAGTGTTGTCTTTCTTCCTGCTCAGCTTGCATGATGGGTTCTAGTGGGTTGGGAATGGTTGGTTGTTGTTGATGACAGTGAGTAGAGTGAGTATACAACTGGCTCCCACTGGAGGACGGACTGGTCGGGACATCGGGTATGATGCCCGCTCGGCGAGTAATGGCACGAATTCTGCTGCCTTGTGCTTGGGCGCCTCAAGCATGATTGAAGATGTCGCTTCTCAAGCTCAATTGTTTTATAATACATTGTCGAAGCTTCATTTTTACTAAGCACATTCGCAATATACAATGTCGAACCTATAGATCGGTATGCATTCTATTAAACCCACAATCTATGCTGAAAAGAAAAACAGTGATGTAATTATATCCTCAGAACAAGATGCAGCGTTGCAAAGGCAGGCCAGACCCGCAGCGAGCGGTTAGTGTAGAATCCCGAGCCAGCAGTCTTTCATTCACCTCTAACTTTTTTCGACAATCATTAAGCATGTACTTCACAAATCTAAGCAATCACAGCCTCCAAGGCCTGCTCGAAGATCTTCAGGCCCGTCTTGAGCTGCTCCTCGGTCATCGTCAACGCAGGCACGAACCGGATGCAGCCCTCACCGGCGGTGATGATCAGCATGCCACGCTCGCGAGCGGCCGCCACCAAGTCACCAGCCTTGGCGCCGAACTCGGGAGTGAGCTGCACACCCAGGATCAGACCGCGACCGCGAACCTGCGAGATGACGTTCGGGTGCTTCTCCTTGAGGGCAGCGAAGCCGGCCTGCAGCACGGCCGACTTGTCCTCGACCTGCTTCTGCAGCTCGGGCGAGGCCAACCGCTTGACGATGTGGTGGGCGACGCGGCAGGCCAGGGGGTTACCACCAAAGGTGGTACCGTGGTCGCCTGGCTTGATGTGCGAGGCGACGGTCTTCTCGGCGATGATGGTGGCACCGATGGGGAAGCCGTTGCCCAGCGCTTTCGCGGTGGTCAGGATGTCGGGGTGAGCGGCCTCGCCGGCGGCGGGCGCCAGCGAAGGGTGGCCGTGCGCCCAGAGGCTGCCCGTCCGGGACAGACCGCACTGGATCTCATCGAAAATCAGGACAGCGCCCACCTCGTCGCAACGCTTGCGCAGAGCAACCAGGAACTCGGGGGCGGCAACGTTGACACCACCCTCCCCCTGGATGGGCTCGACGATCACACCGCAGGTCTTGTCGGTGACGAGAGTCTGGAGCTGCTCCACGTCGTTGTAGTTTCCGTACTTGAAGCCCGGCAGCATGGGCGAGAAGGGGGTTTGGTACTTGGGGTTGGGGGTCGCGGACAAGGCACCCATCGTGCGGCCGTGGAAGGAGTTGTGGAAGGAGACGAGCTCGTGCTTGGCGCCTGAGGGGTCGCGCGAGCGACCGACCTTGCGGGCGAACTTGATGGCAGCCTCGTTGGCCTCGGTACCGGAGTTGGCAATGAACACCTGGGAAGCGTCCCGCATGGCACCGGACTCGCGGGTGACCTCGATCAAAAGCTTGCTCAGGGCTCCGGTCCAAGCATTGTAGTACAAGTTCGAGGCGTGGATAAGGATTTCGGACTAGAGGAGAGGCCCTCGTTGTTAGTGATCCGGGAGCCAGCATGAATGGAGAGTGTGGGTACACACCTGTTCGGCGATGATCTTTGCGATCTCAGGGTCACAGTGGCCAAGGGAGTTGACAGCGATACCGGACGTCATATCAAGGTACTTTCTGTTCTCCATATCCCAGAGGTAACTGCCCTGACCCTTGACCATCACCGGAGGTGGCCGGACGTAGGTGGGGACCATGAACGGGGTTTGAGCATTGATGAAGGAGGATGAAGCGGAATCGGCGGTGGGATCGGGGTTAGGCAAGGACCTTTCATCCTAGAAAATGATCGCACGTCAGTATAGAGTGCGATACCCAAGGAATTCTCAATTAGCACATCAGAAATTCACCTTTGCTTGAGGAGCAGCTGTTGCGCTCAAGGACCGCACGGGCACTGCGGTGAACCGAGGACGGAGCACGGAGTTGATTTCAGGAACCAGTTTCCTGGCAGCGGGCAGACGCCGCGAGGCAAGGTGTAGAAGAGGCATTGTATGAATAGACACTGGGGAATTGAGCAACGTGTCGACCTCTGGCAACCGGGGAACTTTATACCTGACACCTGTGGGAGGAGGTAGGAAAGCGCGATTTAATGACTCGACGGGCACGCTCGCAGAAGAAGAAACACCGCACCGCAGCCCGACGACCTATCGGAGCCGAGAATCGGAGCGGCAGCCCACGCCGTGAGTCACCTGAGTTTGGCGTGTTTGCAGCTGCCAAGAGCCCACCAAAAGTGGAGCCGGCAGTCGGAGGTCCCGCAAATACACTCAGGGCTGCTGCACCGCAATCAATCTTTCAAGGCCCCGATCTCCGCGTCGTGTTTGTTATTCTCCCACTTCCATCTATGTAACATTGAACACCCACCAACCAATACGAGAGAGGAATCCGAAGATAAGGGATTGAATCTGAACATTATTCAAGCAATGGCTTTCAAGTTTCTTGGGCCATAAAGTACTTCATATGTGATTCAGTCAAAGAAGAGTATCACGCAGAGTCGCTACAATACAGCCAAATTTCCTATCGTATTCTGCATGACAGGCTGCTCCACAATAATGTCCACACACCCACCTGCCTACCCATCAATCATGTCCCTGGCTCTCTGTGGAGGATGTACCGCAGCCGGGTCGTCCGACGAGCACCGCGACAGGTTCCCTGACTCTGTCACATATTCCATATGACGATGAGCCACCTCCGAACCGCTGTCCACTGCGGTCATACTTGTTGCTTCGCTGCCTTGACTGGCAGTGCGGGGGCTGATCTGAGTTTCTGGCTTTGGTTTGGCGAAGGGGTCTTCTCCCGGTTGCTGCTGCTGCTGCTGCTGCTGCTCCTCTGGGTTGATGATGCCCATCTCAACATACCGGTCCATCTCGTCCGTGTCTTTCTGCGTTGACTGTCTCCTAATCTCCCGAACAAAGGAACGGCCCTTTGTCCACCAACTGGGTTTCCTCTGGCCAACGCCCATGTCATCTGCCAGGGCGTTATCGAGGTCACCGCGACGAGCGATTATGGCCTGGTCGTCGTTCAACTCACAGTGACCACAGATGTTGAACAAAACAATCAGGAGGAGTGGGGGCGTATAACCCAGCCCGTAAATCCAACCGCCGCTGACACCATACCTCAGCGGTGACACTGTCCAATCGTACGCGGATGCAATCGCATATCCGACTTTGAATCCCAGTAACACGAGAGCCACGAGGAATTGGGAGGGTGCGGCATTGAGATAGAACATAAGCTGGCCCCAGGTACTCGTAGGGCGGATGCGATAGCGGTATAGACTGTGCTCCAGGCTATAGCAGATAACAAGAACACCACCCATGGCTAGGAAGCTGGCAATGCGCCATCGGATGTCCGTTGCGGCAGGTTTCGCATCGGCCATCTCTTGCTCTAAACTCCGTTGCATCTCGATCGGCCCCCAGGAGCGCGGAACGGTCAGGAAGAAGTTCGCGAGGGCTAGACCGTAGAATATCATGGGGAGCACGAATTCTTGGCCTCGGCGGGTGCTGGACTTGCTGAATGCGTAAGGGTCTCGATCGATGATCTGTCGTTCCTGCCACGAGCCCCTTGATGTTGCTTTGAGTCAGGAAAGGTCCGGGATCGGTAGGTTTAGAGACGAAGATCATGCTTACCAGTGCCGAACAGCCTCCCACACAACCGCCATCATCACAGGGGTGAGAATGGTATAGAAGACACTCTGCAGAACCAAGGGACTGTTCACCACATAGTCCCGATCCACGTCGATGCTCATGAAGCAACTGATCGCTCCGCAGCCGGCAAGCACGAGCATCCAGATCCATTTGGCTCGGCGACCCAGGAGTCTCCACCGTCGATCATGCGGCAAGTATCGTCGCCCGTGTTTGCGCAAATTAAGTAAAGTGAAGAAGATGGAGATGGAAAACATCAATGCAAAGGCCAGGCCTGCTGCTGCATGGGAACCTATATCCCGAACGGGCGCATAGCATGAGACTCCTTTAATGACCGTCCCGTTCTCCGTCTGCATATGGGGCTTGAATTGGTTGAATGCAAGATAGCAATCCGTGCCATTGGAGAGCGTCCCGTTGCTGTAGAGCTTGTAGTGGTAAATGTCGAGGGCGGTACGATTGAAATGAACCTCATTGATGAGCACATCGGTGGAGTTGGCACCGGCCTCGAAAGGCACGACAGCGCGAACGTACAGCAGCGTCATGGTGTGGTCGGTTCAAGATGGGGTCTGCCCCGGGTGAGAAGGCGATCGGCTTGGAGACATGCAGTTTCCCGAGCAGGGAGTTAGGCCGATCACCATCATAACAATCGAGTGATCGAGGGGCTTTGAGGAGACCAGATAGAAGAGTGAGCTACAGCTGCTCGGGACGCGACGGAGCCATGACGGCGGGACATCAGCGACAAGGTCGCATCCAGGGACGAGTCGATGATGCGCCGAGGACCCAGCAACCCAATCAGAATCTGGATCCTGGCTTTTGGGTTCGGGTCATGATCCGTCGAGCGAGGATCCAGAGGTCTTATAGTGTTCCATGGTCGAGTTGAAAGAGTGATAACTTCTTCGCTTACTCAAGTGTACTGGAGGAGAGAGATTCAATACCTGATGGGATAACATTGGGGTGGAGGCAAAGGCACTGGCCGCGCCTGGAGTAGATGCGACCGGTCTCCACCACGGGCGCATCAACCACACCCCATTCGGGTCTGCAGAGGGAATCAAAGAGCTCCACCATAGATACTCAAATCTACTCATGTCGAGTACATCTCAAGACATCATGGATATGATAATCAAAAATGAAAGGCGAAGGAGTGAATTGCAGGCTAAGCATCAGGCAAATCACAAGGACTACCTACCATAAAAAACCACAAAAAGCTCACAACTGTCAGGAAGCAGCCCGCTACGAATAGATTCTACGTTTAAGGCATACTGCCCACCAGCGCTCACGAAAACCCCTCACTCTAACTAACCTGCCCTCGGGATTTTCATACCAGTTCATCATCCCAGTGGGTGGAGGGTTACTCTGCCTTTTATCTGCTTGCGTCAAGCTAAGGTTCGCCCTCTCCACGGTTCGAACGCAGGCCGGCGGCACCACAACCCGTCATCACCCCCGTTGCACCACCCGGCTTGCTGGTTACCGAGCCAAAACCTTGCCTGGCCTATAGCCCAACCACACCTAGCCACTTTTGCTAACATATTCGCGAGCAAACTCCGAGACCCACAACTGGGAAGCTTGGCATGGTCTGCCAAGAGTTGGCCCATCCTTGTTGTCTTTCGCTTGTTGTACCTAGTATAATGGGTAGTTGTCTATTTTGTGAAGTTGCCATTTTTGCTATCCTCCACTCGGTCATTTTTGTTCAACATTTGGCAAGTTGAGTAATGTGAAGTAATTGTTTGTGCGAGAAGTAGCAACCTCGTGCCTTCCACATCTACCCTCCTGCGGATCTAGCACGATCAGGCTTGGTGGCTGGATTGCCTGGCCTTGAGGCATCAACCAGCCAATCTTGAAAGAGATGTGACGGATGGAATTTGTCCGGCTGTTTAAAGTAGATTGCAGCACTGTCGGGAAGAAATAAAACTATCCCCGGACAGCACGCAAGCTGCATTGCATGCACTGTTGTGGGCATTGCATTCCAGGCTAATTGCAAGCCCCACTCCAGCCGGCTGTCAAAGTGCTAGCCAAACCCGGGGATTGATTGCTTATGCTGCAGAAATGCCTCCGCATGACGAAGCTTATTGCTCACGTGGTGTCTGTGCGCTATGCTCAGCTGCAGGCTCGGTCCAGGAAAGGGGCCCTCATTGAAGGGAATGCTTCGTTCGCATTGCATGGGCTGGCCATCCGGGGCTCGACTGGACGGAGACTGGCAGAGTAATTGACCAGGAGCGATGGGCAAGGACAACATCGAGATGGTTTCATTCCACCAATTAATACACCGACCGAGTCCATGGCGCCTTGCCATTACATGAAAGGCCTACCATCATGCCGTGACGAATACATCCAAGCGAGCTGCAAGCTGCCCTGCCAACCTCCTCATCTTGCACCGAGTCACTCTAGCGGCAGGGCTGCCGAACACCGGATTAAGCCACAAGCCCCTGGATGTCATTACTTTGGGTGGTGGAATCGTCATCAGTCCGAGCCGTCTCCGACCTGCTAGTACCGCTGCAGCCAATCGCGAATGCGAGTGCCGCAGGAAGTATCTTCGTCAACAATCTCATTCTCCTCGAGACGAGCTCTGTCCGCAATTCCGACGGCCAGCGATGATTTATCCACCATTTGGCATGGATATCGTCAAATCACAGAGGCATAGACGAACCTCACAGCCTGGCAGGGATCGTGTCTTAGCGCCGGCATATCATGCTGAAACCCGCGGTTCATGGGGTGCAATCTAAACAATAATCCCACCACGGAATTTCACGCCCAGAGATAGGATCTATATCCATCGCTCCCTAGCAGTATTTAAGGCCGACCCAAGCCTTCTGTCCAAGAAAAGCCAAGTCGACTAAGGACGGGCAGTCGAAAGCTTGGTTTTTCTTGTCACTCACGTTGCTTCTTCTTACAATGCTCGTCAACTCGGCAGTTCTCTTCTCGCTGGCCCTCGGGGCCATCACCGTCGGCGCCAACCCGGCCCCTGAGCCCCCTGCAATCACTGCAGCTCCCAAGGTGGGCGATCTCGAGAAACGTGCGACAACCTGCACGTTCTCGGGCTCCAACGGTGCTTCATCTGCGAGCAAGTCGAAGACCTCCTGCTCGACCATCATCCTCTCCAGCGTGGCCGTCCCATCCGGCACGACCTTGGACCTCACGGACTTGAACGAGGGAACTCACGTACGCATTTTCCTCGATTCTCCCAATCCCCCATACACTGACCGAAAACACAAATGAATAGGTCATCTTCGAAGGCGAGACCACCTTCGGCTACGAAGAATGGTCCGGCCCTCTGGTCTCCGTCTCTGGCACGGACATCACCGTGACTGGGGCTAGCGGGGCATACCTCAACGGCGACGGCAGCCGCTGGTGGGACGACGAGGGCTCGAACGGGGGCAAGACCAAGCCCAAGTTCTTCTACGCTCACGACCTGACCGACTCGGTCATCAGCGGCATCTACATCCAGAACTCCCCGGTCCAGGTGTTCAGCGTGGACAACTCCAACTACCTGACGCTGGAGGACATTACCATCGACAACACCGATGGCGACGATGACGGTGCCGCGAACACGGACGGGTTCGACATCGGCGACAGCACGTACATCACCATCACCGGCGCGAACGTGTACAACCAGGACGACTGCGTTGCGATCAACTCAGGCGAGGTACGTCCGAACTACCCCTCTCTACCCTCCCTCCCAAGGAGATCAAAAACAGCTAACCCCGCGGCCTGTGGTGTACAGAACATCTACTTCTCCGGCGGCGTCTGCTCCGGCGGCCACGGGTTATCGATTGGCTCCGTCGGCGGCCGCAGCGACAACACCGTCAAGAACGTGACCTTCTACAACTCGGAGATCAAAAACTCGCAGAACGGTACGTCCTCCCCCTTTACAGTTTAGAAGCACACGTCCGCGTAAGCTAATAACCTCAGGCGTCCGCATCAAAACCATCTACGGCGACACCGGCTCCGTCTCCGAGGTCACCTACAAGGAGATCACCCTCTCCGAGATCACCGAGTACGGGATCATCGTGGAGCAGAACTACGACGACACCTCGGAGGCGGCCACCACCGGCGTCCCGATCACGGATTTCGTCCTCGATGACGTCCAGGGCACCGTCGAGAGCACGGGCACCGATATCTACATCGTGTGCGGCTCGGGCAGTTGCTCCGACTGGACGTGGACGGATGTGAGTGTCTCGGGCGGGAAGACCAGCTCGTCGTGCACGAATGTGCCGAGTGGGATTAGTTGTTAGTCTTGCTGGGCATGTGTGTGCTTGGTGGGGGGTCTGGTAGATGGGGTGGATGAGTGGATGGGCTGGATGGGGTCGTGTATATAGTGTAGCAGAGCGATATTTCCGGGAAATTGGATCTCAGCTGGGGAGTCGAAGATTCTGTCGCTGTCTGTTTTGAGTAATTCTCTCGTGGCAGGATACTGAGGGATGATCATTGACGAAGTAGGACGTGGAACATGAGGAGCCAGCTTCGATCGGTGCGTGGGGGACTTTTAGTGCGGAAGGGAAGGTGGCTTGCGAATTGACGGCGACTGTCTGTTGAGCTGCGACGACTGTTCGGTAAGTCTTGGAACACCCGTCACTTTACACATATCATGTAGAGCCACCCAAGCGCACTGAATCAAACCGGGGTCTTGGCCCAAAAATCAGTCCAGCATATCTACACACATGGCGCTTACTCTTCACGCCCATCTCGCTTACTCTTTGAGCCAAGCATACATCATCGTCATAGTATTCCACTATCCTTAAACTTTTATCTAGACCCAACCGCAAATCTACTGCAACCGCTGAATGACCTTGATCAGGTCCGCCGACACACCCATGGCAGTGACATCACCGCCGGCGCCGGCACCCTGCACGATCAAGGGGTTAGCGCCGTACCGCTTGGTGTAGAAGCTGATGATGTTGTCGCTGCCCTTGAGGCCGGCGATGGCGCTGTCCTTGTCGAACTTCTCCAGGCCGACGCGCACCTTCTTGGCGCCGACGTCGACGCTCCCGACGAAGCGCACGACCTTGCCCTCCTTCTCGGCCGCCTCCTTGATGGCGGTCATCTGGCCATCGAACTCGGGCAGCCGCTTCATGAACTCGGCAATGCCCTCGGCGGTGGAGGGCACATCAGCCAGCTCCTTGGGGATGAGCGACTCGATGGGGAAGGAGTCGGGGCTCTGGACCTCCAAGCCGGCAATGCGGGCGAGGATGGTCAGCTTGCGCGCGACGTCCATGCCGTTCAGGTCATCGCGGGGATCGGGCTCGGTGTAGCCCAGCTCCTTGGCCTGGGCGACGACCTCGCTCCACTTGGCGGAGCTGGACGATCCCACCGGCGCGAACGTGTTGAAGAGGAAGGACAGCGTGCCGGAGAAGACGCCCTCGATGCGCGTGACCTCGTCGCCCGTGGCGACCAGGTCCCGCAGCGTCGAGATCACCGGCAGCCCCGCGCCCACCGTGCTCTCGTGGTACACGAGCGCCTTGCCCTCGGCCGCCGCCGCGAAGATCGCCTTCCACAGCGCCAGGTCCGACGAGAAGCCCTTCTTGTTCGGCGTCACGATCGAGATCCCCTGGCGCAGGAACGTCGGGTACGCTGACGCCAGCGCCGGGTCGCTCGTGTTGTCCACCAGGATGGAGCGCCCGGGCGCTGAGGACAGGTACGCCGCGATCTCGTCGGGCGTCAGCGCCCCGGACTTGGTGAGTTGCGGCTCCGCAGAGGCGGTCTTCCAGTCCGCCGCGGGGATGGCGGGCGTGTAGGAGGGCGTCGGGGAGAGGAGGGTCTGCGTCGACCGCGCGAGGAGGATCAGTTGCGGGGCGTTGGGCAGACGGGCCAGCTGGCTAAGGAAGGAGGTTCCTACGCCTCCGACGCCTGGTTGCAGATGAGCATGTCAGTATGGGTGGGCTTTTGCTTGTGGTGAGGGGGAGGGGTGGCCGTGTTGGTGGGGAAGGGGGAGGAGCAGGGAACACAAAATGCAATTGTCGTCACCTATGGAGAACGTGTGGTTTGTTTTCGAGGGTACTTACCAATAACACCGAGATAGATAGGAGCAGGCATGATGAGATGATCAATTGGTCAGTTTCTGGTTGATATCCTGAAGCAGCAGGAAGAGGGGAAGAGGAGAAGAGGAGAAGACCGAAGGAGCTCCTCTGCAAAGCCGCTGCGGGGCAGCGCTGACTCATCGTCCTATATCGGCGCACGCCATCTGGCTTGGCAATTGATCTGTAGCAGAATCCAGCAGTAACATTGTGATGTCTTATATTCATGAGAAAGTCTGTATAGCACTACTATGAGGGACACTTGCTCTCAGATTCACGTCGCATTACTTCCATTCTAGGTTGGAAACATCTTAGGGGATGCAGAACTGGACTGTCGGGGTCAATGTCCGCATCAGCACAATATATTTCAATGCGCTTGGCAGACTCAAAGTAACCAGCACGAGCCACGCATTAGACAACAAAGCCTGTGAAAGCAAGGCTCCAGTTCATCTTAGACCGCAGGATCTCTTTGTGGACGCTGCTATTCTGGGTGTATCTTGTTCCACCGCGGGGGGGGGGGCGCCATACTTTGTCATGACACAAACAACAAAGAGAAGCATGATCAGCCCTCTACCTGACGAGCCGGTTTATCTTTGATCATACATTACCTGCAAGCAAGCCTGTACGGGCATTTCTGAAGCATCGCATTGTGTGATCCTACTTTCCAATGTTTGTAGCCATAAAGCAATGTATCAAGCGGAAGCGGAAGTTAAAGGACTCGAGCTGTACTTATGCTTTCATTTGCCCATGAAGACCACTGTCAAGGTCTATACCCATCGCTGAGCATTATTCTTACTCCCCTTGTCCTCATCGCCATAGAAGTATACTTCAGCCGCTGTACCAAACAGATTGTTCCCAGGAATGACCCAGGAAGCCAGCACAACAAAGCAAAGGGCAGAAACACCACCCGCGAAGGTAAGCTCACACCACTTTCCACTCTTTGTAGAGACACAAAACGCCACCAGTACCTCCCTCACCAACCTTACTGACAACCACCCAGAAACGACGGACCTCCCCACCGCGAGAACGCACAATCCCCCCACAAGAAGTCCCCCCCCGCAGCATCCCCTTCGTGACCCGACCCTGGCGCGCCATCAACGGGGGCAAAGGGACCCCCCTCCCCCGCCACCACCGAAAAGAGAACCAGAGTCTCCTCTGGACGGTTCCATTCGGCTACCGCCTCGAGGACGGGGCCTTCGTCGTCACCGCCGAGCTGCTCCAGACCCATCTGACGAGATTGTACGCCCAGATCCACCGGTTCCGGGAACGGTACTCGTGTAGCCCCGAGGAGATCGTGCAGTTAGCGCCGTTGAAGAAGCGCGCCATCCTCCAGCATCTGGGGTCTTTCTGTCGGTGTGAGGACTGGCCCTCCATCAACAAACTGCTCAGCGCGGGCTCCTATGAGCGGTTTTTGAACAAGCTGCTGGAGACGGTGCTGGTAAAGCAGTGCTTTGAGGAGGTCATCTCGAATCCGTTCTTCTATGTCACGCCGTCGGGGGCGGTTGGTGACGGTGACGCTGGTAGTTCATCTTGGTCGTTTGGCCGGGAGCTTAAGGTTCTGTATGAGATGCTTATGAGGGGTGAGTGCGTGTAGTTGATTCGAGGTCCAATGAAGCGTATCTGGTGGAGTCATGCTGACCAATGGTTGTCGATGATGGTAGTGAATCCAGCCAAGGCCCACGAATGGCGACAGAGTCTAACGCATCTCCTACAGGCGGACTATCATGGAGGATCGGATGATTGGCGGGTGGCGTTCGCGGCCAGCGAGAGCTTAGAGGCGGCCTGTCAGAGCCTTGCGGAGAACATGCTGGAGAAGTGTGAGGCGTTTCGCGTGCTTCTGCGGGATCTTGCGGACAACAGCGAAGCCATCGACCAGCGGTGCCGTGACATGGTGGAGATCTTTCGAGTCGCGGCAGAGCTGTCGGTGGGATTTGCGGCAAGCAAGGACGGGTTCGTGTTTCATCTGGATGTTGAGCATGTTCCGCATACGGTTGCACTGATGCGTGAAAGAGTTTTAACCAAGAGCGGGGCGTGGAAGGGAGTTGGCGCCTTCAAAGGCCGGTGTCCGGTTCTCATTCGGCATCCGCTCATCGAACGGTCAGTCTTGGTTGGAGAAGCTCAGGTGAGCCACCGGGGAAGGTGTAGGGAGGAATGGCGGAAGGCCAACGAACACAGCTTTGGTTCGGAGGAAGAACTCGACCGACGGCTTGATTGGCATGTGCCGATGTTCGGCGTGGGTGACTCGCACCTCACTCCAGTCTATCATGGCGATTACCTTTTCGTGAAGGAATAGGTGCTGGACGGGCTTTATATATATGATTAGCGTATCTTCTACATCAGGCTAGGGTTCTGTGCAGTGTCAGCGACGTATGTGATGTAATATCATTTGGCTTGTGTGTATAGTAGTCTATGAAATGTAATCCATCTCGATGATGATCCTAGCACAAACAGTGGATCTCGTGTCGTAAGACAGCTGTTCGGTTTCCTCGTCAGAGATAAGGGACTATGGGATCCGAAATCCTGAAGAGCCAACAGGTCGTACTGGTTGGACTATAGCCAAACCTGCAAATTGGGCCCCATACAAAATGTCGGAGAGGCCGCATCCAATCGCCCCAAGTATGACGGAGCATGCTCTTTGAAGCATCCTCCCTATATCGATTGCGCAGTAACAGATTTCCTTGTCGAAATGCGATCTGTCGAAGCTGGGGTTGAGCCAGAGGCGTAATTTGGTGCGACCTTCAGTGAAAAGAGATATTGAGTTATGTGGCCCGCCATCACCTCATATCTGCATCCTCGTTCTCCTGTCCATTACCACTGCCATTCCATCCCGATGTCGCCACCCCAGGTTGTGTTTGTTGTTGCTGCTCACCGGCCGCAGCCGAAGCGGAAGGAAAACTCAAATACTTCCAATCCTCAATCTCCTCGATGATACACTTGAGCCGATCCCTGATACTCTCCACCGCATACGTCCCCAAGATCAGCCTCAAGGGCGGGTACGAGCAATGCCCGAGCTGCCAGACCAGATGCGCCGCCTTGACCGCACTCGCCGGCTGCTTATCCCCCAACCACATGAGCATCCTTTTGGCATGGGCCGCCGGCGACGTGGAGACATTGTACGGCTCGCTCGGCGGCTTGACCAGGAAATGCCCGTACAACGGCAGCGGGGACGCCAGATTATGCTCATTGGTGCCCATCCCACCGCTGCCACCAAACAAACCCCGATGCATATGATCCGAGACCAAATCCCCAGTGTCATCCCGCCGCATATGCCCCGGCTCGACCAGCGTGGTCTTGACGTTGAAATGGTCCACCTCGTACAGCATGCTCTCCATCAGCCCCTCGACCGCGTACTTGGACGCGCAGTAGGGCCCCAGCCCGGGGACGCCCAGCGCGCCCGATGTCGAACTGAAGATGAGGTAGCGGCCGGCCCGCCGCTCGCGGAAGTGCGGCAGCGAGAGCTGGATGATGTTCAGGGTGCCCGTGAAGTTGGTCTCGAACTGGTCGCGGATGTCGTACTCGTCCTGGTCCTCGCAGGCGCCGATCACCCCGTACCCGGCGCAGTTGGCGATGATGTCGATGCGGCCGAAGCGCGCGATGGTGCGCTGGATCACCTGCTTCACCGTCTCGCGGGCGCGCACGTCGCACAGCAGGCCGAGGCAGTTCTCGTGCTCGGCCTCGAGGTCGCGCATGGCCTCGGGGCTGTTCTCGAAGGTGCGCCCGACGGCGGCGACCAGGTCATCGCGGCTGAGGGCCGTCTTCACGAGGGAGCGGCCCATGTGGCCCGTCGCGCCGAAGATGAGCCATACGAGCGGTCGCGGGGGGTTCTGCGGTCCGGGCGGGTCGGTGGTCGAGGGGAGTTGGAGCTTTGGCTCTCGGGTTCCTGGGGTGGTGGCGGCGGAGGGGGAGATGGGGTTGGTCGAGGATTTCGGAGGGGAGGCGTAGAGATCCATCGAGGATGCAGGAGGAGGTCGTCGACCTCCGCGTGTTGACATGGACAAGCTCCGTCAGTCTGTCGCATTTTCCCCGGACGACGCATTCCCCGCAGCTGTCCGGTCGGTCACGTGAGCGAGCTCGCTTATCGGTCACTGATAAAGAAGGTCCCTCTTTTCTTGCCCGGTTGACAATGTCGCTTGGACAGTACAAACAATGGCAGTAGATCATGGGAGTTCTCTAAACATCCTGATTGCACTGCACGATTGAGAGAGGGCGAGAGAATCACGAGACCCAGCGCAATATAAGTTTTTTGTGGACAACGAGAGGACAAACCGGACAAACAGCTATACAGACTGCCATGTAAACATTGAATCCATAGAGAGCAGTTATGAATGTAAAAGCTGTATTTCAGCAACTTTGTAAACGGGACGATGACCTCAAAAGTGGAGGTCGTGTTTCGCAAAGTACAACATGAGTTCTACACCCCCTCACTCAGCCCAAGCCAAGCCAAAGACGTAACTTACTCAACCTCCTACATAAGACCATCATTCACTATCGCCGCGATCTCGGCTAGACCCGCTCGGAGACGGCCGACGTGGGGACCACCACCGCGCGGCCGGACGAGTATATCAGCATCTTATTTCATCTGGATGCCTTCCCATTACTAGAATCAGACACCAACTCTACTCACTCCACACCCTCATACCCCTAACCAGTCCCATCCCCGCCCCTCCACACACACTCACCATGTCCACCTCCCTCCCCGCCCTAGCAACCCTGACGTCCGAGCCGCAGGACCGCCAATTCCAAGTGCTGGACACGCTCTTCGAGCCGTCGCCCGAACTGCACACCCTCATGGCGCCCGTCCTCGCCCACCAGACCTTCGACAGCTACGCGAGACTCATCGACGCCGTCGGCGGCCGCATGGCGGCCCTGTCCGCGGCCGACTCGTCCAAGGACCGCGAGATCCTCTACGGGATCCTGGGCTCGCATCCCCGGCTGGGACGGCCCAAGGCCGGCCCGACGGAGCATCTGAGCGAGCTCAGCAAGAAGGAGCAAGCGCAGCTGAACACCGGGGCGGAGGAGCAGGCGGAGCGACTGCGGGGCTTGAATGCGGAGTACGAGGAGAAGTTCCCGGGGTTGCGGTTTGTGTAGGTTCTTTTCTGCGTGGCTTGGGTTTGCTGGAGTTTGAGAGGGCTAATTGAGAGGTTTAGGACCTTTGTTAATGGGAGGGATCGGGATGTGATTATGGTGGAGATGCGGGAGAGGATTGAGAGGGGCGATGCGGAGCTGGAGGTTGAGGAGACTATTCAGGTAGGTTGTTGTGAGTGATGTTGTGATGGAGGGATGCTAATTGAATGTTGCAGGCTATGTGTGATATTGCGAAAGATCGCGCGCGGAAGTTGGAGTAGCCTTTTCTTATTTTTGTTCAACCTGGATGGAATGCAACTTGCAGTATCCGCTACCGATCAATCTCTCAATTTGAGATACCTAAGTCTATTACCACTGCACTAGGATAATGCGAAGTCGTGGCTGTGGGAATGTATTGGGTCGTTCAAAGACTTACAACAGCAATGGGGACGGCAGGCTCTCTGTAGATCTATATACACGCTGGTGCCCAGGAGGCCCCACCAACAATCTGGATGATTCTAGTCCATCAACTCAACCGTGGCATTCTATTTCCCGAACGCCTCCTTCTGCTCCGGCACCAAAGTGATCATCTCACCCTTCTCGACCGCCGACCGCAGGTTATTCAACACCAAAAGTTCCATCTCCCGCTGCGTCTCGTACGTCATGGTACCAATGTGCGGCAACAGCATCACCTTAGGGTTGCTAACCAAGCCTGGCTCAATCTCAGGCTCATTCTCGTAGACATCCAGACCGGCAGACAGAACCTGTGATCATCAGCACGCAACCCAATCTTCCTTTCCGAGGTGGTATCTTACCTTGCCGGATTCGAGCGCAGCAACCAAGGCCTTCTCGTCAATCAAGGCTCCACGGGCCGTGTTCACAATGACAATCCCGTCCTTCATCTTCTGGAACTCCTTCTCCCCGATGATGTGACGGGTCGACGCATTGAGCGCCAGGTTCAGACTCAAAACATCGGAGGTGGCCAGCAACTCATCGAAGGAGACATACGTCGCGTCTCCCTCGAGTTCCGGCGATAGCCGTGACCGGTTGTGGTATTGGATCTTCATGCCGAAGGCTCTTGCACGGTTGGCCATTTCCTATACTCCCACATCAGCAGTCCAATTCGTATCATCTTCCCGGAAACGACAGCAACTTACACGACCGATGCCTCCCATGCCCAGAATGCCCAGAACCTTACCCTGCGGATCACGGCCAAGTCCCGTTTGTCCTAGGAATTTACCTACTCGACTTAGTATCTGCATCAAGCACACACCCTCCTCGGGCAGAATGACATACCCTCGCGCAGCGACGAAATCGGAATATAAGCCTGGCGCAGCGCGCCGATCATCAGGAAGATACCCACATCGGCTGTCGCGTTGTTGACCGCGACGGGGGTGCTCGAGACGGCAATTCCTGAGTCCACTCTTTAGCATCGATGCCTACCAGCAAATACCGTGCGAACGAGTTAGAGATTACCTTTCTCTGTGCATCCCTTAACATCGACGTTATCGTAGCCTGCCCCGTTGTGGCAGATGTATTTGAGGGACTTGGGGAGGGCGGAGAGCAGCTCTGCGTTGAAGGGGCCGGTGAACTACCCGCGACCATTAGACTGTTGGCTTGCTTCATGGGCATGGGCAAAATCGGGGGAAGATCGTACCTTGGTGGAGGTATTCGAGCGGTAGATCGCGACCACATCGTCGTATTGGCCCTCCTTGCAGTTGCGGATGAAGTCGTCGCGGGTGCCCTCGGGGAATTCCTGGATCGATGCATTAGATCCGAGGGCTGCGAATAGGCTCGTTCTATGAATTGCACAAATATCTCACCTTGAGGGTTAGAATGGAGGACAAATCCTCCCATTCCTTGCGGGAATGGGTGATTGCACCGATCAACAATGCGGCGGGCATGATGTCAGAGTTGGAGGGGAGAGAAGGGTGTGCGCGGGGTAAATGTTGGCGGGAAAAGTGCGAGATGCGATTGAGGATTGAGGAGAAGAGAAGGAGGAAGGAAAGGAGGAGAAATGCAAGATTAGAAAGTTAACTTAACTACTGAGCTCAAGAGCCACATGTGATTATTCATTATCTATCTCGCAATGACCCCATCGCACTGAGCTTTGCCTGTTTCCTTCCTCTTCAATCAAGTTCCCGCGACTGGCTGTTTTGGTTGTCTTGCTCCTCCAGCAATCGCGTGGGGGTTGCGTTGTGTATTACCTGCGAGTTACAATACTGGAGCCGAACTGTATTATACTCGGGACAAAGGCAGTCCGTCCTTTGTCCGACAGAATACTTCAATTGATCTCCTCACTTGAAACTCTGAGTAGTTTGCCTGTAGCGAGGATGTGCTCTGCTGAAGTAGCTACGCTTCACCTGTTCCACCTGTTCATGCTGGACTGTCGTGTATGTTATCAGTGTATCCAAAAATACTAATACCGTACTATACATGCTCACTCCGCGGATAATACGTCGGCTATTGAAGAGACGGGTTCAAAACCCGACGCGGAGAAAAGTCCGGAATGACCCCACGCCGGGTACGGAGACCGCTTCAGTTCCCAATCCCCTCATCTCTCCACTTGAGTCAAATTAAAGCATGGCTGCTCCTCCCCTCCTCCCATTTCAGTCTAGAGACACTCTCTCGTTCCTCACACAAGTCTCTGACTGAGCTCATTATGGCTACCCCTACGACCACCACAGCACTCGTCCTCCACGGCGCCAAAGACCTTCGTCTAGTAAGTGCTGCCAACTATATCCAACCCCGCATTTGCCATCAAAACACGCACCACCCAGAAACACCGCAGCTAACCACCACCGCAGGAATCCCGACCGCTCTCCCCACCCCAAGGCAACGAAGTCCAAGTCGCCGTGCGCGCCACCGGCCTCTGCGGCTCCGACCTCCACTACTACACCCACGGGCGCAATGGCGACTTCGTCGTGCGGGCGCCCATGTGCCTGGGCCACGAGTCCTCCGGCGTGGTGACGGCGATCGGGCCCGAGGTGACCAGCCACCAGGTCGGCGACCGCGTCGCGATGGAGGTCGGGCTGCCCTGCCGCCAATGCGCGCTCTGCCGCCAGGGCCGTTACAACATCTGCCTCAACATGCAGTTCCGCAGCAGCGCCAAGGTCTTCCCACATCTGGACGGCACGCTGATGGAGCTGACCAACCACCCGGCGGATCTGTGCCACAAGCTGCCCGACAGCGTCTCCTACGCCGGGGGCGCGCTGGTCGAGCCCCTCGCCGTGTGCCTGCACGCGATCCGGCGGTCGCGGCCCCCGACGCGCGACGAGGTCGCCCTCGCGCAGTCCGCCGGCGAGCCGACCCCCGCGCTGATCTTCGGCGCCGGCGCCATCGGCCTCCTGCTGGCCGCCGCGCTGGCGGTCTCCGAGAACTTCTCCTCCATCCTGGTGGCCGATATCGATGCCTCGCGGCTGGCCATCGCCGAGTCGCTGGGTCTGGGCCTCAAGACCGCCCTGATCCCCAAGGCCGATCCCGCCAACCCGCCGCCCCCCAAGGACGCGCCGCACGCGGAGCAGACGACGTATGCCCTGCAGAATGCGCAGCGCGTGGCCGCCGCGCTGAAGGAGGCCGACGGTGCCACGTCGGGATTTGCGCGTGTGTATGACTGCACCGGCGTGCCGGCCTGCGTGCAGGCGGGCATCTATGCTGCGGCTTCTGGGGCGGTGCTGGTGCAGATCGGAATGGGTAACCCCATCCAGACCCTGCCGGTGGGCGCGGCCGCGCTGCGCGAGGTCGATATCATCGGTGTCTTCCGGTACGACGGCTACGCGTACCCCGCTGCTATCGCGCTGATGGCCAGCGGGAAGTTTGATACCGTGGAGCAGAAGGTTGTGACTCACCGGGTCAAGCTTGCGGATGGGGATCGTGCCTTCTCGCTGGCGGGTAAGGGTGTCGACGAAGAGGGTAGGCCCGTCGTTAAGGTCGTTATTGAGAGCTGAGCGGGCATGTTGTGGTGCTTTGAGTTTGATTTGTTGTATTTTATATTATGATTATACCCGAGAGATGGTGGGAGATGAAAAATTATGATGATGCGAGCGATTATGGTGTTACGATGCATGGTGGTGTGGATGGTTGCATGAAAAGGATAGAGATTATGATAGCTGTCGATGAATTCTGAGCTTGTCCAAATCATATGCCCAGACCACTAGGGCTCAATACCATCAAAGTACAGTACAACGAATAGAGATGAGCAGGCAGGTGACACGCCCGTAACCGTGTTGAGGCCTTCCTTGGTGCCTGAAGCATGAGGAACATGCAGCACACCATCAAGTCCTTAGCTATACGCGGCTGGGTTTGCCGCCATAGGGAATCTGGGTTCAAATCCTAGTTCCGGCAATCTTTCCCCTGCCTCGAAAAGAGGGATCTGTGCCATTAATGTGTCAAGGATAGGAGGGACGAGGATGCGTTGGCATGACGAGTGGACTGTCTCAGATCATAAGCCCCCATGGGCTGTGCACAGTCGTGTGACGTTTCGCAACAAGCAATCCCATCGAAGATCTACCCAGAACAACACACTTCGGGTATGTTGTCCCGTGCTCTCCTCATCAAATGCCAGTGGTGACAGTCCAGCATAGATCTTAGACGTAATAAGCACCAGACTTCAGCCTTCCAATACTGATTTGCCAAGCCCTTACGTTCTACCTGTCGCAGCAACTGAGTGGTTATCTTATGCGCTATTGACCAGTCCGCAGCGCTGGTCACCCAAGGAAAACTCCGGAAAACCCCTGGGAAACCTCTCGTAGCCATGAGCATGTTCCTTCTACTACAGTCGCATCGATCGACCGAAGATCCTGCTAATGGTCCAGCCTCAACGTAAGCCCGATCAGTGTAGCATACGCCCCGATACTCAGGGCCGTAAGGATCAAGACCGCATTCCCACTGGTCCGAAATTTGTGCCGGTTGATCCCATCCTCCCCGAGCTCCGAAAAGAACTGCTTGTTACCCTGCTGGCGGCGGTAGAGGCCGATCATGAGCACGCCGGTGCCGTAGATGGCGAACAACGCGCCCGTGCTGTAAAACTCGCTGGTGAAGATCTTCAGGACGACGAGGGCGAAGGAGAACTGTGAGAGAGCGGTGCGGACGTAGGCGCCTTCGAAGGTGCGCTGGGCGGCGCGGACTTCCACGATCTCATCGGAGGTGAGTGCCACCGTGCGGGCCCGGTGCATTCGCAGGCGGTAGCGATCTGCCGCGCGACGCTGTGCGTAGTCATTGGAATCAGCATGCGACCGGCGACATGTCATCGTGGGACCAGAATTAAAAGGCCCATGTCGGTTCCATTTGACGCACCTCAAACATTTCGACGCGTCATACAGGTGTCTGATGTGGTTGTTCGATGGAGCAGAGCAGGGTGACGCGCGGGTAAGAGTGGATAGAGCCAGCAACAGCTTCCCGACGGCAGGGTCGTCTCTTGTTGGTGGCAGACCGACTTTTTTCAAGGGGATTCTGAGCGCATCTTCTTGTGAACTGGAAGGAGTGTCAGCTGGTTGACCGCCGAGTTTCTTTTTCTCTTGTTGCCGCTCACGTGGACCAGCTGCAGCTGGAAGTGGCTTAGTTTGGAAGACGCGATATTGCATCAGACCATCTTCAGCATCTTCAGCAACTTCAGCAACACGGCTTGGAGATTTTCTAGCGATTGTTGGGATGCCACACAGGTTCAGAGCACAGCTCAAGCTGGTATGGAGATTCTTGACTAATTACATCGGTAAGGTAGCCTTGACGATTCGTGGATGGAGTTGTGTAAGTTAGAGGAAGGCCTGCCCGCAGTAACAAAGTTGACCTTGAAGGGAGCGGGAAGCGATGATATCAGCGTACAGGGTTTCTCCACCAATGACAGTTCTCCCTTCTCTAATCCCCAACGTCAGAACCCGTCGGCTATCGAGATTGCCCAACTCGGTCGGGGAGCCTGGAGAGCCACCGCCTCCCCCATCTTTTGAACGCTTATCAGCCCCCGCTGCTATCGGTCTTCAATAAGCCGATCAGCTTCCTGCTCGGTTACTAAAATGGGGGTCTGGACATTGCATTGCTTGGCCTGCGACTGCATGCCGGTCCGACTTTCACTCCTTGGCTACGCTGCTTTTTCTCCTCACTTCTCCTCTTCTTCTGCCTCCTCCTCTCTTTCTCTCTCCGCATTCTTCTCTTTTCATTGTGTCTCATTCTCAATCGGATAGCTGAGCTTTGCGATCCGTCAAGATGAGCAAGGTGTTCGATGCGGCGGAAGGTATGTTGCATAGCAACTCATCATAATAGACGCAATCGTGCTTCACTTGAGATATGGTTCAATGAAGGCTAACATCCCTTTAGTCGCCAAACACAATACCGCAGAAAGCTGCTGGGTGATTCTTTACGGAAAGGTTTACGATGTATGAGCAGCCCCAATTATCCTAGTCATGGCCCATGGTTCAAAAATTGACTTCATGTGTGAAAGGTCACCAACTTTCTATCTGATCATCCTGGCGGTGCCAAGATCATTCTCAAGCTCGCAGGCAAAGATGCAACGGAAGAATACGACCCGATCCACCCCCCAGGACTTCTGGAGGAGAACCTCAAGCCCGAAAACTTCCTTGGGACCGTCAATGCAGACACACTACCCAAAGTACAAGCAGAGCCGGCACCTGCAGCCGCAGAGACAGAAGGGTCGCCATCAATGGAGTCCTTGCTGAACATGGACGATTTCGAACAAGTCGCCACCAAGAACATCAGCAAGAAGGCCTGGGCCTATTACTATTCCGCCTCGGACGACAAGGTCACCAAACACTTTAACACAGAAGTCTACCGGTCCATCCTGCTGCGACCCCGCGTATTTGTGGATTGCACCAAGTGTGACCTGGATACGAAGCTATTGGGCCACAACCTGGGAATGCCGATCTATGTCTCCCCGGCCGCCATGGCTCGCTTGGGCCATCCCGCGGGCGAGGCAGGTATCGCAGAAGCGTGTCGCAGCTTTGGAGCGATGCAGATCGTCTCCAACAATGCATCGATGACTCCGGAGCAGATTGTGCAAGACGCAGCGCCGGACCAGGTGTTCGGATGGCAGCTCTACGTGCAGGTGGATCGCAAAAAGAGCGAGGCGATGCTGGCGCGCATCAAGAAGCTCAAGGCCTTCAAATTCATCGTTCTCACCCTGGACGCTCCGGTTCCCGGGAAGCGCGAAGACGACGAACGCGGGAATGCTGTTGGGGCGTCGGCACCGGTTGCCAGCGCCGCGATGGCCGCCGACAAGAAGTCCTCGGGCGAGTCGGCCCAATTAGGCGGCGTGGGCCGGCAGCTCTTCGCTGGCACCGACCCTTCGTTGACGTGGAAGGAGACTCTGCCGTGGTTGGCAACGCAGACCGATTTGCCCATCATTCTCAAGGGTCTGCAGACGCATGAGGACGCTTACATTGCCTCCCTTCACACCCCACAAGTTAAGGGTATCATTCTGTCGAACCACGGCGGTCGCGCGTTGGATACTGCGCCTCCGGCGGTGCACACATTATTGGAGATCCGCAAATACTGCCCTGAAGTGTTTGATAGGCTGGAAGTCTGGGTTGACGGCGGTATCCGCCGTGGCACAGATGTTGTCAAGGCTCTCTGTCTGGGTGCGAGAGGAGTTGGAGTTGGCCGTCCGGCACTCTGGGGTCTGGGTGCCGGTGGCGTTGAGGGTGTGAAGCGTACATTGCAAAGTAAGATACTCTATTGATGCTTGCTTACGTCCGTACTAACCATCGATCCTAGTTCTGTCCGACGAGACCAAAACTTGCATGCGCTTACTCGGTGTCGAAAGGGTCGAAGACCTGGGCCCCCAGCATGTGAGTTCTTCTGCTTTCCCTGTCGCCGCATTCTTCTAACTCACGATTCAAAATAGATCAACACCCGGATTGTTGAGCAGCAAATCTACGATGGTCCCTCAGGACTCGACAGTGTACGAAATGTGTTCCGTGCCAAGTTGTAGACATATCATATAATGCAGCGTGACTTCTCAGCCTTGGGTTTCTATGATCTATTCTGTAATCGCTCATCGTGACCCACTTGAGGTATTCATCAGATGAACGACGGTCCAAAACGTAGAATCCAGGTTAGCTGGTGGTAATCACCAATCTGTGTGCTTTTGTTCTGTCTATCTTGAAACAGTTCATAAACAAAGCGTATTGTAATATTCCTTATTGCATTGTTCCCGTTCGACCTAGTGAACAATTGTATCTAACACCGATATTGTTATACGCACAATGACATATACAAATGCTTTGTCCATGTGCAGATTTCGTGGTTGTGCTGGACTGGTTGAGACGGCGTGACTCCGCTTCCTTTGTCCGCGCGAGGGCGAAAGTCGCAGTCGTTCCCTTTTGCACCAATCTCCTACTCCTGCCCATCGGACAACCAGTCTCTGTCTAACCAGTGTGATTTCACGTTCTTGCATTGCTCCTGGGATCACATCATCATCATCAACTTCGGAAGCTGCCACGCTCGCAGTCAATGTCCCCTTCGAGACACGACTTGCCCTACTGCGTATATGGGGATACTGGTCCCCAACACTTTCCGACTCTGGGAGTTCTACCATCGTCTGACATCGCAAACAACCTAGCAACAGGTCCCAATCCTCTTCTTTCATAAGACTACCTGTGCAAGAAATAATAACAATGTCTTCGAGGTGCAAACTCCGGCCACTGTGTTTGCAGACGTCCAACTGCCATTGTCGCACAAGAGGGCTTTGTTTTTCTTTGCTTGTACTCACAATGTGAATAACCACGGTTCTTTGTTCTCTTTGTCTACCGCTACCCACAATGCCATTGCCATGATCAGCTTTGGATGGCGGAAAGTCTCAGCTCATTTAAGGTGCACACCCCCCCAGGCTACCGACATGTTCCTCATAACTTCTGCATTACCAGAAAAGCCCCGACAGATACTACCCCCCTGACGAAGAGCAAACTGAGAACTACCGCCAAGCTCCCCAAAACTGACAACACTTATGTCGGAAGCGAAGAAAAGATCCTCAAGCCAAGCGGGGCTCAGCGATGAGGACTACGAGGACAGCGACGTCAGTGTCCACTCCGACAGTGACAGCCACTCCGACCAGGACAGCGATGACCGGCACGATGGGGTCGAGACTCGTCTGGTTAACGCCCTGCGCGAGGTCAGCGGCAACCGCCAGAAGACGGTCCCCCTGACGCCGCCGCCCGAAGTCGATGATGCAGGCATCACTGACAGACAGCCGGACCGGGAGGAGGACCGTGATTCGGCGGTCGACGCGGACGATGAGCGGGAGACATCGCCATCATCAGAGAATGGCGACGAGAGCGACGGTGACAAGGAGAATCGGCCCCCCGTGGAGGCGGATGAGGAGTACGAGGAGCCCCAAGAGGGCGAGGATGAAGGCGAAAATGCCGTGAACAGAGAGACATCCTATGCGGGGGAGGCTAGCGGACCACAATACCAGGAGAAAAGAAAGATCAAAAGACGCAGGAAGTATGAAGCAGAGGCCGACCATTCTGAGGCGATCCGCCAGAAGTACATGGAGATGCGGAAAACCCGCACCCCCATTGCTTGTGACCGTTGCAAGGTGAGTCCACTCCAGTGGTGTTATGTCTTCTCGTCCTATCACAAAATAAGGAATTGAGTAGGGTTGGCTGACCGTGGGTCTTTGTTTACGTGTGAGCAGAACCTGAGGAAAGAGTGCACAATCCATGAAGAAGGCTGCCTCCAATGTCAGACCATCAAGGCACCGTGTATGCACACTGACCCGATCACTTTGATAACCGAGCGACGGGGGGCATCCAAGAGAAAGGACGAAAAGATGCAACTTATGAAAGCTTGGATCAACAAGCTGCAAAGACAGGTCATGGCGCAGATGCACCCATACGGTCCCGTAAGTGTATCAGTCCTCACTCGATCAACGAAGCAAAGCCTAACATGATGTTTCCGGGCCTCAAAGCCTCTGGGTCAGTATGCCTTTCCACAGCATAGGCCGAATTCTCCCAACCCCCGTTCTCTCAGTCCGCATGGCAATTCGGCACGATGGGGTCACGCCAGTGGCGGCAGCAGCGCAGAGAAGGGCGCGGCATATGCCAACAGGAACTTTCCTGCATCCTCGAGCAATCACAATAACATAGCCTCGTCGAGAAAACCTGCCAAGCGGAATGGCGGTCACGCTTCAGTCACCAAATCTCGGCCACTTGGCAGTGGTAGCTCGGGCAGCTCTGGGGGCAACTCCGGGTACCTGGCCGAGCTGGACAAGAACATGGGTCCCGGTGGACGGGCCAAAATCAACAGCACCATGGAGAAATTCCTCGAGCGCGACCCGGATTACCAAAAGAAGGCTTACCTCCATCCGAGTTCTCCTCGACCGCGCCAGATGTCAGGTCCCGGCTACGCTCCTCATTACCAGGAGTTCCACGAGTTCAACAACAACGCACACTATCCGACGCCACCCCTCCGACCGATGAGCACCAGTTCGCACCGCATGTATGACCTTTCTTATATGGGTGACCCACGGTATGGCCACCCTCAGCCGGGTTATGTCAACCATGCCCCCCGATACCCTACGCCGCCGCCGCCACCGCCGCCGCACTTTCGCCCGTACCCTGAACGCGTCAACCCAGAGTATGAGCACGTGGACCCTCGTCATCACTACGACGGCGGCCTGCGTTCGACGCCGGAGGCGGACAAGGATCCCTATTACGGCTTACCTGACGCCGGGCCGAGCTCTTTCAATGAAGAGGAGTTAATACAGGCCTACCGGGCTTTCTATCCCGAGGGTGAGTCTACTTCTGCAGGGGCAGCTGAGCAAGCCCGAGCAAGCCGAACTCGCCCCAAGTTTATACCGCGGGGGATGCCGCCGGGGAATCCGCCTCCCAGGCCTCGAAAGAAGTAAACCGACGTGGATTAATGCTTGTGATTTTATCTATATGTTTAGCTTTTGGACTCGGTACGCTGTGCGAGGATTCTGTCGTGTTTTTGGATTTATATATACTGAACAGATACAATATCTTGTTGATTAGTGAATTATTAATGCATTTTGTGTGCTTGTCCTTGTTTCCATCTCAAAGGTCCTCGATTAGCACTGCACTACGGACTAATCCCAGACACCGGAAACTGGCTGTAGACAGGGGATATATGGAAAATTCTATATTCAACATACGGAGGTATATGCACTCCAACAGAGTCACGGTGCAGTGGCCTCTCGATCACCCAAATCACGCCGAGCCAAAGACAGACTTGCTCAGCTCATCCATGACCTTCAACCACGTGGTCACCCAAGTAGTGAACTTGTCTTCCTTCTCCTCGCCCGTCGTCCCCTGCTGCCAGGGCAATTTGACCACCTCTAACGCCTTGACAGCCCGGTCCTTAGTCTGCCCCAAGAACCGGCCCGACCTGTCCGGGTCGGCCTCATACAGCGCCCCGGCAATCTCATCCACCAGCTCCGGAATGACCTGGAGATTCTCCATCAACGCCTCCAACCTACGCACCTCCGCCACCGCATCCGCCGTCCTTTTGAGGCGGTGCGTCACGATCGCCGGATACACCTGCGCGATGGGTTTCAGCACGCGCAGCGTAGATTTCTTCTGCGCATGCAGCGCCTTCGACTCTTCCTCATCATCGTCATCCTCCTCATCCTCCCCCTTTTTATTTTGTGTGTCAGCATCACCATCATCATCGCTCAACAACTCGTCGAAGAACTCATCCCCCTCCTCGTCAGGATCCCACTCCTCGATCTCCCCGACGGCATCCCGCACCAGATCCCGCCACTGCTCCACCCGCCGCACCACGAACCCCACCACCCCCTTGGCCGCGAGATCCACCAGCGCGTCGCACGACTCCCACGCCCGCGCCGCCGCCAGCGTCACGGCGTCCTTGTCCGGCTGCGCGAGCTCTTTCTTTTTGTTTGCGGTGGGGCCATCCCTCCTCGTCGCGATGCCCTGCACCTCGTGCAACAGCACGGACAGCTCCGTCAGCGCGAGCTTGGTGAGCGCGTGCGCCTCGGTCTGGAAGGCTTGCGTGTGGTCCGTCGCGGTGATGAGGAGGGCGGCGGTCACGAGCGAGGGGAGGACGGATTCGTTGAGCGCGGTGAGGATCGGGACGGCGGCGGTGGGTGTGAATGGGGCCGTGATGGAGACGAGCGAGAGTTTCGTGATTTGGGATTTGAGGGACAGGGAGGAGGCGGAGAGGAGGGGGAGGGCGTCTTTGGTGGTGATTGTTTCGGTGGTGGTGGTTTCGGTGGTGGTGGTTTCGGTGGTGGTGGTTTCGGTGGTGGTGGTGGTGGTGGCCGTCGCGATGGCGGTTTGAAATTGGTCGAGGAGGGTTAGGGTGGTGGTGAGGGTGAGGTGGAGTTTTTGCGCCATTGTTGTTGTGGATGCTGCGGTGCTTGTTCTTGTGGTTGTTGGGCGGGGTTGGTCGGAGGCGATGGCTGGCCGATGGTGTTTGCGAGCGATGCAGTGATTTGAGCAGTGGTGGTGATGATCTCTCCTCTGTTCTGCGGGAAGGTGATGGGGGTGGAAGAGGGAGGAACCCGAGGAGGCTGTAGATTGTAGATTGGAGATTGGGAAGGTTCGATTCCAAAGTCGTCTACTCGTGGATGGAGGGGTGGAGGGAAAGTTTTGCGGGCGGTGGGGTGAATGTCCGCGGAGGATCACGTGAGGCGGTCTTTTCCGTGCTCCGCCATTCAAGTGATGGAGCACAGGTAGAGTCCCTTTTGCACTCGGGATCGATCCACCAGTAAGCAAAGTCTCATCCAGGCAGGGACTTGAATAGGAGGATATTGCAGTATATGCTCTTTTCCATGTTTATGATTCTAGTCAACACTTCATGACTGCTTTCTGTTTTGCACCATGGATTTTCTTGGCGAATTGCTAATCCATGTTTCCTGTTGTAGTATCTTTCTTAAAGTAAAATAACAATGCTATATTGTATTCGCATGGAAACATGCTCCTTTATCTTGCCCAAGTTGCAATAGAAGCGCTTTTGCTCGTCTAGCTCGCCGACCAAGGGACTCCCACCGTCCCCCCAGACACCCATAACTGAAGGGGAGGTGATTTGCGGCCGGGATTCCGCCTATATCGAAAATCTTCGATCAAAGATCTTGCTCCCTCCTGGTTGATCTGACGGTGTCATGGACGAACTTTCTGAGGGAACTCAACCTGTTCAAGATCAACAACCATCACCTTACTCTTCCCGCACTCTTGGTCATAACATAGCAAGAAGTTATCCAGTTTCTGGTCTCGATAGATAGTTCCATACTCCGAGAGCTTGGAAAAGGCTTCTTCTAAAAGAGCTTTCAATAAATCCTCACAAGTCTCGATGTTGTTGACAGCCAAATCCTTCAAAGAAGTCCCATCAACGTCCGATAGTATAAGTGCAGGTCGCCCATTGAAATAACCCCGACTATAAAAGTATGGGATTACTTCGCCTTGGAGCTTCTCCAGTCGGTGATAGGCTGTCTCCTCATTTTCAAATTCGTCTTCCCATGCATCTTTTTCTTGCTTCACAATAACCGAGGTGGCGGTTGTTGGGAGTTTATCCCGGTCTGGGTCTGGTGCAATTTGGAGACGATATACTGTTCGCTGTGGATCTAATAGCTCAGTCTCGGTTGCAGTGATCTCGTGACCGTCGGTCAGCTTGATCGTCTAGCAGATGTCAGCTTGACCCGGTCCCTCAGACCACCATGGGGAAAACAACCTACTCGGAGATGCTGTGGTGGCAGAACGAGATCGAACATGATTGAAAGATCAAATCAAGCCGATGTCGATAGTGTGAGGGGAAAAGAGGAAGAAGCTCAGCAGTCATGTGATTTGTGGTATGCAAGGGAGAAAGATGATGCACCTCATCGGATGGTTATCTGCCTGGTATATAAGGCATAGGATCTTCGGGCCTTTATAAGCGCTCTGCAATCTCTATTCACGGAATGATTGACAGGGCAAAGGTGTTCTATAGCCGATTTTCATGTTCTAGACGAGTACTGTACTACTTCGTGAGCGCACTCGTAGGCTGTCAGCATGTTGGCATACAAGTATCCTGCAAGTATGACACGGTGGGCCGACTTCCGCGTGGGGTTAGGGCATTAATAGAGGGGGTTTCTCAGCCCACTCCAGTTTGTTCGCCACCAACCTTGTCGTCCACTCCAGCTTAGGAAAAGATGCAAGCGAACCAATAATACCCCATTGGACACAAGAAAGAGAGGTAGAGGCCACGGCTGAGCCGGTCAAGTTTCCCAGATTGCTGCTGGTCGCGATCGTCTTGTGCTTGGCCACTATGTGCGTCGCAGTAGACAACACCATTCTGTCCACCGCGGTGCGTAAAATCCCCGACCCTTTCGACAGGATTGACAACGTGGATTGGTACGCAGCGTACGTTCCTTTAGCTTATCCATCAGACTCGCCTAACGGGTAGCATACGGAAGATATTTAAGTAGTCGAGATCTGAGCCAACCCCAGAACCTGACCGGGGAATCTATAACTATGAGTTGATTCGTCAAGCAGTGCTTTCTATTTGCTCTCCACTGATGTTCTGTTACGCGCGGGTTCATGGATCTTTCCCACAGCCCTGTGAACTACCGGCATAGATCACCGTACGACTGCCTACCCATTCCGAAAGGGAAGTACACCGTACATACTCCGTACATATTCGAAGTTGTAGGGGTGCAAGGTGGTTGTGGGGACAATGTCGATCAATTGAGAAGCGAAGGCTAAACCCGATAAGGTGCCCGAGGTTGGTCTCAGGGCTGCTTTCTACATGCTGCCTACTAGGTAGACATTTCATCTTTCTTTCACCACCTGGTATGTAATCGTGTACTGCACAAAGTGCTATCAACTCTTCCCCTCATATCCTCGCTTCCTTCGCCGCCTGACCACCCAACATGACCCCCTCGACAGCCAAATTCACAACCACCGCAACCCATGTCATCCAAAGTGACCACCCCATCACCCTATCAGATCCGTACATGCTAGGACCCTTCGACCAACTCGGCCACTTCGCCACACCCATCAACGCCGTTTGGATTTATCACCCCTCGCCCTCCGGCGACTTGATCCCGGTGGACCGACTCCGCAAAGCCATCAGCCGTCTGCTAGACTACTATCCCCACCTAACAGGCCGACTGCGCATCGATCCCGCGACTGGCGTCCGGTCCATGACCCGACTCGGCACGGGCATCCATCTATCCGAAGCCCAGTGCGATGCACCGCTTCGATCCTTCGCCCGCAACCCCTCAGCCCCAGACACGGACCCCGAACTGGGCGTGTTCGACTTCCCCAACGCAGGGAACGCGCTGCTCGCGCCATGGGACCTGTCCCTCGACGGAGCCCAGCGGGACCCCGTCCTCACCATCCAACGAACCGAGTTCGCATGCTCCTCCGTGGCCCTGGGGGTGAGGATCTCACACGTCCTCTGCGGCGCGGGTAGCTTTCTGGGACTGTACCAGGACCTAGCAGCGATCTATCGCGCGATGGCCGACCCAGCCAAGTCAGAAACTATCGAGCTAGCATCCCCGCCACGCCTCCCACCATTCATGGTCGCCGAAATGCTGCACAAGGAAGAGCACGAGCGGCGACAAGCCCTAGCCGAGCCGCCCGCAGCCTACAGCCTGACAGACCCCGACGCGGGGACGCAAACCCACGCTCAGAACGAGCTGGACTTCCAACACACTCTGGACACGGACCCGATCGAGGGCCGAAGCCTGCGCTTCTCAGCGTCCGCAATCGCCGCCCTCAAAGCCCACGCAGTCAACCCCGATCAACCCAGCGCCCGCGTCTCCGGGTTCACCGCGCTGGCAGCACACCTCTGGCAGCGCGTACATCGGGCGCGACTCGCGCGCGCCAAGGCTAATGCTGCGACCGACGGAGAGACACCTGCTACCCTCGGCTCCTCCGTCTTCGGCACCAGCGTGAGCTTCGTCCCGCATCTCGGCCTGCCGGAACGCGTGTTCGGGAACACCGTCGTCACGCCAGTCATCGAGCTGGACTCCCCCGCGCTAACGCAGAGACCCCTCTGGGAGATTGCGGCGATGATCAACGACCGCATCCGACACGTCTCCGCGGAGGAAGTGCACAAGCTGGGCAAGTGGATCGCCGCCCAGCCCGACACGTCCCGGATCCAACTGCACTTCCCGGTGACGGCGGCGGCCCCGTTCATCGCGACGGGATGGCATCGCTTTCCGCTGTACTCGGGCGCGGAGATGGATGGCGCGGGGCCCGTGTTGGCCAGTCCGGTGTTTATGGATGCCTTGTTTGATGGGATGGTGTATTTCGTGGAACCCAGGGTAAGGGATGGGGGGATGGAGGCGGTGGCCTCGTTGAGGAGGTCGACCTGGGAGCTTTTGGGGCGGGATGACGAGTTTGTTACTACGTGGGATAGGGTGTAGTGATTTGTTCGAGGAGGGAGGGGTTCAATAGAGGTTGTTTTATTGTCTCACACGAAGATTTAGAGCTCATCAGAACTGCTCGCCGTCGACACCGCCGTTGATGAGCTCGACGTCGAGTTCCTACCAAGTCCAGCGGCAAGCAGTAGCTGATCCTACAATTCTCATTTATGGGGTACGGAGCAGACTCGGCCGCATGTCGAGAATACCTCTAGCGTGATGTTGGTGTTCTCACTGAGGAGATTGTGTGTCCGAGGATAGCCTCCAAAGAACAGACGTGCTTAGCACCATCCAGCCCAAACCATCGCAAATCCACGACTGCTCATCCAGTCAGATGGACTACCGTCGCCCCCACCGAGCATCCCGTACCCCCCATCCCATATCCACAGCCACCGCCGTAGTCGTCAGCCCCGCCTCCTTCTCCCCGGCCATCCCCGGCCACCCCCCGACCTCCAGCGTCCGGCCCACCAGGCTCAGGGAGGAGGTGGGCGTGCCGTGTGGGGCGTGGGGCCCCGGGGGCCTTCGCCACCGCGGAAGTCGAGACACCTGGATGGACCCGGTGCGGTCACGTTCGGCGACGAGGATCGCGTCATGCTCGCTGCTGTGGTAGGGCGGGTGGTCGGGGGTGTTCCAGTCCCCGTGCAGGATGTGGCAGGACCGCAGGTGTGGGCCATCGGTGATCTCGAGACGATGGAAGAGGGTGGGTATGTTCGTGGAATCCAGGATGAGGGAGTCGTTCTCGGTTGCGATGTTGTCGAGCCCGTGGTGGGAGTGATGGGCGGAAGGCAGGGCAGGGAAACTCAGCTCCAGATGGTGGAGGTGCGGGAGGCGGCGGAGCGGGATGAGGAGGCTGATCGTGTCATACCGCGACGGGGAGAGGGCAAAGCCCAGAGACCGGAGATTGGGAAAGTCCTCGGGCAGTCGATGCAGCTGTTCTAGCGCGAGAGTCGCATCCCCGGAGGATGTCCTCAGGCGCAAATGCTGCAGGCCGGCGCCATGCGTCTCGGCCGCCACCGCCACCACGTCCGCAGGCAGATCCACTCCAATAAAGCTGCGCAGCGGCCGGGGCAGGGCCCGGAGGAAGGCCTCCAGCAGTCCAGCGCGCCGTCGTCGCCCCGCCAGATCTCTTTCTGCAAGCCGCGGCATGCCCAGCTCGAGCCAGACCAGCGCGCGCAGCTGCCCACCCCCACCCCCGAGGACAGGCAGGAGGTGGACCCAGTCCACCTCGACGAGCGAGAGGGACCGCACGCCCTCCCAGCGCAACTGTGTCGCCCACCGGCGACTCTGCGCGGCGCCGAACCGCATCCCCCGGAACGCGAGATGCGCCAGGGTCGCCGGCAGCCGATCGCCGTCCTCCAGCGTGATCAGCCCTCGCTCCTCGACCTCGGCCGATTGTTCGTCCTCCTCCTTCCCCGGCGCCTCGTCCGCCCAGCGCTGCCCCCGTCGCCACGTCGGCCGTCGCGTCAGCGAGAGATGCGTCAGCCGGGGACTGCGAACAATGATCTCCTTCAACGATGCCGGGCGGTGCACGCTCGCCCGACCGCATGCTCTTGGTGGTGACAGGTCATACTCGCCTCGATACCACTCCGCCGCGACAGACCGGAGACATGCGAGCTGCGGTGCCCCCCGGCTGGACCGGCGCATATGCATCCTCTGAGTCAACGCTACCTGAGCACTCAGGATATGCACCTCTGCCGACGGGGCGACCTCGTATAGCCGACGGAGGATCACCCCCGGCATGTATTTCTCGTACCACCAACTACAAGCTTCCGCCAACGTGGTCAGAGAACAAGCCCGCCTGGACATCAAAAGAAAGGGGGGGGAAAGACCCACTAGAACCGCTGGAGCTTCCTCGCCGTCGCGAACAAATGGTACAGCATCGTCTCGTGGGCGTCCGACAGGGCGTCGACGCCGTCGAACCCCCCATCCCACGGCTGGGGTCCGGTTACGACGATCGCCCGGATGAACGGGCTGCACCGCACGGGCAGACTGCAAGACGAGTCCGATCTTGGCCAGTGCTCCCGCCCACCGTGGACCTCGAGATGCAGGGTCCGGAAGAGTGCTGATGCGGCGACGGGGTACAGCGCCTGGCTGGTTTGGACGAGGGCTTTGAGGGCGGTGCGGTCGGACCAGAAGAGCTTTAGGCTTGGAGGTTAGTTTGGGCTTAGTGGTGGAGACTGCGATGCGTACGAAGGTTACAATGTGATGCCAGATTTCAGGTGGTAGATTCCCTGGTAGCGATGATGCTGGGTGGGGGGGTTCGGCGTCCATGGCGTATGGCGTTTCGCGGGTGCGGTTTTGATGGGGCGGGAAGAAAAGAAAGGGGGGTGGGAGACGGTTTTATATGGGAAGACACGGCGGGAGGAAGGAAGCCCTAAACGGTTGTCCTGCGGATGCATTAACTTGAAGACAACGAGGCTAAAACCAAAGTGATGTCATAAAGCCTGCTTTGAAGGTAAGCGGATGCGTAGACTTATTGGATCAACGGTCTACGATTTGCGAGCCTCATGTGTTATGATTCACAACACTACTAGGTAGCACGCGAGCTACTCACTGAGTCGAAGAACAACGGCTATATTGCTACGCTGGCACATGAGATATACTGCAATACTCAGGCATCGGTTGTTCGGCATCAAGATGCAGATAACTTTCTACTTCTTAGTATGTACAGGGGGTATATACATATTACTCGACATCCCCAAACACAGACCATCCCGTCTACGGGGCCGCCGCCGTCGTCACCGTCATAGTCGTGGTCCCCGTGGTCATAACACACAACTTCTCACACTCGATCTGCACATCGGAAGAGGCATCCTCCATGCACTCGGCCCGGGCCTTGGGGGTGCCAGGACACGAGGCGATCCGGAAGTTGAACAGGAAGGTGACGCACGAGTAGTAGTTGCCGGTGACGCACAGATCGCTGAGGGCGGTGGTGGTGATGACCTCGGTCTCGGTGGTGGTGGCGGTGACCAGCGTCGTGCTGGAGCCGGCGCACTCGGTCAGCTCGTAGCCCGCGACGTCGTAGATGGTGGTCGACTCGCAGGCGATCACGTCGCTGTAGAAGTCGGTGAAGGTGTAGGGGTACGGGTTGTTGGCGTAGTCGATGGAGACGGTGGTCGAGGCGCCCGCGCAGGTGGTGACGGTCTTGCCGTCGCTGACCTCCTTGGTCGTCGAGGCGCACGCGATCTGATCCCCTAGCGAGTCCGTGAACGTGTAGGGGTACTTGTTGGTCGAGGTCGAGGTCGGGAGCACCGTGTAGCCGCACGGGTTGCTGCCCGTCATCGTCGGGATGTTGCTGGCTGCCCCCGTGCAGACGCAGAAGGCGCCGCTGATGCCTGCGTCCGGATCTTCGCCGATGACGCAGAGCGGGTCGCTGGAGGCCGAGGCTGAGGCGCTGGCCGTGGTCGTGGGGGATGAAGTGATGGTACACGCCGCGGCCGTGGTCTCGGTGTCGTCGTCGTCGCGTCGCCTCAGCGCCGGATTGGCTTCCGCGGTGAAGTCCCAGGTAATGCTCGTGGAGCACACGCTGGAGTACCGGCTCTTCAGGGCCGCGTAGCCCGTGAGCAGATCGTTGGCTTCGTCCAGCGCGTTGGTCATGCCCGAGTTACCGGCAATGGTCGTCAGCAAGGCCGACTCAGCGTCCATCACCGTGATCAGCGTATCGATATACCCTTGCACCGTGGTCGTAACTGTCGAGTAGGTGTTCATGAAGTTGGTGAACTGCACCGCGAACTTCTTGGTGTCGGTGTCGGAGTACGTGCTATCGAGATTGGCGCTGATCCAGTTGTCTAGCGCAAGCCTGATAAAGGGGAGTGATCCCCCGTTAGTCTCTACCGAACCCACACCCGCACAGAGAAGACTCACATCTTGTTGTAGATCCGCGCGTTGGTCGATTGCATGTAGTCATTGACGTTGGTATCGGTGATGACCACACAGGAAGCCGCCATCTGCCAGAGGAGCTCCATCTTGGAGCGGAATTTGGTGCGCGCGCCCATGGACTGCAGGGCATTCGTCTCGGCGGTGCCCACCCAAGGAGTGGTCGCTTTGATGGCCCCGACTCCCTTCGTGTTGGTCCAGTTCTTGAACGTTTTGCCTCCGTAGTCCTTCTTGGCAATCGCCGCCTTGAGGCGATTCAGTACCTTGCTGATCCCGATGAACTCAAAGTAGTCATCCGATGCAATGGCCGAGTAGATCTACCAGAAAAGTCAGCGCCTACGATCACGACGCAATTGGGGGTAAGAAAAAGAATACTTACGCTCTGCAAGCGATTGCCGCAGCCAAAGAAGATGACTTCGGCGTCGGCACACGAGAAGGTGCTCGAGGCGGCACCAGTAAACATCTGGCTGAAGAAGTCCTTCAACCATCCCATCTCCCCTGTGACAAGTAGTCAGTTTCGCGTCGATGTTCCAGAGGTAAGCGGAGGCGAGGAGGCACTCACAGGCATGGTCCATTGTGGCCACGTCGCCAAAGCCTGCAGGCAGGTCAGCGACAGCCACCTGGGTCACTTCCACCGCACAGCCAGCGGCCGTGGTAGTATGATACCACCGCGGCATGTCGGTCTGCGAGCCCACAATCAGACCGTCCGTCTCACTGTTGTACCAGTCGTATCCGTTGGTGTAGGGGGGAACGGTGACGGTGGTATCCGCGCCCAAAGCGCATTTGCCCACTGATTTGACCGTCTCGCGCTTGGCTCCGTCGCGTTTCTGAATGAATTTACCATGCGCGCCTGGCGCCCGGGCGGGCGCGGTGGTCATCCTGGCACTCGCGGGCTCGGTCCTTCGGAGCCCGGTCACGGTCGCGGTCGCAGTCGCAGTTGCTGTTGATGTCGGCATCACCCCGGTGCCTGTGCCTGTCATCCGGGGGAGGTCCGCGGCCACTCCACGACGTCGGAGGTCGATGGACGGCCATGCATACTCTGATTCCGCTAGCATCGGCCAATCGTCCTCATACGAAGCATCATCGTCACCATAGAACGGGATAAAGTGCCACGCACACGCCTGGCAGCCCGAAAAGCTATCATAGTTGAGCGCGAGATCGGCCCCCGTCGCCACGGTAGGACAGGCCGCCGTAGTCTCCGAAGTGAAGGTCTTCGTGGTGGCGGTCATGTCGCACCCGGTCACCGAGTAGCAGGTGGTCGAGGTACAGTCAGTGGTTGCAATGGCGGATTCGGTGGCAATGGTGCAATACACATCGCAGTTCGAGGTGGTGGTCGTGCTGGAACATGTCGTCGTGGTCGAGGAGTCGTCGTCGTCGTCGCCCTCGCCACTGCCACCACCAGTAATGTCTACCCCGATGGGGCAGATAGGGCAGGCAGAGTCACAGAAAAGTACACCTAGCAAAAAGTCAGCTTCTTCGTCACATCGGGACGGTAGGAGGGTTATAACTGACAGCCAGTACCACATCCTGCACAGCCCGCGGTTGCCGTCGGGCTGGGGGGCTTGCCACTCGTCCATTTGGTGGTCTTGCTGTTGAGGTTGGTATCGTGAGTGGTGTCCGTGGTGCTGGGATAGACCACTGGTGTCACCGTCGTAGTCACGGGAGGCAGAATGGTTCCTGAAATGACCGTGGTTGAGCCACCCAGAGTCTCGGTGACAGCCGGCTCCACATAGGTATAGTCACCCCAGACGACGACGTTGGAGGTCTCGGTGGCGGTGGTGGTGGCAGCCGACACCACGGTGGTGCCTCCAATGGTGCTGAAATTCTGGTCAGTCACATCTCTTATCAACAGCCGGGGGTTTATCGGGGTTGAGGGCACTTACGGGGTCCAGGTAATAGCAAATGGTGACGGCTCAACCGAGGAGGTCAGCCAGATTGTGCCAGTAGTGCTGCCATTAGGGAGATTGACTCCCCAGACGGGAATCGCCGTCGTCGAGACGGGAGGAACGCTGATGACAGTCGGGAACCAGTAGCTAACGTGAGACGTGACTGCCGTGAGGTCCCCACCACTAGAAGCGGACGTCGTCTCGGTTACCACGGTGGTGTAGGTCAACGTGGTAGTCCAAGGGGGCAAAGTGATGGTTGTGGTGCTGCTGAGGGGCTGAGGGGGCCATATCAACGAACATCCAGGAACGGCCGTCACGGATGGACTGTCTTCGTCCCAGATCGAGGGATCAATGTACACTTCGCAGCTCGACCCCTCCGACGCCGAAGTCGACCCGTTGGAGGTCAACAGGTCGATCGCCCAGTCGGCGATTCCCAAGAAGTTGTAGCCCTCGTAGAGTTCGGCGCGGCTCGCTTTGATATCATCGTCCATGTAGCCCGCCCACTGAGTGTCGTTCCAAACCATGATATTGGAGTTCGAATCTTCGTCGATGTACGTATAGACCTCCTCCTCCTCCGCAATTCCTGCGAGCTCGGCGTTAGAAATATACCCAGCAGTGTCCGTGCAAGCGCCTGGAACCGCTCCCGAGTCCGGACCGGTGAAGGTGCAATCGGGGCCGTAGCAATCAGCCTCGGTCATTTGGAATGATCGGGCGTAGCTCGCGACTCCCACAGCCACCATATTCGAGGGCACGCCCGCCTTGGTAATCATCGATAAGGCACTGACAGTCTCCGTCAAGTTCACATGGGACCGCAAGCAACCGCCTTGGGGACAGCCCGGATCAGCATAAGTATTGTTCCAGTCCCATTGTCCGTGCAGATCGTAGGCCATCAGCACAATGTAATCAACCACCTCACTGATAGCCATGATGGGAATGCCCTTCAAGTACCAAAACGAGGAAGGCGCTGTCGTCGAGATAGTCTTATTCGGGGCATCAATCGCCATTTGCATCTGCAGCTCGAGTAAAAAGAGGAAGAAATTCGTTCCGTCATCCGTACTGTCGGCAGGAATATCAGGAATGTCCGGCTCAGCAGGATACTCCCAATCCCAATCCACACCATCCAGATCATACGTCGTGAGTAGGTCAATGGTGTTCGTAATCAGTGTAGCCCGGTTAGTACTATCGGAGACTGCGGACCGAAAGATATCGTACGTGTCCGCGTCGGTCGAGAAATCCCATCCACCCACAGTGATGATGCGCTTGACTCCATCCAATTCGACGAAGTCATTCCATTGGTCTTCCAGGCTGGAGATGTTATAGGACAGATCTGCATTCAAAGTGGCGAAGGACATGTGGATATGGGTATACAGACTCGTATCAATATCCGCAATCATGGTACGCATACAAGCGCGCTCCACATCGTAGCCCTCGAAATAGCCAATCTTAAAGACCTCGCTGGGAGCGTCACTCTGGACAATCTCAGTACCGCAGTTTGAGATACAACCATTCGTGTTGTTCGCGGCCGTGCCCGGGTTGCCCGTGGTGGACTCGGTGGGGGTACAGAACTCTGCCGTAATGCCACATTGTCCCCAGATGTCGCAACAAGCGTTCAGCGGACACTCATTCAATGTACTGAGGTTTGTTCCATACGGGACACTGACTGTGCCGTTGACTTGTGGCCCGCAGACGGCGTTGGCTATCACCGCGGGCATAGGGGGATAACCCGAGCTCAGACACATGTATTCCCCGACGAGAAGATCGCCGCAGCCTAACCAACCCCATGTCTCGGTATTGTAGCTTTCGATCTCGGCCGTGGTCAGGGTATATGTGGCGGCGAGAACATCGCAGGAATCGCCGGTTTGAATGAGATATGAGTAGCAATACCCATCCGCATCAGGCGAGGGCGCATAATCCGGGGCGGATCCCTCCGTGCAACAGATATACTCGCCCACAGTCAGGTTTGAGCATAGGGTGGAACTGGGGTTGTAAGTACTGAGCTCGGTCGCTGTAATGCCACACTCAGTGGCTAGCGTCGTACACGTATCCCCGGAAACCACCTGCACTGCCGTGCAAGTCGCGCTGTCATCATCATCGTCGCGCGAGCGCAGCTGACTCGGGGCATACCGCTGACGAGCCCAAAGACTAGTGGTGTTGGCTCGGGCGTGTGACACAGTGGGAATCGAATAGGTGAGGTTCTGCCACACAGTGCTATCATCCAGACTTGTTATGCAGCTACTGTTGCGCCACGTCTGTACCGCAGTTTGAGCGGCTGACAAGTCCCCGCTGAGACTGATGATAACGCCGAACGCGTATCGGGCACTATGCTGACTGCTGCAGAGCTGCACCACTAGGGTCTCGGTGACCCCGTTATCTTGGATCTCTTCTATGAGCGACTCGAGAATGGGGGCAAGAAGGTTCTGGCTGTGCAAGCTGCTGCCCATATACAAACCCACCGCGGTCTGTCCCGCGAGGGCAAAATTGATGGTCTCGTTACAAGCACCCGACGGATTCAATGTTTCGTAGGCCAGCAGCTGGGTCAACGCGGCGATCGCGTCGGTATCCGAGGATGCTGCTGACGCGGCCGTATCGCGGGAAATCTTCAGAGAGGAGACAACGGAGGTCGTATTGGTAGGGATTTGACACGAAGTACTTCCAGTTTGCGCGGCGGTATCAGCAATCAGGTCCGCCGTGCAGCCACGAAGACCGACCCGACTCTGGGACTGATTGACGGTGGTATATAGAGAGAATTGCAGTAGCATCGTCTCATCACAGAGAGAAAGCCGGTGGACGCCGGGGTAGACCGGCCAAGCCGACGGGTCGAGTCCCAGGTCAGTACAAGTTCCTGGACAAGCCGCACGGAGGAATTCCCATGACCGCGACGGAGTGAAATTCCCCGCCACCACGGCAGCTTTCAAGGTCTCCAAGTCAACTGTGGCTTTTGGCTCAGAGGCTGACCGTGTACTGATTGGGTTGGCACTGAGAAAGGCAGATAAGGCCGACTGAGCATCGACACTGTCTGCGACTGCCCCGGGACCCATCATGGCTAAGCCAGCCATGAAGGCTTGGGTCATGCGAGGGAGCTTCATGGTAGCTCAGACCCCGAAAGAAGGGTATATGATGTAAACAAGAGAGATGAATGAAGGAATGAAAGTGTTTCAAAAGGAAAATAAGAAATAAAAAGAGAGACAGACACGGAGAGAGAGAGAAACAGGAAAGAGTGACAGGGAGAGAGTGTGGGAGGCTAGAGGAAATTCAGGGTCAACATAGCGACTGTGAGGAGCTTGACGCAAATGACGGAAACCGTACAGCGGGCAATACGCTCGTTTTATACCATCAGCAATGTCGCTTTACTCCTTATCTCGCGCACTCCTCTCCACCGCGAGGCTGCAGATACTGACACTGCCTCGGAGGACATTACTCGATGCAATGCTAAAGCATCACACAACTACACCGGACACCATAGTCTGTAAGTTGACTTACGCAACCCAATCAATCCATATTGGATCAATTCAAGGCTATCCTCTCTTTTCATCTTCCCGGTGGACCCTATGCTTTGGCTACTCTTGCAGAAGCGCACTTGAGTCAGCGGCATGCATGCATCTGCCCCGCCTTCCCGCCACTCCTGCACTCCTGCATGTGGCCCGATCAGAGAAAGATGTGTCTGACGAGTTAGAAAGAAGTTGGGCCGGAAAGACTTAGTCTATGGCCCCCAAACTGCCTCTAACTGCCTATTCCACGTGCCGTGAGAATTTGAGAAATCAGACGATCAATTATATGTCGCTAGCTCTGGGACTAACGTTGAAGCTAGCTCGCTCCTGCAGGATGCCCAGGATGCCCAGGATGGCTCCGCCTCCTTGTCATTCTATCATCAATTATGGTTGGCTCTTGGCTGCCGTCGGGGCTCGGCGCTTAGCGAGCTTAGCAGTGCTTGAAGCCTCGCTTACTGTACTGATGCTTGGCAGGGGGGAGGGACTATGCCGATTCAGGCAGTCAATGCCGGCACCGGACCCGACTGGGCATTTTAGGGTTAGTACTGCAACTAGTACTGTACCTGGTATCTTGCCTAGTACTTCACCTAGTAGTCACTAGGGTCAGCCTTTAGTAGCGAAATCGTGGAAAGGGTTCCCATATTGAATGTTACTGGGAGGTGCAGTATCTTCTTGACCGAGCCTCCTTCCCTCCAAGGCTCTATATAAACAATACGCCTGTTCATCTCTCCGTTCGGCAGTCGATCACGTCTCCCGCATCTTTTCTGATCGTGTCTTTAACTACTATGGCTCTCTCCAGACTTATCGCTACCGTTTTGGTGGCGAGTCGTCTCACTGCCGGATATTTGATCGCCCCCTCCGGCACCGCATTCCCTGGGGCAAACTCAGACTGCAGTGAATGGGTCACCTACACGACCGGCTTGACCTGTGCCGAGATTGAGGCCACATACTCGATCACTGAAGAGGAATTCCTCGAATGGGTAGGTCACCTCTTGCCATCCCGCGACGTGCATGACCTGATACAAAAGTAGAATCCTTACATCTCACTACTTTACACTGACTGCAATCTGGTTGCGGGCTATGACTACTGCGTGGACATCAACTTTGAGACCTTCGGGACCTCTTCGTCCTCGTCGACCTCGTCCACGACCTCGCAGGCATCGACTTCATCTGTCTCAACTACCTTGATCACAAGCACCATCTCTGCCTCCACGGCCGGATCCGCGACCGTGGCGAGCACCGGAATCACTACGCCATCACCCATCCAAACGGGCATGACCGCTACGTGCGACGAGTTCTACCTCGTGGTCTCTGGAGACACGTGCGCGGCTATTGCCTCTGATGCCGGTATTGCACTGTCCGACTTCTACGCCTGGAACCCCGCGGTTGGTACCAGTTGCGCTGACCTCGATGTTGGCGATTATGTGTGTATTGGGGCGACTGGCACTGTGACCTCCACCACGGCCACCGGCAGTGGTACTGGAATCGTCACCCCGGCCCCAATCCAGACGGGTATGACCGCTACTTGCGACGCCTTCCATCTCGTGGTCTCCGGAGACACGTGCGCGGACATTGCGTCCGACGCAGGAATTGCACTGTCCGATTTCTACGCCTGGAATCCTGCGGTCGGCACCAGCTGCGCTGACCTCGATGTCGGTGATTATGTGTGTGTCGGGGCGACTGGAACTGTAACCTCGACCACGACCACCAGCAGTGGTACTGGAATCGTCACGCCTGCTCCAATTCAGACAGGCATGACCGCGACCTGCGATGTATTCCATCTAGTGGTCTCCGGAGACACGTGTGCGGACATTGCCTCCGACGCGGGGATCGCCCTGGCCGATTTCTACTCCTGGAACCCCGCCGTGGGCAGCAGCTGCGCTGACCTAGACGTGGGCGACTATGTGTGCGTCGGGATCGAGGGAGGCACTGCCACTGCCACTGCGACGACAACGACAACGACGGCGACGACAACCGGTAACGGAGTCACGACCCCCACACCGATCCAAACGGGCATGGTGTCGGACTGCGATTCCTTCTATTATGTGGTCTCTGGGGACGGCTGCTCGAGCATCGCCAGCGCGGAGGGGGTCACCGTGGCGGAATTGGAGGAGTGGAACCCGGCCATTGGGACGGACTGCACGGATTTGTGGACCGAAACCTATATCTGCGTGGGAATCCTGTAATTTGATTCTGAAGTTACTCCACACTATATCTAGATTGTGGCCCCCAGTGTATTGTAATGAACAGGCGAACAGGTTATTCGGCACGTGGCTCAACTGTTTCCGCTTTTTGATCTATATGTATCCTTTGCTGGTGAATAGGTTTAAGCTGTCGAAAGAGGCTCGTTGCTTAGTCGATTCCTCTATGTAAAGTCTCTTACAGGTATATAATCCGCAGTGCTATACTGCATTAAAACACGCCTGCAGCGTGGCAAAAGTCATTTTGCAAACAGCCAGCTAGATTATCTAGCGATTAGCTTGAAAACTCTTCTTTTCTCTCGGAATCGAACACCGAACTCGGATAGGACGAGAACAATTAACCCTCCAAACAGGACCCGGCATTGGCACTATTGAAAAATCATGGTCCCTAGTCCCTACTAACCCCTCTTTGTCGGAGATTAGATTAGCACCCCACCTCGTATCCAGCCGCCCCTCGTGGCTCGATCTCAAGTTTGACGTTCCTGCAGGACTCCTGCATCTGAAGACTCTGCAAGTCTGCATCCGAACCGAAATGTTTTGGCCCCCATGCACTAGTCGTCCCTAGTATATCCGGACTATCCCTTAGCGGATCCGAACCGACCAATCCAGACCCAGCCCTTGAGGCTCAAATGGATCGAGCGCAGAGACTGCTCGACAGTCGCCGCCCACTCATGCTGAGCGTTGGGACGTGCGCCGATGGTTGTCTCACCCTTATTTCTATTGCTTGGAACTTTCGCAAGCTCAGGCTAACGAATTGTGCATACGTTCTCGGAAGGAGAGAAACGCTCTGCTGGAAAACTGAAATCCTGCACGAGCATGCAATTATATCCGGATCATTTTCCTATAATCCATGCCCGGAAAATGGACGTTGCTGCCGCTGTGCAAATACTTCTTGTTTGAAACTACCGTGACATGTCCAAACTTGTTCTATGAAGCTTTTTGTAGTACTAGTACATGTTAAGTGCAGATAAGGGTTCATGTGATATTCTACCAATTCTGGCTCTTAATATCTGATCAACGCCTTTTTCTTTACCTATTCATTTTCTACATAGGGGAGATTTTAGGCCTTTGATATAGTAGAATTTAAGGATTTTATTCTAGTGAAGAAAAGGTGTTAGAACAACATATATATTAGTGTAAGCCCGTAGAGTTTATTCAGTAAAACTACCCAGAACACTATAGGGTTTATAGTATACAAAGATTAGACTAATATGACTTAGGGGAGGCTACAGTAGCTACCCAGTAGTTACAGTATACCTAACCAGCGGAATCGGCGATTTTGAGGTCTCAGGGTAGGCTCTGGAACGTGTTTCTTGATTCTCTTGGTGGTTGGAACTAGCTACGTTCCCGCATGTAAACAAGGTGGGAAAAGGCCTTTGGAATCACGTGGCTAGCGACCCTGACATTAGGCTGCTGCTCAGGCTACTGCTCAGGCTGCTGCTCAGGCTACTGCTCAGGCTGCTGCTCCCCGGTGCCTCACGTAGCTGACTTCATCACTTCTCCCCGTCTCCGACAATCCCTTACCTGCTTTCCTGCTGTGCTCTGCAACATCCAGTCTCAAATATAGATAAACTGGCCATGAAAACTGCCACACACACACACAAATTTTCAATCGACACCTCAGCTCCCTGACTAATAGGATATGACAGTCGCCAATCCTGCTCAGCCACAACTCACCAGAATGTTATCCTGTAAATTTTTCCCCGACTCCCTCCTCGGATGGCTCCACCTCCTCATCCTAACCTACGCCATCATCATAATCCTATCCCACTGGCGCCAAAGAAACTCCCCAGACTCCCATCGGCCAGCTCCCCTCCCCAATCCCCCAGACCCAACCCCCCCAAAACAAGACGAAGCAACCCCCACCAAAGACCTCCCCATCCCCCGCCTTTCCTACAACGAAAACACCGTCGTCACCCTCATCACCGAGATCTACCGCACCTACCAGAAGCTCAACTACATCGCCGCGGACGAACTAATCTGGCCGCCAGCCGAAACCGGCCACGCGATCAACGAACGCCTCGGCGCGGCGCTGCACCTCGACCCCGCCGTGATCTCGCTGATGAAGCGCCTGCCCTACCCCCGGACCTCGCGGCTCGCCGAAACGGTCCCGATCACCCCGCTCTCGCACGCGCTCGTCTACCTCGAGGATGCGGAGATCCGCGGCGGCCGGGATCCCGAGCGGTACGGGCATTTCGACGACCTGCGGGCGGATGTTTTGCGCCCGTGGGAGATCGCGTTGAGTGGTTTCGCGGACGAGGGGGAGTGTTTGGTGCTCGATGTGGGGGAGAGTAGGTTCCCCTCCCCGCTCTCTTCTTCTTTTATTCATTGTCGTGTCATGCTTGGAGTATTCTTTCCTCTCTTGGGTAGAGGCTGCATGGGAAGAGTGGAGTGGTTGATTTGGCATCCGTAGATACCATCCGCGTATGGGAGTGGGACGGGCTCCCGCCCGGCGACGACGAGAACAACTTCCGCGCGTATCACGCCCACCACGCCCCGACTTTCCTCTCGAATCATTTGGAGAAGCTTCGGGCGCTGGAGATGATTCCCTGTGGACACAGCGGGGCGAGGGGCTACTGGGTTCTGGATTCTGCCGAGGTGGTGGGTTATACCCTTCTCGCGTCGGACTGCAAATCGAGATGCTAAACGGCAGGCCAGCACCCACGGATCAAGAGAACGCTGCAGGAGCAGTACGGCTGGCCGTATGATTTCCGGGAGGCGGAGTGGAAGGCGGCGTCGGAGGAGACCTGGGAGCGGCTGTTGCGGTTTGATTCGGCTCTTTAGGGGGGTTACTCACCTGGATATAAAATGGGTTGATGCAGAGGGATGAGGGTGATATATCTGCAATATGCTTATGACTATCCATTACGAGTTACACAGTTGGCTGGAATGCATATTGGCCCGATGTGTAATCAACAGCAGCGCTACCCTACCACACCCACCTCGCACTCGAACTGCCTGGCCTGCTCCATTCCCCCGTCGAGATGTCGAAAGCATCACGAAAGTCCACATTTAAGGCTGAACCCGCGTGTAGATGTGTTACTTGGGACGCGTTGGCAGGGGGTCAACTGGATCCAGCCAATCACAGTACTGCCTGCGTCGAGATGTCAACTGATCACGAAAATCCACTTTTAGGGCTGCAGGAGGCCGGACGTGTTGCTCGGGACGCGTTTGGAGGAGTGCACGTGGCCTTGATTATCTTGTGTTATCTGATTATTAGACTGAGCTGGGTACGGGGTTCGAGGGGATTGCGGGTACTTCATGCCTGGGAGAGATGCCAGCTGTCGTTGTTTTAGGAATTGGTCAAGGATAAACAGTAACTACGGCTTCTAGCAGAAAGAAATAAAGGAACTACTGTACACACATGGCCCGACTTCTAGCAGCTGATCCATGGATTCCTCGCATGTAGACTTTCTCAACTGGTTGTCTCGAGGTTTACCCTACAACAGAGGCGGGGTAAATTCTACCTCCCCAAAGACATATATATGACCCAGAACACCCAAGGCAGTATCATCCCAAGAAAAGAGAAATAAAAACACAGAAACTCAGAAAGACCTTTGTTTCGAGAGCGAATGTGTAGCTTGCAAAATGTCTGCGTCAATTAAGCAAGATCCCGAACACAACCCGAAATCATTCCCGGAGCACAAACTTAAGGATTCGACCGAACTTGCTCCCGATGTAAAGTACCCTTCCATGCGAAACCCAAAACCCTCGGTACTCCAGCGGGAACCATAGACGTCTCCGAGCGCCGGTCACAATCCAATTATCACGCACGGCCAGGAAGGGGGACCACAGGACTGTGGCTGGGGACGAAGAACCGTCCTGGCCTGAAGCCGAAGCCCCCGAGATTGGGAAGGCTCCTCGCTCGGTCAACATAGCTTTCATCATCGGACAACCGAAGCAGTTGGGTCGGAATGGGGATCTCAATGATCTGCAGGGCTTTCTCAGTCTCAACGTTCCAGAGCGCGATATCGTTGTTTTCCTGGAAACTACTTAGTATATGCCGACCTTGAGACCCAGTGACACTAATGCCCAGGCGGCAGATGCATGTCCTGGGGGTCAGCGGCAACAATACCACTAATAGCATCCTGGACTGAGATAGCAGAGTTCAGAATGCCCTTGGCAGCCGTTCTGATTCGATGCTCATCGTACCTCAGTTTTCGAAGTCGGAACTGCGTCTCAACCACAAGAATGGTGTCTTGCAGCACTGCCGCGAGACTTGTATCATCGGACCGGTTGTGGATAGAATCCAGCTGTGACTGCTCATTCTGATCCAGCGACCGAAAGGCACTTTCTTAGAAGTTTTCGCAAGACGCAGTAGAAGCATGCCCAGGCTCCCGGTTCTGGACGATAGGAGAGTTGTCTGGCTCGACGACACGGTTGACTTGGTTCAAGGACTGGTCGGCTGCGTCAACAGGGGTCTCTGAGGCAACTGTCTTCTGCTTCCTCGAACGCCAGCGTTCGACCAACCAACAGTTCTTTCCTTTCCGGGACGGCATCCGTTGATGTCAGAAGCAAGAATTTTCTGGTGTTCTGGTTCTGCCGCATCACCGACTCTGGACAATGGAGGCGCGGGGTAGAGGCTGAACGGGACCTTCTTAACCCTCCGAATAAAATGCGCGTATTGTTTTTTGTTATCCCACCATTGAGCTCAGGTAGGCGCCCTCTCAAACTTCGTCCAGGGTCTACCCCTCGTTCTGAGGCCAATAAGGGCAGGACACGGCAGGCTCGCGTAGCACAAAAGCCTCAGTGCTGACGTGTTCCAACGAGTAATAAGCGCGACAGACGGAAGAAGGTGACATTTTGACAGATCTTGACAACAAATCAGACACCATCCGTTAGCCAGGTGTTGTGGGTGATTTGCAATGCGGTGCTGTAGAAGTCCGTCTTCGAGGTGTTGTGTCAACTGTGTGATGGTGATGACTGCGACGAGAGTGAGCGGATGGTGAAGGCGCGATGGATGGTCACATGATTCAGCCTGGCTATCACACCCTCGTGTCAGAGTAAATTATGCTGAGTTCGAACTATTCGCAATGTTGTCTCAACAGCTGACTTACTTTATCCAGACACCGAGCACCTTTCCATGGACCTTCTTCAAACAGAGACCGTGGCTGCAGTATACGGGGACCACCCTCCATTGAGTGCAGAGCTTGAGAATTACACTTAGACTGTCCGTGGCCCAGATCTTGTGCTTGAGTATCAGATAGTTGGTTAAGTTAGTATAGTCCTTGTTTTCCTGAGACCGATCATCTATCTAGTAACCATCCTAAATCAAATGTCTCCAACATGATCGTTCGGTCAATGATTATGGAATTCATGGTCAATGTCACTATATTCTTTCATTCTCGAACTCTGACGCACACAAGATTTGGCCTACATTTCGCAGTCAGCTTGCTGTCGACTGGTGAGATAGCGGCAACAACCACCAAAATACCTCTTCATTCCCACCACCACGCTCACATAAATTCCTACAAGACGTCACCCCGCACCGATCTTCATAATCTAAGAACTTTTTGATTGATCTCTATCCAATATACTCCACATGCCCCGCCCACTCGCGATCCCGCCTCAACGCCCTCACATCCCCCTCATTCAAACACGCCATAACACCCAAATCGCCATTCTCCGTGCGGGACCAGAAATACACGCAGCCCTCGAACGGCGCCGAGGTGGGCCGCCGCACCAGCGAGGGGTGGCCCAACACATCCCCAAACCCACAACTGTACAGCTCCGTATGCGCCAGCGACGACACGCCCACATCCGTCTCGGGATCGAACTCGCCGCCGAACATGATGGTTGACTTGTCGGGCTCCTGCGCGATGAAGGTGGCCCAGCTGCGCACGGCGTACGCGTGGTTGACCTCGGCCACCTGCGCTCGCAGCACGGCCGCGGTCTCGCCGAGCGTCATCTCGTCCAGCTCCCCGTAGGCGACCCGGGTCGACGCGTTGTACCCCATCTGGCCCATGTATTCGGGCGAAACGTCCATGGCGCGCCGGCTGTCGAGGGCGCGCGAGAATTTGGTGCGCCGGTGCGCCGGCTGCGGCCGCTGGCGGCGGCGCGCGGCGGCGATGCGTTTCCACAGGAAGGCGCAGAGGGCGTCGTTGGTCGAGACGAAGGGGATGAGCTTCTGAAGCTGTGGGGAGTGCTGCGCTAGTTCGATGTTCGCGCGGTGCTTGAGCTGCGCCATTTGTTTGGCGGGGACTTGGAAGAAGTGCCAGCTTGCTGGGGCGCGGGGCGCGGAGAGAGGGTTGGGGATGCGCGGACGGCGGAGGTGGGAGTGGTCGAGCATAGGCTCGGAGGGGTAGAGCAGCGGGATGATCGTGCGGCGGTCTCGGTTCCCTTGGCTCAGTTCGGTGGCTGTGAATGGCTCGTTGCGCATCGCTTTGGCCAGGAGCCGCGCGCATTGGAAGAGGCCCCCGCCGTCGATGAAGTTGTGCTGTGCGGCGAGGTCGAGGAGGAGCCCGCCCTCAATGAAGTTGGCTTGCATCATGAAGACGCGCGCCGGCTCGATGCTCGAGTCTTCGTATCGCTCGGGGAAGGAGACCACGGGTCCCAGCGCGCTGACGGGGAGCATTGAGCACGGCCCTCGTGCGGCGCAGATCTCTTTATACGAAGGGCAGATGCTCGAGGCATCGCGCACGATGACCAGGTCTTCCGGCTGGCTGAACTCGGGACACGACTGTAACCGGAAGGTGCCTGAGTTGCCGGGGGTCCGGCCCTCGTGCACAACCTCGGCTGCTAGCCAGGGGAATTCGGAGATGAGGGTTTCCGTGGCTGTGTATAGGGCGTTGATGGCTGCCCTTTGGGCGTATCGGTCTGCGATGGGGAATGATAGTAAAAGGTGGGTGTAGGTTTTGAGGCCGGCCAGCTGGCCGATGTCGTCTTGGAATTTGGAGAGGTCAAACATCGTGCAGTTGGGGTATATGGAGTATATGTCTGAGGTTGTTGGATTGACGCTCTATGTTCTTGAGAATGGTAATAAGTGGACAAAAGCAGTGGGTATAATTCTATAGACGGCAATAATGCTAACAGGACAGACGCTAGAATGAGAAGACAAGTCGGTGAATCGTGAGGTTTGTGATGGGATACAGAGCTATTACCGTGGAAGCAACCTCCGCTTTATATACTTACGACAAGAGTATGAGCCATCGCAACGACTATGTGCCAAGAATGAAGTTGTACTTGGGAGCATTGGGGGCCATGGCAGCCGCTTAGGGCTGCTGAGAGTCGGCTCGGGAGCGCGTGCATTAGTGCGCCCCCTAACACGAACAGGATCGCAAAACTCCGAGCGGACGTGCTCACAAAGTCCGCTACTCCGAAGCGCACAGGCATCGTGGGATGAAACGAAGACAAGATGCAGCAGAAGGTTCACGCCAAATGGTTCATAAAGCTCGAACTGCAATCATGGCCCAATCGGAGGCTGTTGGCCCACAACTTCGCACAGGCACTCCGTTGCCGAGATGTTGAGCTGAGACTTGGCTCAACGAAAACAAGACATCTGGAACTTTCTTCCATCCTACACCCAGGGGTCCAGAATCTTGCAGAAATGGTGCCATTGCCGACAGGGAAAAGCGGCCTCTCCGATTGAGGTATTTACAGCCACGTGGAAACACGTGGTGACAACGACGCTGTATGTCAGTTCGAGATGATAAGTGTCGGCGGCCCTGCGGCCTCAGTATAAACGTTCTTGAAAATAAGGCCCAGACGGAGGCTGAGACTTCTCGCGTAAGTGTTCTTGCATGCGCGGTCGCGAGACCATGGATTGAGCGTCTCTGTGAGAATGCAAGCCATGGATGTGGTCTCGGTAATTCGGCAAGCCATTGCGGAAAAAACACAAATCAAGAATTCATGAATGTTCAACTGTTGTCAGTTTTACTACTATTGCTAGATCAAAAATGACAGCTCACTATTCTACCTAGTAGGCTCCAGTTCTGTTTGACCCCTTGCCCAGGCATCCAATGGCTGCCGGCTCCCATGCAAGGCTCTAGGACTTTGGAGAACATCATTGGCTGACGAAGCGCCGGAAGATGGATTAGGTTCACCTCACCTTTGAAATAAGTACAGAGACTGTATCTAAGTTGCAAACTACTTATTCAGCGATTCCTTCGATGATAGCGCCATTGCTATCTCTACCCCTCCTTCCGTGACGCTTCAGTATTGCCAAGCATACAACCCATTCCTACAGAGAAGTCCAGTTCGCTTCAATCTCCAGAACACTAACCTAACATGGTTATCGAATCAGACGACATCATCTGGTTCGAGGATGATGCTTTCCTTACGGAAACATCTTTCCCATCTGGTTCAGTATGGAGGTTGGATAGCAAAATCAACGAACATAGTTATTATGAGGAGCAGTCTGAATGTGAGACTCTGGGTATTCATTCCGAGGCACGTGGGGTGTTCTCTTGCTCGAAGGTGTCGGGGAGTGGACCACCAACCGCGATGATCAAGATGCGTTTGCAGTTAGTATTACCTATAGATAGGACTCGAAGAGAGAGATATAGTTGTTGGTATCGATGGCCGGATTCCGTGGTGGAGAACCGCGACGAAGAAGCCCGAAGTTCGTGCCAAGCAAGCCACGTCGGAAACTCCTAGGGCCTTTAATTCAGAGATCGAGGCCCTGGACCATCTAACGAAGTCTGGCTGCTCCAGTACCTCTGCTCTACTGTCCTGGGAGAAGGAGCAACAGACAATCGATGAATGGGTTCCCGGAGGCTAGAAGCTGAGTATCTTGATGGAGAAGCTACCGGGCTCTGATCCCGGGAATTCGCTTTATTCAGGTCAAATGCCCCGTGACGAGCGAGACTCTTTGAGGGGGGCCTTCAAGGAAGCGTGGTTGTAAGTCATGACTTTAGATCCGATGTTCTAGAGAGCTAGCGCCTCTAGCACCTCCGGTGTCTAGGTTATGCAAGAAATCTGACAGCAATTATAGAGAGACGGTCCGTTGTGGGGTTATCCATGGAGATGGGTCGATAAATAACCTTCTTTGGAAGAGAGAAAGTGAAAGATGGAGCCCTCTTGCTGGACAGATTTGTGTCTTTATTCGCCACTTCATTTCTAACTTCAAGTGTCCAGCCACTTGGTCGATTGGGAGTATTGGCGCTTGTCCAAGGACACAACTTGCTGGGAAGATCGCCTCTACATCCGCTGGAATCTGGCGCACGATGGACCGTCACATAACCTTTTCGATATGTCTGACTGGTAGCTGTAAAGTCGATATGCAGTCGTTATCGCGCGGTACGCGACTGAGGTCGAGAAGATAGATGCTTTTGTCTCCTGGAGACAACTACCCGATAACATTATTATATGCCTCATTTTGTGAGACCGTCCAATGAAAATCTGATTTTGTTGCACGCGCACATTACTACCTTCCCTCTGCTCATCCTTCTTCTCATGGGTATGATACTCAGTTGGGGCGATATGTTGTAATGTGAAACTGACATCGCGCCGTTCGTGGTGTGTATCCCGGCCGACATCAGGGGGATGCAAGATTCAAGAGACATAAGGGCCAACTCGACTTATTTCATTGGTGTATCTTGAATTCTGTTAACCAATGGTCTAATCTGACCAACCGAATGCCAGACCTCATTTTGCCTTTCAATATGAATTTAGTATTGGTGCATATTTCACTCGATAAACTGCTTGGTCAAGCTCATGGTGACGCTATGTGTTCCTGTTGCGCACGGGAGTCCCTGATATCTGATTTCGCACGGCCGTGATTTTCGACTGCTACCCAGAGCATAGTAACTACAAATAAGCAAGACAAAGAACTGTTACTCCAGGTTACTTTCAGAAGGTGAGTGAAACATCCCAGGCTGACTCACCCGGCTCACCTTCTTAAAGCGGCAACGGCTGAAAGAGGCAACAGAGTAAGTGACCCGACATACCTACTGACGCTACGAACATCATGGAACACCGCCATGATTAGAAAGTACTAAGTCATTGTAGCTTGGTCTCTGAGGTCATAACTCCAAAGCACCATCCTCTGACAGCTGAATACCCAATTTCTATGACTAACCATCATACACTACTTGGCGAATCTTTGTCGCCGAGGAATGTGTAGCGCATATAGCCGTTTCCGGCCTACGAGCCAATCCTACCGCGGAGTCCTGACCCAGACCAGAGAAGACGGGTGGCTGCAAAAGGACCATGGAGATGTTGCGACCAAACCAAACCGGAAGAGCAACGTGGATGTACGAAGACGATGCGTTGCGCAATCGGGATTTGCACCTAGTCTACAACAAAACCAACGAGGCCCCCTCCAACCCATCGAAGCAGCGCAATGGCCTAAAGTTAAGCACTTTGGCTTCACCAACTCCCCAAGCACCACGAGCAATCGAAATACACAGCAGCCATGATCCGCGCAGGGTCCGGCTGCCAATGGTTCACGCGGCGGCGTCTGCAACTCTCCCTGGCCGTCGCGGTGGTCATAGCCTGCATCTACACCATCCTGCCAGCGTCCAGCAGGCCGGACAGCCATGCCCACACCAATGACGAGCCCCCGCAACACCACAAGCTCCCCTTCACATCTCCCTCCTACGCCCGCTCCCTGTCCGCGCGGGAGCTCATCTCGCGCCCGCGCTCGTCGGACCTCGTCTCCCTCCCCAAGCTCATCCACCAGACCTGGTTCCCGGCGGGGAGCAACATGAGCGAGAACGCCCAGCTCTGGGTCCAGACCATGCGGGCCCAGAACCCGGACTGGGAGTACGTCCTCTGGGATGACGAGACGAACCGGCTGCTCGTGGAGACGCATTTCCCATGGTTCCTGAAGGACTACCTGCGCCTGCCCAAGGAGATTCTTCGGGCGGACGTCGTGAGGAATCTGTATATGTTCTTATTTGGAGGGTGAGATTTTACTGCCAGGACGCTGCTGGGCCAAATTACTAATGCTGGTGAGATGAATAGAATGTACGCCGACGTCGACACCGAAGCCCTCCGACCGGTGGACTCGCTCTTCGCCGGCCACGACACCCCGCTCCGGGCGGCGCACAGCAGCCTCCTCGGCTCATGGACGGGGAAAGTCAAGCCGTACTCGCCGCATGGCTCGTCGACGATCACGCAGCGGGCGTTTCTGGGCCATATGTCGCACCGGGCGGGACTGGATGGGCCTGCGGCCGTGCCTAACGGGTGGATGGCGTCGCCGCCCGGCCACCCGTTCTGGCTGCTGCCGGTGATCCACGTCATCGAGAACCCCGACGGCAGTGAGGATGGCTCGGTGGAGAGTCTGACCGGCCCCACGGCGTTGGCCCTCTTGCTGCACCGCTACTTCGAGGACTTCGAGGGCGACGAGAAGACGGTCCGCCGGCACGTGTGCCAGAAGGTGCGGCGCTGGGCCCCCCAGTGGGAGATGTACTGCGGGCCCGAGGGCCACGAGGACGATGTGCCCGAGCTGCAGACGAAGGGGAACGCGCCGGTCGTGGTGCAGGATAAGATGGTGATCCTGCCGCGCCAGCAGATCTACCCGTACAGCTGGGAGGACGACAAGAAGCTCCCCGCGTGCTTGGCGGCGTTCGAGAACCCGCAGTTCGATCCCGAGGCGTGTAAGCGGGCGATCGACGTGGAGGCGTGGCCGAGTTACTTCATTACGTATTGTACGCATTCGTGGTGAGGAGGTGGGGATTGTGTGGCTCATAATTCTGTTAATAATATTGGTCCTTTTTGTTCTTAATGCTCTTAGTGGGTGTTTTGGTCGAGTACAGTACAGTACAGGGTCGAATAGAATGGATGGCGGGCGTGGTGTTCTACCGGATTCAAACCACTCTTAGGGCTAGGCTATGCGGGAGATGCACGCAAACGGAAGGGAGATTCCGAGTTCACGGTCTCCGCGCGAACCGAGACATCCCTGAATCCAATGCGTCATATCCGGTTGGCAGCTAGGCTTAGAAACCTGAAATCTCGGATGGGGAGTTTGTCGCTCAGGGCCGCAAACAAGCTTTGGGCCCTGAAAATAGGGTGCAGAAACGCTGGTGCCTGGTTCTGGACCCCACCGTCTTGTCTTGTCACCACTCACCACTCACCACTCACCAGTGACCGCTACTCCATCCGGTCGCTCATCCTTTTCGATTTTTTTTTTTTTTTTTTTTTTCTGTTCGTAAAATCTTATAAAAAGCAGGGACCCGTTTGCGGTCAATGTTGCAGTCGCATCGCGCGAAGAAAATCCAATGTCCCCAAACCACGGCCGCAGCCCCAGCGGGCCTGTACCCCCGACCAGCAGCCAGAAAGACTCAGCCGCTGGCCGCGGCTCTTGGCGTGTAGACGCGGCGAAAGACACCGACTGCCTGGTATATATCCCCTCGCAGCAGCCATGTAGTATGACGGGCCCCTCCGAGGGGAAGGCGAGTTTTTGGCCTGATTCCTCGCATCGGGGGTCATTTTCGGTATCGCTCTCGCCCTCCGCAGCTTCGCTCTCTCCTTCATTCCAGTTACCCGGCTCCCCTAGCAGCATCGACTATCCCTTCGAGGTGAACATGACCTACTCGGAGGCATTAACCGCCGCGGCCGCGGCCGAGTCGACCAAGAAGCCGATATGGCCGGTGGTACTAGGGGTGTTGTATGTAGAGCTTCTTTTTCTCAATCACGATTACGTTTCTATGTGGTTAGAACCAGCAATTGACATTTATTTTGGGGCATAGAGCCTGGGTATTCTGGTCGAATCTGACCATCCTCTTCAATAAGTGGTTGATCGAGTCGACCGAGTTCCGTATGTTCTTCCTTCCTACCTGCCTGCATGCACCTCGCGGGTGGCATACACACATACCTACACTATTCCCTGGATCCACTAACAATCGCCAGATTACCGTGAGCAATCCCCTACCCCTACACCATCCCCATCCATCCCACAATCCTAACCAGACGAAGCAATAATCCTTACAACCTGGCACCTCCTCTTCGCGACCCTGGCCACTCAGCTCCTCGCGCGCACGACTTCTCTGCTGAACAGCCGGCACACCCACCACATGACCCCGCGCACCTACCTGCGCCAAATCGTCCCCATCGGGCTGTTGTACAGCGGCAGCCTGGTCACCAGCAACCTAACCTACCTCTATCTGAATGTCAGCTTCATCCAGATGCTCAAAGCCGGCGGACCGATCATCACCCTCCTGACGAGCTGGGGCTGGCGCGTCGCGCGCCCCTCCCTCGAATCCTTCATCAACATCCTGGTCATCGCGTTTAGTGTCGGGCTGGCCGTCGCCGGCGAGGTGCAGTTCGTCTGGACAGGCGTAGTAATCCAGATCGCGAGTCTGGTGTTCGATGCGAATCGGTTGGTGATGATCCAGATTCTGTTGAGTGAGCACGGACATCCAGCGCAGCGGGAGGGATCTGGGGAGAGGGTGTCTGGCGAAAAGGTGCACGGGCAGGACCATTCCCCAAAGATGGATCCCCTGGTCACGCTGTATTACTCGGCGCCGGTGTGCGCGCTGACGAACGCGTTGATCGCGGTGGGTAGCGGGGAGGTGGGCGGGTTCGAGTGGGGGATCGTCGAGCGCACGGGGTGGGGCGTGCTGCTCGCCAATGCCGGGGTCGGGTTTATGTTGAATGTGTCGATTTTCGTGCTGGTAGGTTCATGCGTCTTTTTCTATCTTGTTGTGCTGGGTGAGGAAAGGGGGACTTGGCGAATGCTAACGTTTCTAGATCGGGAAAACGTCCGGGCTGACGATGACGCTGGTCAGCGTGCCCAAGAACATCCTGTTGATTGTCTGCTCGATCGTCATCTGGGGCTCGCCGGTGAGTTCGTTGCAGGTGGTCGGGTATGGGATTGCGCTGTTGGGATTGTTGTATTATTCGCTGGGCTGGAGGACGATTCGGCCGCTGTGCGAGGCGGCCATCGCCAGGGTGAGGGGCTGGCGGCGCGGGGAGGTGTATAAGTATGAGCCGGTTTAGGCTGTGGTCATTTCGGGGATACATGTGTATGAGTAGATATAGATTATGAATACTGGTTTGTTGAAACGTTGGGATATGTAGATGGTAGGTCAAGTTAGGTAGGATAGGTAGAGTGAATGGTTCAACAAGCGGGATGCTATCAAATAAATCCCTCTGGAGTTAAATTAGTAAATTAGAACTGTACTATCAATATCAACATGTACCGTATCGAGTGTCAAACTCTGCTCTGGAATGTCAACGCTATATACCCTGCAACTAATCACTGGGGACATCACGAATCATACAGATAAGCAGCAATCACCCCGCCCCAGCCCCCAGCATTCTCACTCTGGCGCGCGATCGGGGTGCCCCCCTCTACGACCATATTCGTCGTGCTCTTCGTATTCGTTCCGTACAGATAGATCCCCGACGAACCCTCCACCTTCACCGCCGTCTTCTGACAGTCCCCCTTGGGACAATCGCCATTATCATTGAAGAAGACCCAGTTGCACCCGCCGTACAGGAACAGCTCGGAGGACCCGCTGATGCGCTCGAACAGCGCCATGCGGCAGAGCGCGTCGTCGGCCCCGCACTCCGCGAAGTCCGGGTCGCTGGTGGTGAGGTGCTCGTCCCAGGGGGCCGGGGCCAGCGTGCTCCCGACGCCCTGCCAGTAGGGGGACTCGCTCTGCTGCAGGGCCGAGAAGACGTTGCGCGCGTGGTGGAAGTTGTACTGGTACAGGGTGTTGTGCTCCATGCCCGTGCCGATCAGCCAGGTGGCCGCCGTCGCCTCGACCAGCATCCCCCGCCCCGTCGAGATCGTCTGCGCGTTCTCCCCGTCCAAGTCGTGGTCCGCCGTCCACCCCCACATGTTCTCGATGTACACCGACGAGGTGCTCGTCAGGTGAATCAGGCCGTACGCCGCCTTGCAGCTCTCCGCGTTACTCGTGCACTGGCTCTCCACCAGGCTGCCCACCGCCCCGCCGATCCGGAAATGCGTGTTCCAGAACCCCACGTCGCCCGGGTTGGTGCCGGCGATGTTGACTTCGAGCTGTTCCATTCGTTAGGGGGTTTATTTATCGGATGTAGTTGACAGAAGAAGACTGACCAATTGACAACCAGGCAGAATGTCCGCGACGGTGAACACCATATCGCTGATCTGAGCCACGCCCGTATCTCCAGGGTATCCGACCCGGATCATCGCCCGCGGGGAGGCCTCGTTCTCGAAATTGTCGCCCACCGCGCTGATGATCGAGGCGAAGGAATCTCCGATGATGCGACTGCCGCTGGGGACGAAGATGGTGTCGGTCACAATGTAGGTTCCCGCGGGGAAGTAGATGAGCTTGCAGTCCTTGTTACTCGAGAGGATGGCATTGATGTTGCGCGTGTCGTCCGTCTCCCCGTCGCCGTACACCGGCTTTCCGGCAACGTTCTTGATGTTCAGGACCTGGTTGGCCGTGTACTCTTGGTAGGTCGGGGGTGCCTTGGTGAAGTATTTGTTCCCCGATAACAGTGCGGAGGCGCGGGGAGTGGTGACCTGCTGTCCGTTTGTGCTCTGCATTTGGTTCGAGCCGGAGGTATACTGTTCGTGCGGCGGTTAGTGAGCTGCTCTGGTGGTGGAAGCCGGAACCCTACCATGTGTCCATGGACCCAGGTGTCCGAAACGCCCCCGCTCAGAACGATCGTGTCGCCGATTTTCACTGTGTTGCCATAGTTGCTGATGTTCTCCAGGATGATCGAATTTCCAGCCGTGGCCGACGTGCCGGACGTGATGAAGGTCCCTACGCTCGTCGCGCTGGTATCGATCACCGTCAACGATCCAGATGTCCCATGCGCGTCAATTCCGGTCTGGCACTGCTCGAAGCGGCACCCCACGAATGTAATATCAGTCCCCCCCGCGATGACGCCGGTGGTGGTCCCGAGGAAACTAAGGTTCTTGAACACCCACTGCTGGCCGTTGAGCTTCATCCCCACCGCGCCGCCTTTGAACCACAGATCGTTCTGCACAGGTCAGAACGTCATTACCTCATCCCCCAGGATTCAGCGGGGAACATACCATGATTAGGTTACTGTTGTAGTCATACTGCGTCGTCAACCCGACATGTGTCGCAGAACCAGTCGGCATGTTAAATCCCACGTTCGTCAACTGCGTCGCCTGGCTGACGGTCCAGTCGAGCAAGGCGATATTCTTACTATACCCGACGCCCGTCGAGTCCAGAACCACATTCTTCATGCCGATGTAGAAGTTGATGGTGCCCCCGAAATTCGGATCCTTGGCGTAGATAATGTGGTCGTCCGGGAAGTTGGCGGCCGCCTTCAACACGGGCGGGTTGGTCGGGTCGCCGATCAGAACCGTTCCCACAAAGAGCTGCAGAGAACTCTCGAGGAGGTAAGTCCCGCTGGGGAGATAGACGATGGCCGGCTGGCCGGTGGTGCCCATCGAGTGGGAGGCGCGATCGGGTCCGTCGGAGGGTCCAGCTATATGTAGCGAACAGAAAACAAACTGTTAGGCTTTCGATCTCACAATTTCTCAGACTTAGGGCTTCCGCCTACCGTGGATGGCAGCCTGAATCGCCAGCGCCGCGTCCCGACCGCCTGTATTATCGGCGCCGTAATCTTCGACCACATTGCGGAAGACCTTGTACGCCTCCTTGTGGCCGGAGTCGAGGAAGGACGATTGCCCGTTGTGTTCGATGTTCGCGTACCAGTATCCGCCGGAGTTGCTCGAGCTGGCGCAGAGGGAGGGCGAGGCCGCCGCGATGGTCTGGTGTGCTGCAGGCCCGTTGAGGCTCACCCATGGCTGCGCGGTGCGGTTTTGGATCACGAAGGGAATGCCACTGCGGCTGTTAGTGGGCACTTCTCCGGGCCTTTCTTTTCGGTCACTCACGTCGGATCAGGAATGTAACTCCGTTGGGAGATGGAGGCAGCGCTTGGAGTCGGCTGAGGCGTGAGTTTCTGAGCTGAACCCGAGGTCCTCAGCCGGGGCATCGAGGTGTTGCGCCATCCATCTTGCGGTCTCGCGAATGCCAGTGAAAACAGCGATAGCCACGAGATGCAAAGTAGAGCGAATGTCGAGTGTGCCATCATCACGGCACACGGTCGGGTCGAAGCGAATACAATTGGACAAGCATCAAAGAATGAAACCAAAGGGGAAAAAAAAAAGAAGAAGAAGGGATCGATCAGGGTATCAAAAAGAGTGAAATTTCCCTGTTGACTCGAGAATACAAACCTCGATACCTATTGCTTCGAGAAAACGCCTAGTCAGACATTGGGATTTCGCCCCAGGGATGGCGTACGCAAAATCACACAGTCGGAAAGGGTCGAGGGGCGCGCATCGAGTGGGAGCATGATTCTGGGGGCCTCCTCTATTTATGCGAATGCGAATTAGTGCATACCTGGACTGAGTCCAGACAAGGATTGTCCAGGTTTGGGAGGAATCCCGCGCGGCGGAGACTTGCATACTGGCATTGGCAGGCATGCCATGGTTAAGGTTAGGTAGGTTAGGGCCATCCATCCATCTATTTGTTGATCTTCCGTAGAAAGGGCGGTCGATCAGGGGTTTGACAACAACAACAAGGTGAACTCTAGTTGACCAGTCAAGTCCTGAACCACCAGCTGTGCATCTATATTGCCGTGACTTCATTTTGCAATTTCATCAGTTTTCCTTCCTGCCTGTCCAGACCATTTTCCTCAGTCACCAGATCTGCATTATCCCTTCCTACCACCGCCGCCGCCGCCGCCACCGCTGCCAAACCATGCAGAAAACCCAGTTTTGGGACTCACTCCCCTCCGCGTGATAGAAGCCACCACCACTCGAATCGGGAAATACCGACCTTGAATCGGTTTATCTTGAAGCCTAAAGGTCGTCGTACCTGTCGTCGATCGCGTGAGTAACCTCCCCAAATCAATTGTCCGAGCCATGCAGCTCTGACGTCTTTCGCGGCAGCGAGCTTGCATTCCGCAAGGCACATACCAACCAAGGTTCAGAGCAAGGGATTGCCCGCGCCCAGAACCAAGCAACAGGGGAGTTGGCACGTTGTAGGGCAGTTCCCTTCCCTGTTCCAGTCAACTCTCCGTAGCTGCTTATACAACAGCTTTGCCGGTTCGCAATAACTACTAGGCAACAGCACCAAGACCACCAAGCTTGGAGGGCTTTGGGTCCTAGACTATAACGGGAGGATTGTTCCTATGCAGGAAACCTTTTTTTTTTGGCCCAATTGACACGCTACTGGTGTCAAACATCTTGCAGAGCTTCAATTCATACATCGCTCCCTCAGCTTTGAATGCCCCCCGCCCCCTCCTCCGCGGAACGCCTTCACACTCAACACTCCAAGGTAAGAAGCAGACTATGAACAGTATACATGGTAGAAACTAAAGAGTAATGTATACTGTAGTGCAAGTTGAACCCAGATACTTGGCCTACAGCCAAAGTTCAGCATGTAAAATAACCCCCCCATCCCGTCCCCCGGTGTTCCAAAATCTTCTTACGAAAAGGGAAGATTCTTCTGGTTGAGTAACAAATATTCAAGACTGGGGTACAGTACGGATGATCGGATTATTTCTTTTTCAATGTAAAGTGTAGAATATAGTTTCGTAAACATATCTGTACATATTGAAGAACGAAATATGCTACTCAACAAAAGAGCTTGCCCCATCTGCCTGTGATCCGCTATGTGGCAGATATATTTGTCTGATGTTGCTGACATTTGGTTGAGCTCGGTCCACCACGTAGCTGCATTGAGTGAGAATAGACGCGCAGTAAACTGTTAACAATGAGAAAAACCTCATCACAGACTCTAGGGCTTACAAATACTAGATCCCCTCTGACAATATAGTACAAGATTGAAAGGGTCTTGTGTTGACAGTCAGTCCGCAACGCGCCAGCCAGCGTTTTCTGATTCGGGTAAGGTGGGCGCGGGCGGGCCGTGGGTGACGCGGGGACAAAGGCACGCTATTCCCGAAAGGGAATGCGCTGGGCAAAGCCACCGAGTCGAGTTTATGGTTCAGATTGGAGATCGAGGACGGTGGAGATACGAATATCTAGCAATAGCTGCTGATTACAAACACGAGAATATATGAAGGAATCCGGATCTGTACACGGCGCTCTTGATGGATTATAAATGATGCTTGAGTGCCGCCTTTCACTGCGCCTTTCCCAATTCTCATCTGCCGGTATCATTACAGATCTAAATCGAGTCTTTTTCTCTCCGAGGTTGATCTATTGATTGGACCTGGTCTCTATCAAGTTTTCATTCCATATTGCACCTAGAGAAGAGCCTAGTCCGACAGTCTCTGCAACATGAAGGCCATTATTATCGAACAGTTCGGAGGCCCAGACACCCTCGTGATCAAAGAGATCCCGCGACCCGAACCCCAGACCGGCGAAGTCGTCATCAAAGTCAGAGCCTTCGGCGTCAACCACGCGGAAATGCACATGCGCAAAGGGCAATGGGCCGAGTGGATGCCTGTGAGCGGGATCGAATGCGTTGGAACAGTCGTGGACTGTCCCGGGGGCGAGTTCGCAGAAGGGACCGCCGTGGCCAGTCTGATGGGCGGCCTTGGGCGCACCATCAACGGCAGCTATGCCGAGTACACCCGCGTACGGGCTTCTAATGTCGTGGAGCTCGGCCCAGGTGCGTCGACGCTGGGGTGGCAGCAGCTGGCTGCGATCCCGGAGTCCTACGCCACAGCCTGGACGTGTTTGTTTCGCAATCTCGACTTGAGAAGCGGGCAGACGCTACTGATCCGCGGCGCGACCTCGGCTTTCGGCCAGGCAGCCTTGAATCTGGCCGCGGAAAAGGGCGCGCGTGTGGTTGCGACGAGTCGCAGAGAGAGTCGCTTCGCGCACCTTAAGGCTCTGGGCGCCGAGCGTGCAGAGGTCGAAGGGCCCAATCTGTCGGAGCGGTTGGCAGAGAGATTCGACGCCGTCTTGGACTTGGTGGGTAACAGCACAATTGTGGACTCGCTGAAAATGGCGCGACGGGACGGAAGGGTGTGTCTGGCTGGGTTTCTAGGGGGTTTGGCCCCGATTCAGGATTTCAACCCGCTCCTGCAGATGGCCAGCGGAGTCCATTTCAGCTTCTTTGGAAGCTTTGTATTCGGAACCCCGGAGTTTCCCCTATCCGATGTCCCCCTCCAGTCCATCGTGGAAATGGTTGCCGATCGCAAATTCACAGCAGAGCCGTCGCGTGTGTTCCGATTCGACGAGATCAGGGAGGCGCATCGAGTGATGGAAGCCAACGAAGCCAACGGAAAAATGGTCGTGGTTGTTGATGAATAAAATTGTCTTGGTCACGAGAAAGAAATCTGGTCTTCCAGGACCTCCAGTGGACAAAACAAAGTGTCAGGAATCCGGAGGAATTGTCCAATCAGATCCTTGTAGTCAGTAAATTTAGCCACGCCCATGAATACCATCATTTCTTCAAGCAGGCCTACAAAGCAGCCACGCAGTTCCCCACTCAGACATGAAGCACAAGCACCAATTGTCAATGCCCAGACAAGGTAGATCTGATGGCTCGTCGAAAGAAAAGAGAGCTTCATATCACGCACGAGTAATTGCAACTTAGATCCGTAGAACAGACCAGGGATGGTATCTAAACCAAATCTCCCACGGAGTTCCGTGAGATACACAATCGTAGCTAGACGAAAACATTCCATCACACGTGCCTCTATGGTATCGTGGACTGTGACACGTGTTTGTGACAGCAGAATGTGTAGAATTGGTGACATATGAAAACCGGGAAACAAGATGTCAGACCATAGATCCCCTTTCAATAATTCAGACAGCATGATCACATGCAACTCGGCAAGGCTCTGACGGATATATGAGACAAAGAAGTTGCGGTTGTTGCTTTCGCCGTCAAGCGATAGGTCGAACTGATACGAGGCCATGGTGAGCTTGCTACGACCGGCCAAGATCGCTAGAGGCTGTTGGTATCGAGGCATACTGTCTTGAATATATGCGCCATTGACATCCACCCTGCACATACATTAGTCAGGAAGACAGCTGCAGAGCGGTATATGCTCACCAATACAGCATGGTCCTCAGCAGTGGGTTAGAGTCGAGAGACTGGACGCCACCTCTGCAGTCAAGGATCCGGGATAGACCATTCATGTGAACATTCAACAGCTTTGGATCCCGCGTCATGTTCTTGAGTGGGGCTGGTTAGTCAATGAAGCATTAATCGAGTGTCACTGCAGTATCTCACAGCATAACAACAGAAGGCCAACACAGCAACGACCACCTCGTCGGTGACACAGGTTGCGGGGTCTCCTAGCCGCTGCTGCAGGAGAGTTGTCGCATGAGCTGTGTATCGGTAGTGATCGGTACTGCTATCGTCGGCGTAAAGATGTCCCAAGTGTTTTGACGAGGCCGATAACAGTTGTGATAGAGCGATGGATTCACGGACGACGTCGAGAAAACCGATGTCGAGCATGGTTCGAAACATAGAGCAAGTTCCATCGTACACTACAGGTATATTGGACTGTTGCTTAGACCAGTGGGATCTCATACAGAAAGATAAATCTTACTATGGTCCCAGAGCCAACGAGTTCGTCGATCGCGTTCGATCGGGAATGTCCCGAATGGGTCCGATCGACCTGCATCAAGCATTGAGAGCGGAGCTACCGCGACAATGCCATCTGTGCAGGCCTGCTGCTTTTTGGGCAATGATGGAGAAGAAACCAGGGGTGATGAACCAGAGCCCTGCAGCAGCGGGCTCGTATCAACCTCAATAGATGTGGTTTCCTTTCGCTTGGGTTTAGCGGTTCGTCGGCGATAGTCAACCATCGCGTGGCTGCGAACGCGTCGCCGCGTGATTGCGTCCCCGGCTACATTGTCCCCCGCAACGGAGATGAACTCGAAAAGTGATGCACCTGGACCTCTGCTCCTGGCTGGCTTGCTTGTTGTCATCGTGACACAGCTTCTCTAGAACTCGGTGCTGTACCCAGTGCGTTGCGAGAATGAAATGGTTTCAGGTCAATCTTGGTTGGACGGGCGTAGTCCGAGCTTATCTCATCCTTCCCCGCATGATCAGTCAAAGTACTTGACCCCAGGATACTAACAGATTGCGTAGGCTACCAGAATGAAACGCTTTGCCAATCAGATCCACTTTTGATGAAGGAGCCGTTGTAAATTTATTCGAAGAATATATATCATCACGGACATGATACTTTGTGCCGCCAGCCACATTTGCAATACGACTTCTAACGGCAAAATACTCATATTATCTCACAGCACGCAAAATCAATCCCATATCTGACGGACATAATGGCAAGACCATCATTTGAGTCCAAGGCTAGCCTCCACATTATCTCTTCAAATCCAGCTACATACACCCCTCAAGACCCCCGATAAGTCGAGTAATTCCACGGCCCCAACAACACAGGCACATGGTAATGGCGCCACCCGTCCTCGCCGTCCTTGCCCCGTCCCTTGACTGTGAATTTCACCTCGACCTCGGGCCAGAAACTCTCCACCCCCTGGGCCTCGTACCAGGGGCCCACCTCGAACCGCACCGCCCAGTTGGTCTTGCTGTCGGGCGCGGGCAGCGCGGCCAGGATTGCCGGGACGGATTGTGCTTGCGACGAGCCGGTGGTGGCCAGGGGCTCCCAGATCGCGACGCGGCCGTCGGCGTTGGTGGTCGCGCGGAACGTGGGGGGTTCTTCTGCTGCGCCCGTGGGACTGGAGAGGAGCGTCAGGGTCACGGGGAGGTTGGCAGCGGGCGTGCCGGTGAGGGTGTTGAGGACGTGGCAGGTGATTGGGTCGTGGGACATTGTTGCTGTAGGGGGATTGGCCTTGGGGGCTGGGGGTGTTGTTGAAGAGGAGGAGGGCGATTGCTGAGTGTGGTTGAGTTGGTTGCGGACGAGGTTTAGACGTTCGGTGATTTGGGCTGGATGGATGGGGCCTGTTGACGGCTGGTGCGGTTGTTGGGTGTTGTCCATGAACTGCCTCGATTCAATGGTGAACAGTGATTGAGGAGTATGGCTGTAGAATCGATGGGAATAGTGAGCGATAAGGTGTAGTAGTTAGTGTGAGGTGTTTTGTCAGTGCAGGGGGGAATTTAAATGATCATTATCTCCGGGCCCGCATCGAATGCTCTATCGGAGAGCACCGATACCCCGCCCGCGGAGGATGCCACCGCCAGCCAGCCAGCCCCGGCCCGGCCTGGTGAGCTTGTTTCCTAATCCGGAAGCTGGTCTTGGCGTCACGGGTTGGGCTATTGTATTCCTCAGGCACGACGCGCCCGCCAATACGCAGATTGTTTGACTCCTGTTATTCGAGCTTACACAATAAACCTGCCCTGTTCTCGTTTCTTCAAGTATAGTCAAATGGACAAATCCAACATTCATGCTATTCTATTCGGCTGCAACTGGGCGCGAAGAACATACACACAGAAGACAATCACCGAGAAGCAATAACACCCTCCAAGAAATCAAACCCCCGTTTCTGCAACTCCCACGTCTGAGACCCCACCTTCATACTCATCGCGAACGTGTGATCTTCTCCGGGCACCTCGATCATCTCACACCGGACCCCTTGCTCCTTCAACACCCGGAACAGCTCCCGACTCACATCGATAGTGACCTTCGTATCCGCCCCACCGTGCACAATACACGTCGGCGGAAACTGCGCATCGATATGGTGGACCGGGTCGATCTCTTTCACATCCTGCCCGGGGTAGCACGCCTGGATAACCGTCCCGTTGGCGACCTGCGTGAGCGCGAAGCCGTCGCGCGGGCGGCTGAAGTCCGGGCCCGGCACGACCCCAACCTCGGTCTGCCCTTCGAGCGAGATCGAGCTGTTCGTGGGCACGGGCCTCTCATCGTAGATCCGGTTGAGGAACGCGGGGTCGAGAGGCGGCAGCTTGCTGGCTACCTCGGGAAGCGGCTGCGTCCAGAACGGGTGGGTGAGGTAGGCCGGGGCGTAGAAGTCGAGGATCGCTGCTACTCGGCGCGGGACGTCCCATCCCTACGGTCCAGGAGGATCAGCATCATAAAAGCTTTTGTTGTTGGTTGCTGATTGGGAGGGGATAGAATGGGCGCTTACCAATGACAAGGCCAGCGTGCCTCCGGACGATGTCCCGAAGGCCATGACTCGGTCCTTATCGACGCGGTACTGCGATCCAGGCACATGCGCGGCCGACTCCCCGGCAAGAAACGCATCGAGGTGACCGTCGTAGATCCAGGCCAGTAGGTCTCGGCAATCCGCCATCGGACCCTCGAGGATGTTCACCTGCGGGCAGAGTCGGTGGTTGGGACTGACCACGATCCAGCCGCGGGCCAGGCAATCGTCCACTTGCGGCATGCAGACCATCTTGGAGTGGCCCAGCATGAACGAGCCGCCATGGATGTCGATTACTGCGGTCCGCAATCAAGTATTAGCGATCTCACTGATATGGGTAGTTGTCATTGATGTTGCTAGGAAATCACCTACAGACAGGATATTCTTTCACTTGTCCGTTGTCAGTGGCTGCTCGTGGTGGGAGATAGATATCTGCATCGATCTTGCTGCCGTCGATCTCCTTGTATTGGACTGTGAGGGGCGTCGGGGGCATGTTGTCTGTTCTCTTTACAATTTTCTCGTAGAACGGAATGGATCTTGTGAGTCGTGAATTCGAAATATATTCTGTATTCCACTCAGTGGATAAAAGAGCTGGCTGTCTATAGTAGAGTGTACAAAAGTATATGAAGTCGGAGAAATCGCACGAAATTGGGTTCTAGATGCAAGATAAATCTAGCATGCGGGTACGTTCGGAAAATCCGACTGCGGGGAGGCGATTAGGGATATCCGGCCACGGGCATGGCAATGCAGAATGCACAACACCATTTACCGAGGATGCATATTGCTTCGAGTCAATCAATCCTTTCGGAGCGATGTCGCTGTATTGCTCACCGACATCTCTTACAAAAGCACAAAACTCAAGACATAAGAATGATATATGAATCTGATATAAGCCTGTTAGCTGGCAACAGTCACGCACGCATGGGCTATATCGAGCGGTCATGTCAAACGGCCCGGCTCCGGCCGCGTTTCCCCAGCATGTTTGACGCTCGCGCGGCTGCTGCATCCTGCAGGTACCACGCGTCAGGACGCATCTAAGATGTCATCACTTTCTGCGGTCATAGCTTTGCTTGTCCTCGGGATCTTTGCAGAATTACAGATCTACAGAATGTCCACGTCACTGTAGGCTTGAATCATTGGAACATAATTGACATTCATTGAGTTTTGTGCATAACTACTTGTGGAGGAATTCGTTAACTACTTGGGTGAAGGCAGGAGCGTTCTCGACCATGGGCAAGTGTCCGGCCTTGGGGATGAGCTTGAGCTCCGCATCACCCTTGAGGTCGGCCGCCATCTGTTGCATGGTCTTCGGAAGCACACCATCGCTGTCGCCAGCGACAAAGAGACCTGGAACCTGCGCCTGCGCCATCTGTTCCCGGACATCGTATGCGCAGAGAGCCTGGACGCTCTGGCGGAAGCCCTCAAGGCTGTTGGTGCGCACCAACTCCTTCACCTGAGCGGGGAGATGAGGCTGGGTCTCATAGGACTCCGGCGTAAACCACCGACGAACAGTGACCTCGGCCAGCTCGTCACCAACAATCGTCTCCTGGGTGGTAGCAGAGACAGCACCCTCGCGCTCGGCCACAGCTACGCGATCATTCCAGGCCTTGCGGTTAGACTCGGGGCTGGAGCTGTTGGTATCGCAGGATATGAAGCGCGTCACGCGAGTAGGATAGCGCAATGCAGTATTGAGAACCGTGACACCTCCCAAGCTAACGCCGATCAGAGTGGCTTGAGGAATGCGCAGTGCGTCTAGCAGGGCGATGATATCGGAAGCGAGCACATCGATGTTGATCGGCTGCTTGCCACAGGCCTGCAGACGGCCACGGGTGGAGTAGCGCAGGATACGGAAGCCCTGGTTGCGGGGATCCGCGAGGAAAGCGCTGACAAAATCATCCCAGATGGCGTAATCCACCAAAATCGAGTTACTCAGTACAATGACGGGGCTGTGAGGGTCAGTGCTGCCCTCCAACCGGTAGGGAAGGTCGACACCGTCCGCGGTGGTGACAAATGACTCGACGGCTGGGCGGGTAGGGGAGGGAAGAGTACGGGTGCGGCCGTCGTTGGACGACCACGGCCCAGCAACATCCTTGGAAGCCAGGGAAGAGAGCTCGCGGGGGGCGGGTCCGAAGGTGTAGGCCCACTCAAAGACACGACGACGCTGGCTGGTGATCGTGTCGTTGACAATCCGAGTGCGCCAAGGGGTATCCATGGCAGCCTTGTGTTCCGGACCTCCCAGGCCATTGGTGGCTTTGTACTCGTGGAGCGTCAAGTATTCGCGGGGGGCCTTGGGGTCGATGGCGGCGGTCACGAAGCGACGGGAGCAGCGCCAGCCGGGCACGCGGGAGAGCATTGGGATGTGTTCCTCGGTGTACCAGCGGTTGTAATCGGCCTCTTTGTCGGCGTCGTCGACAAGAGTGGTGGAGACGGCGACGAGCACCGAGCCGGCCACAGTGGTATCAGGTTGATCCTCGAGCGGAGTGTAATCGGCGGCTTTTTGTTCACCCAGGAAGTCGTAGAGGCGGCGATCGACGGCAATTTGAGCCATAGTGGCCTTCTCTCGCGGAGTCTTGATACCATCTCCCCGCAGAGCCAGGTAGGTCTCGCGCGTCAACTCCTCCATCTCCGTAATGTCATACCAAGCTACCCACTCAGGCTCCTCGCCATCAACAGCACGATACCGGAAGCCGTTGGTGACGAAAGGCAAGCGTAGACGCAAGGGTCCATGTTCCGAGTTGTACCAGTCGTGGAACTGAGCGGCGGGGAGCGAGGGACGCGGATGCATCGTCACGTAAAGCAGGCCGGGAGTCGCCATTTTGGAGGATTTGAAAGCTGTTGAGTCAATAAGTCAATGAGAAAAACACCGAGTAGGAGACCCTGCGATAGATGAATTAAAAGAGGGGCACCCGACGAAATGGAGGGGCGTAGCACGGCCATGATTTTATTGTTCACTTGCCGCCTCCGACCTTGACTGCCGAACACACAGCCGATGGACGGGGGGAAAGCCATTTACCGGAGGTTCGAACTCTCCCTCCGGAGCAAATCGCCCGCAGTCAAGCCGGCCCTGCACGTGACTTGCGGAGGACTGCGGGTGTTTGTGATGTTTGCTGAAACTCGTCTTGGCCCCCCGCTTCCCCCACAGAGTCCAGTCTATCTTCTCCACTGGCAAGCTTGGTGATTTACCCTTGGTGCAGAGGAATTGGAACGGACTGTCCCCCGCTTCCCCCTTTCAGACAATGTCTTCAAGCATCGTTCGCCCTAGGCTACCTTACTCCGATTCAGACTTGTACCTGCATTGCGATAAGTCGATCCGGGGGAGGGCGACATTCCTGTGCTCGGCTGCATCCCTTCTTATTATCCGAAAACGGAAATCCTGAAGCACGCCCCTGGAGGGGCTGAAGTAACATCACAGTGCAACCGGGAAGAATGTTCCCTGGATAAGGCGTCTGGATCCTGTCTCGGCGAGGGTATCTTACGGCCAACCTGCTTTCATCTGGTCACGTCTTGAGTTGGGTCCGCGGTCGTATCGACCGGTCGCCGGCGTCATGCTCCTCGCCAGTGAGACTCTACATGCGGACGAAGTGGCCCGGTGGACATAATCGTGTTGCATTGAAAATCTTCGGTCGCCTGTACTCTGCAGGCCTTTCAGTGATGTCCTGAGCACCAGGATAGCTTCAGCTACGCAGCAATCGCGCCCCAGTCTCCCACGATGGCCACCACAGCACCGAAATTCGATGAGCGAAAGGACGAGGAAAAGAACCAGGAAGAGAGCTCGATCCACGAGCTAGCTTGCTCCTCTACCACTACTTCATCGCCTGACAATGCCGAGTCAGAAGTAGTCTACACGATCGACGACGAAAAGACGCCAGATAAGACACATGCGGAGAAACAATCAGGCTCGAGCATTCGTCTTCTAGTATGGATGACAATCAATATTGTGTCCACTGTAGTCATCGTAAGGCATCAGAAATCCTTCGTCTGAAGCAATGTGAGGCTCACTTGCATATCACAGGTCTTCACCAACAAGTCTGTCCTTTCGCATGCCATGCTTCGAAACTCCCAGGTGTCCTTTGCTGCATATCACTTCACCATCACGGGCTTGACCCTCTGGATTACCTCTCGACCCTGCTGTGGCTGGTTCGAGCCTAAACATGTCTCGGCATATCGCATCCTTCATCTCGTTGCAGCCATGTGCATTCAAGTGATCTTCCAGAATCTCGCACTCGCACACTCCTCTGTTATTTTCCACCAGTTGGCGCGACTACTCCTTACACCTGCAACTGCGTTGCTAAACTACATCCTCTATCAATCCAGCATCCCTCGCGCCGCATTCCTGCCACTCATTGTACTCTGCACTGGCGTAGGGGTTGTCTCCTACTACGACTCTGTGCCAAGCTCAAAGAGCACTGAGTCAACCTCAGCGCAGGGCATTTTCTTCGCCCTTTCCGGTGTCTGTGCCAGTGCTATGTACACGGTGCTGGTAGGCCGCTATCACAAGAAGCTGCAGATGAGCAGCATGCAGCTTCTGCTCAACCAGGCGCCTGTCAGCGCAGCTGTTCTACTCTGTATTGCCCCTTGGATGGAGACTTTCCCCACCGTCTCATCTGTGCCGGAGTCCCTGTGGCTGTCGATCTTGGCGGTATGTATCGCATCCTGCCCTTGCTTTCATCCAATTCCGCTAATACACCACTCTGCAGAGCGGTATTATGGCCTGCCTGGTCAACCTCTCCCAATTTTACATTATCGACGCAGCAGGGCCCGTGACCAGTACCGTCATTGGTCAATTGAAGACCTGCATAATCGTTGGGCTAGGGTGGATTCTGTCAGATCATGCAGTTTCACATCAAAGCGTGGCAGGGATTCTGATGGCCTTGACAGGAATGAGTTTGTAAGTTCGCACCTTGCCAATTGGAGATAACGAGCTAATGCTTTGTTCAGGTATATGAAGATAATTCTCAAGCATCAGAAATGATGCTCGATTGGAATAGTAATGGCGGACTTGGAAAGGGAAAAGAGCTGTATGTATAGTAGTGTAATTTTTAATACGGTGGATATGATCAGAGCGAAAGTACTAGAGTTGTTCGTCTGATGCCGAGTCTCACTGTGGCTTCCAAAGACATTCTGCAGATTGATGTTCGAGGTTTGAGGTAATTCTAAACTGAGATTAACCCCATAAGTTTCATATGTTATGGTACATTGTATCAGACAGACTACGTTCACCAGTCTCGAAATTCCAGAGAAGAATTGTAAGCCAGCCTGGGGTGAATGAGTTGTGAGTGCCCGTGTTATATGAGGTGGAACTGAAACAGACCAGGACCTCGGCCAATCTCCACGTGACCACTTGTTTGTCTCCCCTCCCGCGGGTTTCCCTTATCGCCAACTAACCTACCCGTGTTCCTCGCCGCGTCCGTGACACGAAAATGACTTGATCTTGAAACCCCCAACTCCCTCCCTCATTGGACCCCCCCCCCAAACCTGCACCAGTCCTCAGTCCGAACAAGCCAGTCGATATGACAGGCCGAAGTCGGAGACCCGGCCAGATCGCATGATGTCACACTGGTTCACGCTTCAGGAGTCCGACGACGATGAGAGTGTGGTCGAAGAAGCCGAGAACCTTCTGGCGCAGTTCTTGGGACCATCCGACCGGTTGAAACGCGAAGCGACCCAGTCCGTCGATCGAACCCCAACCCCGACCATTCGAGACAAATCCCCCGCAACCCGAAGCACGCCTTCTTTAACCTTACCGCGCACTCCAGAGTCTTTGAGACCAAGATCTCAGGATAGGCCGCCCGTTACGGATCACTCAGAAGTATCGGTCGAGGTATCGGACTCGACCAAGGCAGCGCGGGCGCGACGGTCGGGTCGTTCACGGAAAGGTCCCGCTAACTACTATGATAGCTCGAACTACGAAGGCTTCAGGTCGAGCGATGAAGCTAGCCAAGACTGTGAAGAGACTGTGGTGACGTCTTCGCGATCACGGAAAGGCCCTGCTAAGTCCTACGATGGCTCGAACTACGAAGGCTTCGGGTTGGATGGCGGAGCTAGCCAAGGTCGTGGAAATAATCCGTTGAGCTCTTCGCGACCACGAAGGGATCGCAGTGATAGCCTGGTACCGAATCCCCCTCGACGCAGAAGAGGTCGCAGCTATGCATCATCACCATGTTCCAGTGTCCAGCCCCAGCCCGAGCTCAAACGGCCACACCTTAAGTCATGCTTAGCGACCCCTCCATTGCACGATACACATTCCGGTCCAGCCAAAGATCCATCGAATACATTGACGGCATTACTACAACAACGTCAGCTGGGACGTCCGACTGCCCGCCAGATCTGTAGCCAGGCTTCCGAAAACCTCGAAAGATCTTGCACTTGGAAGGGCGCTTCCGGTGATGTGATTGTTTTGGGGTGGTCACCCGATGGTACCAAGTTCGCAGCCGGCGCAGCTGCCCAGTGCGATGAACACAATATGGCATACAACCGAAATAACAACCTGCTGTTTGGAGATTTGACTCAGAATTCTTTACAAGAGCTACCGGATCACTGGGTATACCGACCGCAGATGAGGGCCGCGAATAACCCAACCCTACACGACACTCGCCTCTTCATGAGTGTGACGGCTATTGAGTGGTGGGATGACGCCCTCTTTACAGCTAGTTATGATCACACAGTGAGGCTGTGGCATTCGTCAAGTAAAGGTACCGGGTGCTTCGAACGATTGTGGCATGATACCAAGGTTGAAGTGATGGCCCGCTCGAAATACGTGCCCAATTTACTGGCAACGGGGACGCGTGAGATCGGCCTTTGGAAACTGGACGAACGTACTTACACATCCCTCGAAACCCGCAAATCTCGTTCGAACAAGGCTATCGAGATGGTGCCTTCCTCTCTTGCGTGGGGCACGATTCAAGAAACTGGCAATATCCTCCTTGCTGGATTGTCGGAAAAGGGCCACGATAGCCTAACGCCCGATGGCCAGTTGGTAGCTTGGCAAGTGAGCGAAGCTTCAATCACGCCTCTCAACCTTTTACCCGGCTCCCAAAACGTATTCGATATTAAGTGGCACCCGTCCTTACCAGTTGCTGCCGTGGCGAACTACATTGCTCACTCCCCGTACAAGGCCTACAAAGATAGCAGATCATCCGTTCGTATCTATGAGCCGCTGACATCGAAAGTCAGTGTCATGGAATTCGAATGCCCTGCTCTGGATATCAACGACATAACATTCTGTCCTACGAACACGAATTACCTCACTGCTAGCTGCACCGATGGTGCGACATACGTCTGGGACTATCGCAACCCGACAGAGATTCTCCACAAACTTCAGCATGGTGAACCGCTGAGTCCGGTTGACCAGGATCAGAGTCGCGAGCAAGCAGATGTTGGCGTGAGAACGGCTCTGTGGGGCGACACGGTTCGCGAATTCTACAGTGGAGCCACCGACGGGGTGCTGAAAAGATGGAATATTCTCCGAGCGCCAGACGATGTCCTCGAGAAAGACGTTGCGAATCTCCACGAGGAGATCATGAGTCTCTCCTTTTCACCCGATAAAACCAATCTCTTAGTCGGGGATGCCGCTGGCGGCATCCACATCCTATCTTCGGGGCCCTTCTCGCGCACGAATGATAATGCTATAGAGTACAAACCTGCATGCGAACCATCAAGGACCGTAGCCCCCGATAAGCCGGACTCTGGAGTCGCTGCAGGCGCCGAGTTACTGCGGTCTGGCCAGCTTGAGCGGCATCCTGTATATGGGGTTGGAAAAGGCCCGTACTATGACGGTCCCTTCGCGGCGTGGGCCCGGCCAGAGAATACGCCGTCTGACGAGCTTGCGTATACGAGGTTGGCAGACAAGTGGCAGGCTCTGCAGCTCGATGGAATTGATCCTAGGTATCGGTTTGCTCTGGAAGAGAAGGACCGACAGCAGGTGGAAATGCAACGGAAAATCGCGCAGGCACGGAACCAGCGGGCTGGTTACAAGAAACGGGTCCACGTGGATGCGAAGGACGTCATTGATTTGTGCAGCGACGAGGAGTCAGAGATTTCCGAGTCACCCTTCAAACTCAAGCGGCGACTGGCGGAATCACAGGGGAACGTGGCCCAGGTCGATGTGATTGACTTAAACTCAGATCCGGTGCAAGCCCCAAGCCCTGAGCCTCCTGTCTCAATTGTACCTGTCTCGTCCGCACCGGTTCGTCCTCGTTTGTCGAGTCCTGTTGAAGATCTGCGCGAGGCGCTAGAGGAAGATTTCTGGTGGCCGCCGAACGAAACGGTGGATCCAAATTTCAAAGATGACTGAATACGATATGCTTGGAATGTCGAAGATCTACACGCTCAGTGCCATGTGGGTAGCTAGCCATGCCTTCATATGCACCTTGATTCATGATAGGGAACCATGTTCCATGTCAAATAGCATTATTTAAAAAGTGAATCTGTATTAATACAATAATCAAATCGGTAATTTCTTTGCCAGCCTTCATTTTCTTGTCGCATTCTTTTTTTTTCCCCCTGGGAATCTGCGAGTGGTGTCAGACATTCACATACCTAGTAGTTACTTAATGTAGATCAACCACAGAGTACCATCCTTCCCCTACTGGGTAGACTATTTCGCCCCGAACAATTGGAAATCGCGGTTTCCCTCCCCCTCCCGACATCTCCGCTCCGCGTCGGAAAAAGGAGCAAGCACCACCGGAAAAGCCCTGCTCGGGGTGGAATTACCCCGCAATATCCGGGGCCCTACATAAGAAATAAACAATTGAGCCCACAAGCTATCCACGCAGCTACCCCAGGAAACCCTCACCTGAAGCCCATTCCCCGCACATTTCACTCAAAACTTCAACAAACAACAAACCCCAAACCCCCCCTTCCCCCGGAAGAGGCACCAGAAAATGAGCGAACTCATCCCCTTCGAAGCCCTCCCCCTCGACCCCGAAGGCCCCCCCGGCAACGCCTGGGGCCGCTTCGGCGCCGCCGACCAACTGGGCACCCTGAACCTGCTCACGCCGGCGGTGATTGTGGCCGCCGCGAAAGAGATCCGCACGGGCGTGCGCATCTCGCTCGACTGGCCACTGAGCATGCCCACCTACCCGAGCTTCGAGCGCGACCCGTTCCACCAGCGGATCGTGCACCGGCGGCCCAATTGCATCAATGATGATATCTTGACGTTCAATACCCAGGGGTCGACGCAGTGGGATGGGTTCCGGCATTATGGTGCGTGATTCTTTTCTATTTGGGGGGGGGGGGTAAGGGGTTGTGCTGTGGCTATGGGTGACGATGGGTGAATTGTATGGGGTTGCTGACTTGGGGTCGTGGTTGTGGTTGGGATGGGGAATAGCCCATCAGCAGAGCAAACGATTCTATAACGGGCATACGCAGGAGGAGATTGAGGGGTCGGATGTTCTGGGGTTGCATGGTTTGTCTCCCTCCCTTGCTTTTGTTGCAGAAATGATCGAGAGAGAGATATATATATAGAGAAAGACGAGACGACTAATTCTTCTGGGACTGTCAACAGTGGTCACCGAAGCCGGTGGCATCACCGGCCGGGGCATCCTGCTGGACTACGCCGCCTGGGCGGACGAGCACCACATCCCCCTCGCCCCGCTGACCTCCTCGGCCATCCCCGTCGCCCACCTCACCCAGCTCCTCGCCGACCACGGCATCCAGCCCCGTCCCGCCGACATCCTCTTCATTCGCAGCGGGTTCACGCGCGCCTACCACGCGCTCTCGGACGCCGAGCGCCAGGACCTCGCCCGCCGCCCGTCCCCGGACTTCATCGGGCTTGAGGCCTCCGAGGCCGCCGTGCGCTGGCTCTGGGCCCACCAGTTCGCCGCCGTCGCGGGCGACGCCCCCAGTTTCGAGCGCGCCCCCATCCGCGGCGCCCACGCCGACCGCCGCTTCAACCTGCATGAGTGGGTGCTGGCCGGGTGGGGGTGTCCCATCGGGGAGCTGTTTGATCTCGAGCGCTTGGCGGAGCATTGTCGTGAGACGCGGCGGTATGAGTTTTTCCTGGCTAGTGTGCCGTTAAAGGTACGTTCTTTTCCCTTTACTATGTGGGGGAAGGGCGCAGTCGAAAGAATTCCGAGTCGACTGGAGTTTCTTGGGCTAATTCGAGGGGTTTTCTTTTCTCTAGGTTGTTGGAGGCGTAGCAACTCCGCCGAACTCGGTGGCTATTTTTTGATCCTGTGGGGGTTATAATTCTATGCGAGTCCGTATTCGCCGGCTGGATGATGTATATGATTGAAAGATATCAGAATTGCAAGTTTGTACATAGTGGATTGGAATGATGCTGGCACGTTCGTGATTTGCGACCGTGTATGTGGAGATTAGAGATTATGAGATGTTGCCCGGTGGCAAGGTATATAGCATAATAGTACAGATCGAAGTAAAAAAGGCCATTACTGTCGTTATGTGGCCTTCTCAAAGCATGGATAACATCCCGCTCTAGAGTCTCCGTGGGTTCTCGTCATGGAAGGCTTGAGGTGAATCGACGTGCCCGTGGGGACCAGGAATGTCGCGAGTCTTGAATTCTGTATTCTCTCCGTGATGGTAGCTTCGTAGTTGATGGGAGCAACATACACCCTGCAGTCGCTGCAGTCGATCGCTCGACGATTGACCGCGGTCGCGTTTCATCCATGTTGTTTCACGCTGAGGTCTGGTCCAGGCCGGGTGTATGGGTGGCGCTGTTGTGGTCGGGATCTGCATAAATGCACTGTCCAAGCGATAGGGTGGCTGACCGAAAGTTCGACTTTCTCGAGGAAAGCACCGCATAACCTTGTGTCGCCACCGAAATATGCTTTGCACGAACTTGGAGTCAGGTCAAGATATTTGAGCCCCAGTTAGGCAAGAGGCCCTGCGTCGACCGATTGCGACCGTAGTAGGTGGTTTTAACCGAGCCCGAACGGTTGGAATGGCGGATGGTGGTGGGAAGTCATTCTTCGAATGGGACAGGATGGGGATGGGGATGTGATGTATAACTGCAAGCATGGTTGCCGCAATGGCAGTCTGCCATCAACGGTCGCATCGCCTACCCAAATCACGGGAGTCATGCGCCATGTTGATTTATGCCTCAGGGTCGAATAATGCTATTTCTGTGTCGCTTTGAGGGGCCTATATCGCTAGGAGTCGGTTCGTATGCGCTCTCCGTTGTGACTTCGATCGTCGTGTGCTGCATGACTACGCCCATGGGTGCCAGCTCAAGGCCCCCTTTGCCAATCATCTCCTCGGTTGAATCACTTCGACCTCGGGTGATTGTCGTTGACGTCGGTCCCTTCGGATCCGCGCTCATGGCATATTGGTTTGCGGCCGATGACTTGTTTCGCCTGCTGGAGAGCTTGTTGCTGCTTCCCCGCGCCTCGGATTCCACCACCACACTTCGGCGGGTCACGACATACATGAACGAATCGCAAAACCCAGAGCATGCCATAATAGATCCCGCGAAACAGAAGTAGAGCACGCTTGGCGAATGACCCCCCGCGGACGCCATGCGACCGGCCGCCAACGGCAGGGTCAGGCAAATGTAGACGACGGGATAGACAGCCATGTGCATGATGACCCTTTTCAGCCGACGCAGACTCTCGGAATTATGCTCGCCAAGGACAGCCGCTTCGGACATCTTCTGGCGCAGTTGGATGAACATGATTGCGTAAAGTGAAACCGTGAAGAATTCGGAGGCGAAGATCCAGACGTAGTGCGTCCAAAGTCGCATGTTTTCATATTCAGGAGTCATCCAGCACTGTCGAGAACGAAGTCAGCTCATAATTCACAAGGATCATCCACAAAAAGAAGGACGCAGGGACTGACCCAGGCCACCGCAGGATACCACACGTATCGTCCGTGTGCAGCGATAGGAATAATGGTCATTACCACCCCAAAGACCCAGAGACCAATCACCATGCTCACAAAAACTCGGTGTTCCATTTGATAGTTGAGACAGACATGGAGGAACGTGTGCACTGCAATGGCCAGGACGAAAAGACCACTCATTGGGTCGCCGATCTGAAGCCCCACCCCCTGCAGGAAACACGCGGCATCTGTCGCTCGCACCGCATCGATCGCAATCCAGCGGAGAGACATGATGAACCCGAAACTCTGCAGGAAATCGGCCAAAATCAAGTTGAACATGAGCACGACATACTGATTGTAGCCAATGTATCGCCGATAGTACTGGCGCCAGAAGATGAATCGATATGTAATGAAGCTCAGAAGCGAGAAGGTCGTGAGCATAGAAAGCAAGGCGAGGGCAGAAATGACGATCAGGCCTTTCTGCTGCAAATTGGACAGTGGACTGATCACTGCGGAGCCTTCTTCCCCACGTGAGTGCAGGGAGTGGCCGTCTCTGGCCGGGCCAGCGCCCAGAAACGACTCAAGTGCGATGGTCAGCATGACAAAAGACGTTGAACAGGCAGGGTTTTTCCCGCCGTACCATTTGGGGCGACGTTCGGGCTATATAATCGAGGATTTGCCCCTGGGTACCTAGCATTGGTCATGGCGCTGTGTGGTGGATAGCAGGGAGCTTCACATAGAGCAATGATCGGAGGCATAGTGCACCATAGTAGGCTTGTCCAACCCACACGTCAAGGTGTGCAATTGCCGATACGGGCTCGGGCGTGGACCGAAAGAAGTTATCATCCGCGACGTGGTGCGCGTGGAATCTCCACCCCGTCCGCCTTCATGTTACCTTGGCCCATCTTGGTGGATTAGCCTCTAGCATGAAGTGAATGGGGATTAGAAGCAGTTGGACTAAGCTTTGGGCTTGCCAATTTGGGACTCTGGCCCCTGGGACATTCGCCATCCCGACACAAAGGGCGGACGGTGTGCAGACAGGCAGCACGTTCTGTTTTTCACTAGTACTACTCTAGTATGTTAGCCAGCGCCACGCGGCTTGCTTTGAAAAGCTTGACAAGCCCTTGTTGATCCTGGTAGGTCAGGGTCTAGCTAGCGCTTTGGTGGCAACAACTTTTCGACTGAAGCTCCCGTGTTTAGAAAACATGACTCGGTCAGGGGCAACGTGCTCAGCCTGATTGGAGGGATTCTGCTAGGCTGCAGGTAGCAGAGCTCGAACTTCACGCCTCGTCGTCTAGTTCGTGGGAAGCAAAAGCACGTTAGTAGTCTAGCCTAGGTAGCAAATTTTCACTCCCTTTCCAGAAGGTCCAACTTACGCTTACTCCACGTGCGGGGCGCCAGCCAAGGTACGGACTACTCCGTACTCATGGGTATTTTGGCACCACCCACAAGCCGCGTGCTTTCGGTGTCGGGGGGGGTCTGATTTTTTATCAGTCTTGGACTCTTAGTCAATGATTATAGAGAAATCTGGTTTTCAGTACCATGGCATGCGCGAGATAAGGCAGGAAAAGTTGAGTAAATGAGGAATGGAGGAGATGAAGAAGTTGGTGTTTGGATTCGTCACCGTTTGTTTGACCTCGTTTCAAGTGCCGATGATTCTGCCCGGAATTACCGCCCCAAATGACTCGACTGGCTCGATGGACGCGACCTCGTAAGACGTTTCTCTGGTCACTTGTTCATGATGTAGACCGATTGATGGCCATCATCATCGTACAGCCTCATTCTATTGATTCAGCTCAATTGAGATCATGGATGTGACCTCAACGGCTTGTACCAAAAGCAATCTCCCACCCGCACGCAGAGGAAAGAAAGGGGAAACCTCGTCACGAGATAACACGAACTCGAAAGGAGTCGCTGCGATGGTTACTCCGTCCTTCTCCCTTATCATAGTGAGATAGTGGGGCCTGGAAAGATTAACTTGTCGATCATTTCGCCGGGATGGGAGCTCCGGACATCCCCCAATGCCGCCGAAATGGGGTGCTATAGGTATTTTACAGGTAAATGTGTACAGTCGGAAAGGTGGTATGTGGAGTCAACAATCATGATCCAAATGAACACGGCTCTATACGAGCACATGGCTCTCCACAATGCGTTCCAGTTCTTCTCCATGGACCATCAGCCGTCCTCCTTCAGCCCTATCAAGATCGCAACCAGAGTTCCTAGCTACAATCCAGTACCACGGAACCACTGCCGCAGCGAGTCAGCTTTACCGAGATCAGCAAACCGTGGATTCGATCCCAACTACGAGCCAAGGCATCAAGCGGGAAAGAGAACCACCCATGGATGAGCTTATCACCTTCCTATCTGGTCGCCATCCACGAGGTCTTAGGGTTCGCGCTCCAACTGATCGGCCTTTGATCACTCTTACTATGCAAAAACCCCTTCGTGATATCTGCACAAGCTTTTGACTCCACCATCGGTGGCTTGCACTAGACCCCCATCAGTTGCTAGTCTGCAAGTCATGCTCGGAACACTTTCAGTTCTCAGGGGAGGGAGCAGCGTGGATTGAGTTTGCTGCTAAGTGGTCCAAGTTAATTACTTCCGATGAAGCCCATCGTCATTTTTCTTCGAATTCGTACCTTGGGTAGCGAACAAGACACTAAAGTCAGGAATTAGGGGCGAAGTCAATCATAGCTAGTACCTCGAAGACCAAATATGTCCTTATCTCATACATTGGATCTCAACGCTTCCGTTGTTACTACAGCTTTTCCCCGTTTTGGAGGCCTAGTGCTTACAATCAAAGTTACTGGCTGGTCAGCCGGAACCCGTGACCGGGGCCTGAAGCAAGTCACCGTGGTTCTTTATTTTATCAAATTATTGGATTTCAAACTAAGATATCTGAAAGGTATCGAAGCCTTGGGCTTGAGAGTGAGATGTCGCCTCAGACCTGGGGCAACTTTGGCGGATCATCTCGGTAGCTCTCTCGTAGCAGCTGTTGGTCAACATGATCGTTAAGAGTACCTTGCTCGTACTGTTGCATCCAGTCATCAACGAATCCTTTGATCGCATCTCGAGAAGTCATATCCTTAAAGGTAAGCTTAATACGCCCTATCAGACTCCAAAGGAGAAAGAACGAACCATTGACCTTGGTCAGGAAATGTTGTTCCAGTTCTTCCCTTTCCAGGGGCGATGTATTTCTGACATATCGGGCTGCGTAATCCTCGTCATCGTGCAACAGTGCCCATCGGATGTACCATAACATATCCGCCTGGCTCACCTCATGCATGATGATACCGGGATAGGACTTCAGACTATCCTGAAATTCCACCTCTCCGCGGCTTGAGATGCAGATCTTGACGTCGAGCGGCCGGGCCAACACCCACTGCTTAAGGTGATCCAGCATCCTGGGAAAGCCTTGCTTGAAGTGGTTCAGACCATCCAGGTATAGCACAAACTTGTCGTCCGTGTAGATGTCGTCTAGCTTCGCAAGCCTATCCCAGGCGAGAAGCACCTCTTCATCATCAATCACACAGGGGTCTTCATCGAAGTCACGCGGATAGGAATCGTACTGCCGTGGAAAAAGGCGCGGGGTCAGCTCTTGCTTGTCGTTAATCAGGGACCAGAGGATGACCCGAAGCATTCCTTGCAGGTTCGACTCACATGATGTCTCCCGCCTGTCGCCCATCCTCCGGAAGAAAATATTCGTCTGCGTCAGGCGCTTGGTCTTGCACCACGTCTTTAGGTGCTTGCGGGCGACCTCCGAGTAGGCAATATAATCAATCATCTTCGTTTTCCCGGAGCGAGGCTTGCCGGAGATGTGAAAGAATCCACTATCCGAGTACTTGAGCCAGCTGGCCAAGGCTTTTCGCGTCGGCTCCAGAGCCCGGCGGTGCTCCAGGGACATCAGGGATGGGCTGTAGTCATCCAGTAGGCACGACTTTTGCTCGTGGTGCATTGGCTTTATGAACAAGGACCAATCGGGGTGAGGCCTGATCCCAAAAGGAAACAACCCATCATAGCTCTCGTACCAAGCTCCGGCTTTCAGTCCGTCACAAACCCCCTGCCAAAATTCAAGAATTCTTCTCTCCCGGGGAGAGGGTGATGATGGCGAGGACATTATGTTCACTCTGTTAGATAGCCCTCTATCGATCTTTTGCGTTTCAAGTTCTCACAAGATGTGCTCGGTCGGATGTGAATTGAAGAATATCGAACTTCCAGGTGTCTACAGCTGTATTTATGGACGATGACTCGCCGTAGGCAGTATATTGACAACGGTCGAGCTGATGGCGATTTTCGTAGCTTGATAAGGGGTTGGTGGGGTTCCCTTGTTTGTAGCCCTTCAACACCCAGATGGAGTAGGTAAGGAGAGCGGCGCCAAGTCCTTTGTGCGCCATAATCAGATCCTTTGTTCCCAGTCGATAAAGGCATGCTCGCAAGTAGACTGCCTGATGATGCATTATAGTCCGCACACTTATGCATCAAATTTGTGCCATACAATAGAATAAAGGTGAAAGTGGTGAAAGGTACGCCGTACCCCGTGTAATTTTCCATCATGGACTTACCACTAAGATGCAGTAAGACGCTTAGGGGGGTTGTATGCCGCACCCCATCAAAATGCTGGGTGCAGTACAGTACAGACTGTGTAGGGGGGGGCCAATGGTCCCCCCGCTCATCATTGTATTAATTATTCGGTGTACTGTACTGTACTGTACTCGTACAATAAGTTAGTCGGCATTTCGAAACTGGTCAGCACTTACGCAGATAGGCGACTTTGACATCCTTTCTGAATTGCACTCTATTGTTGCGCTTATTGACTACCTAGTGCACGTTTCTGGCTTCGGGAAGTGTTCTTAAGATTACTTTCCATCATTCACCATTTCAGCCTGGACCTTGTCCCATGAGGAAACGGGGATTGCTGAACAAATGAGACACTACGTACTGCTTCCCATAGAGTCGAGTATGTATGTAGTCAATTTGAAGGCAGTCAGTCTTGTTCTGGTAGGGAACTCTGTTGCCTTTCTTGGCCGGGGGTAAAGATAGAGGTAGTACCTCCATCACTACCACAGTCATTCCTTACGGTGTTATATGTTACCAGGCAGGATGGAATCTAGTTCCCTAACAGTCGAACATCAAGACGTCCCTGTCTTGAAGTCTGGTGTTCCAGACTAATGATCTTGACCTACGCTTCCGGAATCGAATCATTCATGATGATCAGCAACGAGAGCGGTGATTTATACAGCTAAGCCATGGCAGCATCCCGTCCGAATTCCTCACCAAGATCCTGAGCGATGAAGACCCCTGCAGTACTTGATGCTGGCAGTGACTCCTTGAGCGAGCACGCTTGCGCTGTTCCCATGGTCCTGCGGTCAACGATTCGTTGTTCACGTATGCGTTGAATTGCAAACGAATGTCTTAGCCCGGCTGAGACGGCTGGCTACCTATGGCTGGTTTGCACTTTCATTCTCGTCACCCTCCCCCTCCTTTTCTTCCTCCCACAGTTCTTATTAGCAGAATCATCATCAATACCACCATCGCTATCACTTCACTTCTTATCTAGATCAGCTACATCGCTTCCTATCTTCCTTCCTATTATTCTAATCTAGCCCAAACCTTCATCTATCTCTAACCCAACCAGCCTCAGTCAAACCCGTCGTACTCGGCATACAAAGGTCTGAGTCACAAGGGTAGATCCTTTTTCGATTGTGGCACTTAGTCTCAAAGTCGCCGTTGGTTTAGGGGAAGTGCTTGTAAAGAGTTCCCGAATTTGGCCGACAAGGAAGGAGCTTGATGAGCTTTGGCAGATGAATGCCGTCTTGAAGGAAACTCTGGACAAAGAAAGGAAGAATCTGAGGGCCGGCTCGGAAGACGGCGACTTATTGGGAGTATTCGACCTCTGCTACGGCACGGCGCAAGAGATGGAAGAGATCTTGCACAAGATAAGACCTAACGACGGCAGATGGTCAACTAAAGCTTGGGTTTACCTCTTTTTCAAAGGTCCATTGTTCTCTTACCGTCGGGGCAAGAGGGGTCATATGATGTATGCGCAGCGTCATGCTCTGAGCCAGTGCCTCGAAGTGTTGAACATGTGAGTGCTTAGTCAAGCTTTTATTGCTACTTTATAAGCCCTGAACCATTGCTAAGAGGCTTCGGCAATTAGGAACCACAACTCACGACTCGACGGGAAGATTGAACAGCTCGTTCGAAACGGGCATGATACGAAATTGTCATTCGAGGGTTTGACGGAACAGATCAGGTCTCTGCGCGAGACGTCAACTCTCTTATCGGACAACGATCCTCTTCGGAACCAAATTTCGGAAACTCTAGGGAGGTTGGAGCAGACTGCCTCCCTCATCCGGTCCAGTTCCATTCTTCAAAATTTGCGGTTCCAAGAAATGAAGGAGAGGTACAATTCGTTGAATGAGGCACATAGAGGAACCCTCAGCTGGCTCTTGGGCACAGGTTCTACTGACATCGGTTCAGACCCTGGGAGTAGCTCAATTTGTCAGCCGGGGCAACAAGAGCCCCTGTTACACGAAAGAAAGAGGTTTATCGATTGGTTAGAGACTGGGACTAGAATCTCTCATATCTCCAGAAAGCTAGGCTCTGGCAAGTCCACTCTGATGAAATTCATCTGTGAGCACCCAGAGACCCAAACTCATCTGAGGGCTTGGTGCGAAGGGAACCCCGCAGGGGATCCCGCAGGCAATCCCGCAGGGAAGAAACTTATACGCGGAACATTTTTCTTTTGGAAAGAAGGAAGCCGTACGTCGTCTTGGTTTCATTCGGGCGATTCTTTACTCGATCCTCACTCAGTCACCCGAGCTAGAACTCTTGCTTTTTAAACCCGCTCGTGACGAAGATCTTTTTGACTTCGACTATGCCTTCAGACGACTAATGGAACGCGACGACATATACGACAATCACAGAATCGCCATTATTATCGATGCGCTAGATGAGTGTGACGGCGGCACGGACCGTCAACAATTGACCAAAGAACTCGAGGACTGGGCTTCTTTGAGGCCACAGGACCTCAAGATTTGTGTTTCAAGTCGTGAACACAGCGATGTTGGGCGGGCTTTCTAAGCTTACCCCCGGATCACTCTCCAGAATCACAATCAGCACGGAATCTTAAGCTTTGTGAGGGATACACTAGGAATGAAAGATATCTACATTCAGAAGGCAACCGTCGATCAGAGGAGCAGGTTCGAAGAGCGCATTGCCCGCGAGTCTGAGGGTATTTTCTTGTGGTCGAAGCTCGTCGTTGATGAAGTTCTCCGCAACATTGAGTATGGCTATAGTCTGCAAGATATCAACAGACAGGTTGCGGCACTCCCCAGGGACTTACACGGACTTTTCAATAAAGTAGTTTCTGATGTCGTCGCGAAGGGGCGTGTTGAACCACTTGCGCTGATTCAGATGGCCGCATGCTCTCCAAAACCATGGCCCTTGTTGCGCTTGTCCTTTCTGCCGGACTATCTCATGAACCCGGATTTTGCAAATTGCGACCTCCCAGATGAAAATAAGGATAAGGTTGCCGAGAGAAAAGCGGCTGTCAACGCGTTGATCCACGACTGTCAGGGATTAATCGAAGTACGTCCTTTTTCGGGCGAAACGCCGGACGACGATGTCGTAGTCATGGCTCATCGATCGTTATATGGATACTTTGCGCATTCTGAGCCCAGTCAGAAGTTGAAAACACTCAATCCAGCTTTTGAGGCGCTACATTGTTTATGCCAGGCACTTTTGGCGGAGCTAAGATGTACAGGACACGACATCAACAATTCCGACCCGCAGAATGCGATGAGTGTAGTGGTAGCCTTAGACAGACCATTATCCTTGGGCCCAGGATTACCCTATTATATACAAGAGACTGTGAGGCTTATGGAAGTCTTTGTGCAGCGCTGGGAAATGGTGCAAGAAAAGACAAGGTTTTACAGATTCCTGACCTCCTTTGTTGACGTCTATCAACACATGTTTCCAAGCACCACAGACTCTCGACTTGAATTCTTTCTTTACCCCGCTTCTGGACGATTGGAACGTATTGGAAGGGTCTGCAATGGGCTTTCATTATGTACTCGGGTACTGGCTGCGTGCAACGGTGTTCCCCCTCCCCCTTACGGAGGGCCGGAAACCGAAGACTGGGTCCACTCAACCATGGAGCATCTTCCTTTTATCGTTCTGGTGAACCTGATGATCACTGGGACCGAAAATCCAGAAGCCGCTGTAGGATTGATTGAGCATGTCAAGCTGTATTTTGTATACGGCCTACCCCTAAATGAGGAGACAAATATGCCTCAGCGCCCAATATACCAGATGTCGCACGGGTCTTCGTTTTTTATTTACGCGCTGCTCCACGCCAAACGGATTGATGAACTCCAGAGACTCCTCCCCGTCTTCGGCCTGCTTCTCTTACACGGTGGAGATCCACGAACAAGGTTCGGACTTAAGCTGTATGAGTCAGGAAACCGGCGGCGGCTTGGGCACTTGATTCGCCGCAAGGATCTCTGCACGGACGCCATACAATTAAGCATCAAAAATGAAATTGGATGGCACGTCATTCCCATGCGTCGCAGGGCTGGGACACTGTCGCAACTTCGAGAGGAACTTGGCGAGAGCTTCACCCTCAGCCAGCTGCTGGAACATCTGTTCCCATTCGGGAAAGGGGCCATCGTTTGCGAGATGGCCAAATGGCATCTGACCCTCCCCGGGGATCTCTCCGCGGCCGAGGTGGCTGAGATGAGGCGCCAGCGGTTCGAATCGAAGGTCGAGGAGCAACTGCTCACGCGAGATGCAATTAAGAAATGTTTTGAGGGCAAGGATATTGATTGATGGGAAAAGGCATGGGAGTTAGGCCTCTTCCCCTGTCCCCCTTCCAGGTTGAGGCTCTTTGTTGGACTTCTTTCTGGTCTTTGCTGCCGGAGCTTTGAGATAGCTGATACTCGTGATGGCCATTTAATTGTTCTTGCTTTCATGCTGCTATTCAAGCAGGCTTTATCATCTCGGGAGACTTTTTTTTTTTCGGTTTCTTTTTTTTATTTGTCTCTTGCTTTCTTTCTTATCTCACCCTTGGCCTAATAATTTCCGGGTCATGTTGTTTCTCGGTAACCTCTTTCGGATATTATCGATTCGAATATCGTCAACTTGTGAGGTATCAAGCGTATTGGGAGATTGATACAACAATAAAATGTCGCTTTCGGGTCGGTGGACTGAGCATGGCATGCAGGAGGATGTACAAAACCCAGGAGGTCACTTTCAAACAGGCTCAGTTATCACCAGGCAAGACGATTCTTGTGCTGGAGTTACAATGTATGGTTTTACAGCCCTACTGCCTTCTGTCCAGGGCCGTTCTGCCATGCTCAGGACGGACTCCCGGCCCCTAGTCTCTGCGTAGAGGTGAGCCAATGATCCCCCCGGCCCCGGCTCACATCAAGCTACCGAGTAACATGAGTGCAGCGGGGACTGAATCAGCTCGCATGGCACAAAACCTTTAACTATGTATTTGCAATCGCAATCGCGATCGGCAATCTAACGTAGAGATGGGTCAAGAATGTTGATGTGCGGGGTTTAGGATGAGGCGTTGGCAATCATATAGTTATACTGGGCAGTAGTTATATCTCATCATATCTCAAACTCCGCCCCAAAATTGCCTCTGGTCCGTGGGCCCTTTTATCGTCTTGCACCGATCATCGTTGCACTGCCTTCTCCGAAGCTGTTGATGACACATGTATGTACGCCACGGAGAGGGGTAATACGAGGGTAGCTTATCATGTTCACCATATAGTTACTGTACCTGGGTTGATAGAATCGAACAGCACGGGCACCCGTTCGACGTATAAGTATGGTAGAATGCTCCATCGTCGCCCATTCTCCAGGTCTACACCCGATTAACCCAGATAGCAACAAGCCCTAGCCTTGCCATCATCGTGAAAAGCTCACCTCATCCCGAGCATCGCCAATCCAAGATGTCGAACCTAGCGCTGGTGGTGCATGGATCCGAGCTCCGACAAGAGTCGATTGCCATCCCCTCGCCAGCCCCGCACCAAGTCCTCGTCCGTTTGTCTCACGTTGCTCAGAACCCGACCGACAGTGAGCAACCTCCCTCCCCCACCTTCGTATCTATCATACCTTCACCCTAGAGGCATCTCGACTGAACCCCAAACCAGTCCAAGCCCTCGATGGAAAAGCCTTCGGGGATGGAGCCGTGCTCGGCTGCGATTTCGTCGGCGAGGTCGTCGAGCTGGGCAGTGCCGTGACCCGATTTGCCAAGGGTGATGTTGTGGCAGCTTTGATCTGGGGTGGTAAGTCAACTTCTCCATCCAACCCTCTCATTTCGAAGACCCAAAAGACCTGGCGAGAGAGGCTGATTTGGGGTGAATCGCAAAAAAAAACACAGGCGAAATCCCCGGTCTCGGCGGGTACAGTCACTACACGTTGGCCGACGAACGCATCGCCTTCAAGCTGCCGCCGGGGGAGGTGATCTCCCGCGAGGAAGCGAGCACCTTGCCCTTGGCCGCCGCGACGGCATGGCTGGCTCTATTCGCCAAGGGGTGTCTGGATATTGATCGCGATCGGTGCCAGGGGAGGAGTGTGCTGGTCTGGGGTGGTAGCTGTGCGTGAACGCCCACTTTCGAGGCTAGCAACTCTTGACAGAGAGCCTTATGCTTACTGACGAGTGGACGGACGACCATGGGTAGCGAGCGTCGGTCTCTACACCATCCAGCTCGCCTCCCTGTACGGCCTCGAAGTAGTGGCCACGTGCAGCCCGCGCCACGCCGATCTGGTCCGCGCGTCCGGCGCCTCGCACGTCTTCGATTACCGGGCCGCGGACGTCGTCGACAAGATCCGCGCGGTCGCGCCCTCCCTGCAGTACGTCTTCGACACGATCGGCAACGAAACCTCGTCCGTGATCGCCTCGCGGGCGGTCCAGGCCGGCGGCAATGTCTGCACAGTGCGGCCGGGCAAGACTTACAGTGAGAACGTCGCGCCGGGGGTCCAGGTGACGAGTGTGCTGGTGTTTACGGCGTTCCTGAAGGACCATTCCTATGGGCCGTATACGTGGCCGGTGAGTCTGCTTGTTCTATGTGGTTGCGGCGGGGGAGAATGGGTTTGAGGGGGCAGTTGTTTGTGGATCGATAGACTGATACTTTGTCGCATTGGGGAGGGTAGGCATCCCAGGAGGACCATGAGCTGGCCAGTGAGTTCTTCGACCTTGTGCCAGATCTACTGGCGTCGGGGAAGATCAAGCCGAGTCGGCCCAAGGTGCTGGGAGGACTGGAGGCTGTGCCGGATGGGTTCCAGGAGTATCGGGATGGGAAGATCTCGGGGTATAAGATCGTCTATCGGATTTGATGGCACGTGGATCTAGGGTTGTAGAGAATAGTTGTGGACGGGAGTTGTAGATAGGAGAATATGCTCGATGCTCGAGGCTCTAAGCTCTAAGCTCTAAGGTCAAAGAAAGGCCTAGCGGGCAAGAGGAGATTGAGACGTGAGGCCGATGCGGAAAAAGCAAAAAACGACAGCAGTCGGATTTGAACCGACGCCTCCGAAGAGAATAGATTTCTAGTCTATCGCCTTAGACCGCTCGGCCATACTGTCTTATGTGATAGATTGCACCATTACGCATCTTATGTACCTGCGTCATACTGACATCTATTGAACTAACTTCCGATGTTTAATTTGACTTTAGCCGGCGCTCAGTTGGCGAGTGCGTGCCTACCCCGCAACGGTGATCAATTTAACTTACGGGCTTACGGAAGCTATCGAGCGTGGCTTGACGCGAAAATGAGCAGTGTCATGTGACGAGGCCTGAATTGGGCCTCGGCAGGCCACTCGACGACCCAAAAAGCAAGCAAACAGTCCTATTGTAAGCAACGTGGAGGAGGACCAAATTCGAGCCCTTCTCTTGAGTTGGTGAAACTCTTCTACGGAGTTGCTCTCCGTTTCAACAAGTGGTTCTGACTTTTCGACCTGAGCTATCTTCACTGGTTGTTCTCGTTAGCCATCTCATAGTAGTGTCGTGCAACATCTCTTCACACACCTATCAGCTCAATAAAAGATGCTGCATCTATTGGTGAGGCCTGGCCTTGCATGTCACTCCAAGTTCATGGATAGCTTAGTTCTAGCCTATGGCCTGAAGACTCAAGCTCGGATAGAATTTTGACTTAGGATCGTCGTCCGTACCACTTTCTCGTCCCCGGAAACCCAGCCCAAACAGCCGAGGGTGGAGATCTCCAGAATCGCAATGGTTGCCTGTTTGAGCGACTGCGAAGGCATGTGAACTGGTGGTGATGTCTCTTTTAATGGGCGCGCGTAGCCGCTGGATGTGATTTCGTCCATCATGGAGCACTACAGCCTGCGTCGTTACCATGAATTTCCAACAGTCGATCTCTCTCGCCCAATCCTGGTCTCTTTCGTTTTGGGCTCAGCTGCCTGAGCTTGTACGGACTGCCCTTGACCGTCATCCGGTCATCCCGCTAGCCCTGAACTCTTTGCTCGCTATTGTTGTCCTGCGGTATCTAAACCGCGCCCTCACATCGTGGTCACTGGGGAACTGCTCCGCCAACAGATGGAATCCGGATCGTGAGCTGGTCCTCATCACCGGTGGCAGCAGTGGCATCGGCCAGCAGGTCGTCCTCCAGCTAGCCGAGCGGGGCGTGAAGTGTATCATCCTCGACATCCAAGCACCTACCTATATTCTGCGTATTCAGCCCCTAGGCCTCATCAAGTCTGCCCTCCAGCTAATATTCTTCTGCAGCCAAATCTGCTCATTTCTACAAGACGGACATCACGTCCACCGACGCGCTCCACGCCACCGCCGAGCAGGTGCGCGCCGACCACGGCCACCCGACGGTGCTCGTCAACAACGCCGGCGTGGGCCACGACGGGACCATCCTCGACGAGCCCGAGAGCAAGATCCGCCAGACCTTCGAGGTCAACACGCTGGCGCACTTCCTGACGGTGCGCGAGTTCCTGCCGGCTATGCTGGAGCGCAACCACGGGCATGTGGTCACGGTGGCGAGCATGGCCAGCTTCGTCGCGCTCGGCGAGATGGTGGACTACTGCTGTTCCAAGGCCAGTGCGCTGGCGTTCCACGAAGGCCTGGGCCAGGAGATTCGACACTGGTATAAGCGGCCTGGGGTGAAGACGAGGTATGCGGGTTGGTTTTGCTTTGCTCGTTTGATGTCTCCTTTTGCTTGTCGCAACTCTACCTCGCATGGTTAATGACAATCCGGGTTTAGTGTCATTCATCCGTATTGGGTCCGGACACCCATGATTCAGCAACTGACCGACGCTGGCGATCTGTTCAAGCAGCCGGTCATGACGGTGGAGCGCGTGGCTACGGCAATTACGCGCCAGGTGGTGTCGGGCAAGAGCGGGCAGGTCATTCTCCCCGAAGCCTACTCGGTTGCCAGTATGGTGCGGGCATTTCCGACATGGTTGCAGGAGCATGTCCGGGGACTCTCTTCCAAGGATATTCGACGACTTCGGGAAGCGCAGAAGTGAGAACAAATTGCTGGTCAATTGCTGGGTTGAGAGGGCATGAGGGGTTCAGTTCGAGGGGTGGTCAAGAGATTGAGGTCGGCTTCGAGGAGGATCTGTTGTGACCCAGATTTCATGGCTGAATCGATTGATTGTCCTCCGCGAAGAGAGATGTTGCTGGGGACTACATGTGATGACTTGCTCGCCATGGTAATTGTGAGTCTGTTTTAAGCTGTGAGGCAGAGAGTATTTCTTCTCCACTGCCTCGACCAAGCCTCTATTTCCTCTCTTTTTTTTTTTTTTTTTCAACGGCTCTTTCGCAATAGTTAATAATAATGAAGTTCATATCAGCACATAATCTGACCATCGGTGAAACCATACCAAGGCGGTGTCCGACCGGGGGAAGGGATGGTCCGATGGATAACTCATCCATTCATTGCGTGCTGAATGCTTCCTGATTTCTCAATCAGGGCACGATCGGTTCTTCCGCCCGTGTCTTACCATGACGACAAGTTATCCGGTTTCGTCTCGCTCTTTCCCAGACTACCAGCCGATTTAACTGGGGGATTTGTCAGTCACGACACTGTAGGTTTTTCATATTTTGTATTTTGTATTTTGTAGTTTGTTCCATCAACTATCTTTCCACCTTGTCTGTTGAGAAACTGTGCCTGAAATATCCACACTCATTTAATCGCCATGACCAGTAATCACTATTCATTATCAGGAGATGATCTAAGCCGATACCCTGGAGCCACAACCACCCAACTTCCCAAAATCGACTTCGACGAACCCCTTCACCACGCCGGACCACCACCACCCCCAGGCACCGGCGAAGGGCCTCGCCGCAGCAACAATGCGCCCGTGCTGGAGCATCGCTGGTACGATCCCCGTGGCTGGTCGACCCGCAAGCGCCTCCTCGTCGCCGCCGGCATCGCCATTGTCATCATCATCGCGGTAGTCGTTGGCGCCGTCGAAGGCACGAAGAAATCCAGCAGCTACCCGGACTACTCGCGCCTGAACTACGAACTGGTCGACACCTACGCGGGGGCCTCGTTCTTCGACCGCTTCGAGTACTACTCGGGCGTCGACCCCACCGACGGTTTCGTGCAGTACGTCAACAAATCCACCGCGCAGTCCCTGAACCTGACGTACGTCACGCCGGACGCCTCGTCGGCGGTGCTGCGCGTCGACACGGCGGACCGCAACGCGAGCCACGGCCGCCGCTCCGTGCGCCTCGAGTCCACCACCAGCTACGACACGGGCCTCTTCGTCTTCGACATCCGGCACTCGCCCTACGGCTGCGGCCTGTGGCCCGCCCTGTGGCTGACCGACACGGTCAACTGGCCGGCCAACGGCGAGATCGACGTCGTCGAGACCAACAACCTCGCCACCGAGGGCAACGCCGTCACCCTGCACACGGACGCCGGCTGCAACATGAAGAACGTCAAGCGCCACCAGACGGGAACCGCGAATTTCGTCACCTGCGATAACAGCACGCACAGTAACGCCGGGTGCGGGGTGCAGGGCCCGCCGAGCACCTACGGCCAGGAGTTGAATGAGAATGGCGGCGGGGTATGTGGCATGCCTCTTCCTCCCCTTATGCTTGTCCCTTTCCTCTTCGTCTCCAACCAACAGAAACAACAGGTCTACGCCCTCGAACTCCGCGACGCAGGCATCCGCACCTGGTTCTTCCCCCGTGCCGCCATCCCGGCCGACATCACCTCGAGTACCAGTAGTACCTCCACCAACACCTCCACCAATACCTCCGCGACCCCCGACCCGTCAACGTGGGGCACCCCCCTGGCCGACTTCCCCAACACCCAGTGCGACATCGCCGCCCACTTCCGCAACCAGAGCATCATCGCCAACATCGACCTCTGCGGCGAGCTCGGCGCCCAGAAGCAGTTCTACACCGACCTCTACCACTGCCCCGGCCGGTGTGTGGACTTCGTGCGCAGCCATCCGGATAATTTCACCCAGGCGTATTGGGAGTTTGCCGGGTTTTGGGTCTTCCGGGCTACGTGATAGATAGATCATAGATTTGACTGTATGTATATATGTAGAGATGTAGATAGACTGGATTAGAAGGATTGTGGGATTAGCGGGGTTATGGGTTGGTGTTTCACACGTTCGTTCTATGGGTTTCGTGCTTGCTGGATGAGCGCTCTGATTATGCGTATTTTCATGTTTGTGAAGAAAATCGATTTTTCTTGTTGCGGGGAAGAAGTGATACTTTGAGTCCACACACTAGTCTTTGAACTCTGACGTCGGATGACAGGGTGGAAGTGAGGTGACATTAGAACATCCGTATACTTATGCTTTACTGAGCAACCAAGTCCAACTTTCACGTCAAGTCGTTCATACATCATAACGCACAACACGAATCAAATCACCCGATGTCATACCCGGGGTACCCCGACCCCGGCCCCGCCGAGACCATCGTCGAGTATCCCGGCATGTACGCCCCCGCCCCGGCCCCCGCCATGTACGGCGCAGGCGACGAGATCAGGCGTCGCTGGATGGTCTCCGACAGCTGCTGCATCTCCTCGAACACGGGGTCGTCGCCCCATTTCCTCAGCCCGAACCGCAGGATGCAGTGGATATCTGACAGGCAGGCCGTCGCCCGCGCGTAGAAGTTGAGGCAGTCCTCGCCGTCGAGGACCAGCGCCGACGGCGTCTCCGGAGGCACCGCCGGGAGGACCGGCACCGAGGGACTGAGCGGGAGGTCGTGGTTCTCGGTCAACTCCCGCGTCAGGCGGCGGATCGCCTGCAGGGCGCGGTGCATGTCCCAGAACGTCAGGAAGGGGGACCAGGCCGGGTTGCGCAGCGTTTCTTGGATCTGGCCGAGATACTGCATGCAGCGTTCGAAGAGGACCACGTTGCGGTACTCTCCGACCGCCGTCGAGGGTTCGTCGTTGGGTGATAGGATTATGACTACCGTGTAGAGGAGTTCCAGCTTGTAGAGGACGGGGAAGTGGCTGGGCGTGGTGTTGGGGGTGGCGTCGAACCATTCGTAGGCTTCTGCGCCGAGGGCCCAGGTGGATTTCGCGTACAGGGGGCAGGAGTCGTGGTCGTGGAAGTAATTCCTTGAGTACGCTTCGGATAGAATCTGCCGGATCTTGACCAGATGCCACGCGGGTTCGGAGCTACGCAGGAAGAGATGGCTCTGCTCGCTGAGCATGGAGCCTGCCGTGGTAGAGGGGAGGGCGACATTGACAGATTCGTCGGAGAAGGAGAATGGCCGTTCGAAGACGGTGCTGGCGCCTCTGTCGACGACGTTAGTAGCCTTTCCGTGAGTGCACGCGGGGCTCATACGAACCTGTCCAGAGAGTAGAGGCAATGTAATATACGGCGACGCAGGTCCAGATGTTTGGTCGAGGATTGGACTTCTACCGGAGGGTCCTGGTGCAGACCGAGATCCACCATCACTCGGACAGCCATCCCGACCAGAAACCAGCTCCGGAAATGTTTGGGGTCGAATAGCGAGTATTGTGCGAGAAGCATGATCGCCTGGATTCCTTGGATGGATCCCGGACGAAGGACATCCTCCGCCCTTTGTAACGCCTGAGTGACATATGATAGCGCATCCTGCTGACTTTCATCGCCAATCTCGTACGACAAGGATGCAGAGGAGGTGGCCAGGACTGTATATAACATCCAATGGTCGAACGGCTTGGCGAATCGACCGCCAGACTGATACATTGCATCAACCGAGGTCCAGAAGCTTGTTTCGGCAAAGAATGGGAGTTGAATGTAGAGAGTGTCAAAGTAATGTTGGAGGAGGTGGGTGATCTCGTGGCGCGGTGGAAGTGGTCGTAAAGATTGTTTGGGTAATGGGTCGGCGAGGGAAAGTGACAAGAGAAGGTTGGCAAAGGAGGTGCTCGAAGTGATACCGTGGAAGTCTCTGGAGGTGGCGTTCACGGACCTGACGATGATGAGGTCGTTAATCAGTGGGCGGGGTGATCGCACTCGAAGACAACTCACAAGAATCCAAAATCCCCCACCAGATCATCAATATCCGAGACTTCTTTGTTGGGACCCTGGGCCGCAGATTCCGACGCTGTTATTGAGGTGATCGAGTTCTGGTGCGCAATCCCCCTATTGTCGACGGACAGCGAGGTCTTCAGATGGCGGAGCTCCGCGATCTTCTTCTCCAGCCTCTCGCAGTACCCTTCTAAGGAGGCCACATAACTTCTTTCTTTGCCTCGAGCAAACTCGTCGCTTGCGCCGGAGCAAGTGTCGGACTTGCCCACCCTTTCACATGCGGAGCAGGCAGGAAGCTTCCCGTCGCACTTGATCTTGGCGGTTCGACATCGTGAGCAAGCAGCGACCGGCCGACTAACTTTGAGAAGTGGCTTGTCAAGAAATAGCGTAGCCGACATCTTACCCGTACATGTTACACCGATGATATGACGGAGAGCAGGAGGTTTTGGAGAGAAGGATCGGGTCGAGTATATAGTCTGCTGCGAGCCACCCTGATGATAAAGCAAGGGTGAGCGGCGTTACACAGGTTGAATAGCTGGATGGGCGACACTTACCTAGAAAGCTCGAGTAAGGGCCGACTGATGCAGTGGCCTATTTGAAACGAGAGAAGTCCATGTATGGGGATAGAACGAGGCGTCAGTTGTCTGATTAGTTGGCAGACAATCGACTATGGAGAGACACTGATAAGACATGGATTGGCATGATCGAAGGCGGCGACCGTCAAAGACCAGCGCGGGGTTTGCAGTGTTTGCATTTAGGTCATGTGATGCTGTGCTTGCAAGGTGCAACTGACCCTTGCGGGGAAGTCTTCGTATCAGACCCCGGGCCTGCTCCACACACTTCTTTGTTCAAAGGAACCACAAGAACCACTACGAATTGGTAAGGACACCGGAAGTATCAGACACGTATACGTCCGTCTATCGACAACCACTTCTGCCACATATATTTGGTCTTCACGGTATTAGTAATGCCTAGTCCCTGAGGCATCCTCTTTCACAGCGGGAAATCGTTCCCTTACGGTCGGAAAATTGCCGAGGCACTCATTGGCCGCTGTGGCGCTTGGAGTGGAACAGCTTCTCCCCGCCTCGAGATCAAGCCTGCCTATCAGACCTTCTCCATCACTTCCCCAGAACAAACCCCCAGCCCAGACAAGCCTATAACGACACTAGTGAATCGCTCCTCGCTAGTCAGTGCGGTGTGTGACTGCCATCCACCGTCTCCACCAACTCCTGTTCGCTGTTCCTTCGTCATTCGTTTTCTGCGCCATCACAACACATTCGGTGCCCTCTAAGAATCATGCGCGCTCTCATTAAGTCTACACCAGACACTGGGTGATTAACTCTTCCACTCCCGGCATCATTCTGATCGCCATACTTCTGCCAGAACGCAGAATTCAAAGACACCCCGCTATTCCTCCCCGCACCAATTCTGCGCAAGTCCGACCGGCAGCTTCAACCATCATGCAGCCTCACCAGCTGGAGAAGCCTAAGAGGGCTCCTCGAAAGCACGTCACCACAGCCTGTGTCGCTTGTCGAGAGAGTAAAATCAGAGTCAGTGATTTGACGCCATCTCAAAAAAAAGAGTCACCTAGGTTCCATTGCACATGTGCTGACAATCTGCTGGTTAGTGTGACGGCTCTACTCCACATTGCCAAAATTGCCAAAGGAAAGGGAAGGAATGCAAATATCAACATGGAGATGACAAACGCAAGTATGTCCTCCTCACGCGCTCATCACACACCAGTCAAATTACAAGGCTTGGCTACATGTTATGCACCCAACATATTGGCGGCGGAGGGCAAGATGATTCACTTATTAGTGCCGAGGGATAAACAGACAGCATTATCGTTCATCCGATGGTCTAGCCTGGTCGAGCTGACCATTTTTACTATCAGAGTATCCTTACGTGCTGCGACAGAGCTTTTCTCCGCCAGGATTGATCAGTTATGCCAGTTCATTCATGATCACGGTCTCGAGCCTCCACCGATGAAGGAGGAGGATGAGTCGGGTATGAACAGAGTTCTCGACACTCTTCAAATCCCTCGCGCGTCAACGAAGACTGGCAATTTACTCGCAGCCAATGCGCAGAGCGCATCAACTTTACCCACTGCTACCGATTCCCCTGCCCAATCCACAACCTCCCCTCATTCAACGTCAAATCGCCAGCTCGAAATTGATAGTGCACCTGAAATTTCACCGGCCTCACAAAGCATAATCCCTCACCAGTCGTCTCTACCCGTCACCGATATCACTCGGGAGGCCATGGCTCAGTCCGAAGTCAACTTGGGACTGTCTAGTAACATTAAACCTGCATCGACTTGGGGGTTTACTCTTCCAACAGCGGAAAGCCTGGATGCGCTTTATGCCAACATAGATCGTAGATCGAACGGATCGCAGGACACCAGCCTGAGTCCGGATAGCCTGCAACTGTCGCAAGACATAGCTCAGCAACCCGGGGTGCTGTTGAATCTGGGTTGGAATGATAAGGATGTGGATTCGAACAGTGGCGAGGAAGACGAAGCTGAGAAGGATGTCATTGAGCAGATCTCGCACCGCATTGGGACCCTCAAGCTTTCGGGTGATGGCCACCTACGTTTCTTTGGCGCGACCTCAAACCTCAACCTGGTGGACGTTTCGGCTACACAACAGCATCAGCGTCCAGATGCCCGTACAGTCCGTCATGATGGTCAAGACATCCTGAACCATCTGCGTGTGGGCCAGCACGTCAGTCAAGCGCTGGAGGATCATCTTGTCGAACTCTACTTCACGTGGCAGAACCCCAGTACCTATGTGGTAGATAAGGAGATGTATTTGAACGCTCGGTCGGAATGGAGAAACGATCTGATAGATACACCTTTCTATTCGGAAGTTCTCACTAATGCTATGTATGATTGCTCTTTGGATCGCCACCGCGACGTATTGCTGATTATACTAGGTGCGCGATCGGAAGTGCCTTCGAAGCCCGATATCACCCCACCTTCATCACATTTCCGAAGTCGCTCTCGGAGTTCTTCGCGGACAGGGCGAAAGCTCTCCTGGAGATTGAACTGGATTCTCCCTGCGTTGCTACGGTTCAGGCCCTTGTTATACTGAGTTCCCACGAGGGCTCATCGAACCGTGATGCTAGAGGTTGGCTTTACAGTGGTATGTTGACCACACGAGAAGAAAGAACTTCAGTCTGACATAAGTAGGAATGTCGATGAGGCTTGCCTTTGATCTTGGGTTGCATCTTGACATGACACCCTACGTGGAGAAAGGCGACATCAGTGTCCACGAAGCTGATGTCCGTAAGGTAGCGTTCTGGGGAAGTTACACTGCGGACCAGTAAGTGATGCCGATCCTCGAGTCGGGTACTTGGTCTAACCTTCTTGGCAGCTTCTGGGGATTTTATCTTGGAAGACCGTTCCGTATGAGTACCGGAGATATTACAGTTCCCAAGCCTGCCTCCGACTTGGGTGCTGAGAAGGAAGCTATGTGGCATGCCTACGGCCTTTCAAACAAGTCAGAAGCACTCGAGGGTGGGCTGAAAAATCCCAACGAGTTGATCAGCCGCCAGTTCGCCGTACTGTGGGAGATAATCTCCCCGGTTGGCCACATTCTGTAAGTCGCCGGCACCGTACAACTGCACAAGTCACTGACTCTGGTTAAGATATGGATGCTCAGATATATCCCGTCATGATCTACAGAGACTGTGCCACCGTGTCACAGATGACCTATTCGCCTGGAAGGCAAATCTGCCTTCCAACTTAGATATCGACATTTCAAACGATGCCGCCCCCAAACTGCCCCATCTCTTGGTATTACAGTAAGGGCTTTTCTTCTTGCTAGTCTCGGGTTGAGCAGGTACTAATACTCTCTACGCAGCATGCAATATCACCAAATAGTCATCTTCACCCACCGTCCCTGGGTGTCGAAAAGCTACATCCAGCCGCGTAGCCCCCGTCAGGGCCCCGGCTACCATCATGCGCGAAGAATGTGCATCGAGTCTTCTACGGCCATCGCGCAACTCCTCCACATCTATGAGAAATACTATACCTTTCGTCGCATGAATAGCCAGGTTGTAGCTATGATATTCAGTGCCGCACTGATTCTTCTTTACGTTACCATCTCGAATTCCCGACAAGGTAGCGACAACGGCAATAATGCCGAAATGGTCGCATACCTGAACCTTTGCTTCCGTGCCCTGGACGAAATTGGTCAGTCTTTTGAGAACGCGAAGCGCACGCGGGACTTCCTCGTAAGTCTTCAGCGGCGATGGCAAGCACATATGCGTCGTTCGGGTTCTGCTGTCAAGCGTCAGATGAGCCACCGAACACAGTCACAGAAACCCATAGGACGAACAAGGGACGCAGACGTGTCGAGGAAGAAATCGCGGACCGCAGCGCCTCGGAATCAGGCCGCGATGCCTCTCTCGCTGCCGACAGCGCACTCGCTTACTGCTGCTGGTTTGCCATTCGGCCAACCGCAGGTTATGACTCGAGCAGCCCAGCACATACCAGTGGATCCCGCCCAACAATCCGTCACGGTTCAACCGGGGGATTTCGACTGGATTCGCGATTCGGACCTGCAGCTGCTGTCCGACAATCTTGGCGAGGACGGCTTTCCACCCCTTGGGAACACAAACTTGTATGCCGAGGACACAGCCCTACCCTCGCTCAATGACATCGAATCTTGGTGGGATTCGCCCGAGGGGAACACATTCGGGGGTCCTTCCTTATGACCATAGACTAGACATGAGGAGATCTAACTTGTAATTTCTGTTATTTTCCTCATTCTCTTCCTCTTTCAGCGATACTTTTTGCACATGGAATATCCCACAACATGTTCGTCGAAAGAGTTGATAGGATAGCCATTGCATGAATGCCTCCTACGAGATCACCTGACAGGTAGCCCGAGAGACCAGCAACGATACAATTGAGAGGACTCACAGTCGAAAGCCATGGTATACCGGCGCGTCAATCGAGTACGCGGTAGGACAAAGACCGATCCAGAGCTAGCTATACGAGCAGCGCAGATCGGTACTACGTAGTGGAAAGCAGCGGAAATTGGCGGGCGGGGAAGATTTCGGAAGTGGCGCCGCGGAACCTTTCCGTCCCCGCATAGAGCCAGCGGTCCGGGTACTGCAGCTCCCACCTGATGACATAGGGTAGTATAACCGGGGAAATGCATACATTTACATACTGGTACTCACTTGTAATGTCTTTATTGGGATTTACTTTGGAAATGTGCGACCACTGTCGCGATTAATTCCTATGACTCGGTAAGGAAGAAGGCTGCGGATGAGAAATGTGTGTGAGTGCCGCGAGACGAGTGAATCTACAGCAAGACATTGTGCCAGATGAACTTGGAACCCTTGTACAGTACACTACACCATCCAAAACCCAGTCAATCCTCTCCTGCTCGGTCGTGTGACAGTTTGATTAAGGTAATCCCGCATCTCCGCGACTACCCTTGTTGTATCCCGCTGGAACCGTAGATATATATACGAGCCGTACTGAATACAGAATCCCATCCCTTCCCCCGTTAAGAGAGAACACATTTCAAACCTCGGATCCCTATCCAATACCCTCAAACCACACACCTCACCTCCAGCACATCCCTATCACAGCTCCAGCAACGAGAAAATGCCCGAAATCACCCTCTACACGTACTTCCGGTCCTCCTGCTCCGCCCGCCTGCGCATTGCCCTGCACCTCAAATCCCTGCCCTACACGCCCATCCCCCTCAACCTGCTCGAGGGGGCCCAACAATCCCCGGACAACCTCGCCCGCAACCCGTCCGGCACGGTGCCCACCCTCCTCATCTCCTCGTCCCCGGGTTCGGAGTCCCTCACTGCAGCCCCGATCAAGATCACCCAATCCCTCGCCGCCCTCGAATACCTCGACGAAGCCTTCCCAGCCACCCCGGCTCTCCTCCCGCGCGACCCGGCGAAGCGAGCGCTGGCGCGTACGCTGGCCCAGATCATCGCGTGCGACGTGCAGCCCGTCACAAACCTGCGGATCTTGAAGCGCGTGGCGCCGTTGGGCGTGGATCGCGCTGCGTGGTCGAGGGACCTGATTGAGGATGGGTTGCGCGCGTATGAGACGATTATTGCGGAGGCGGGCGTGAGTGGCACGTTCAGTGTGGGCGATCAGGTGACGGTCGCGGATGTGTGTTTGGTGCCGGCGGTTTGGGGCGCGGAGAGGGTCGGGGTCGATGTTGCGGGGCTGTTTCCGGTGGTCGCGCGGGTGGTGCGGCGGTTGGAGCGGTTGGAGGCCGTGCGGAGGGCGCATTGGGCCAGGCAGGGGGATACACCTGTCGAGTTGCGGGTGGAGTAGATGGTTTGATTTGGGGGGTGGGCGTGTATGTATGTGTGTGGTTGAGTTGCGGTATGATTAGATATCTGGTTCCTGGAGGGTGGGGGAATATTGCCTCAGTTTTATTTGTACGGTACTCGAACTAAGCTACCTAGGATGCTGGGGTATTTGGGTGAATAGGCTAGGCTAGTCGAAGTTCAGCTGAGGCGCTGCAAGGATCTTTCCGATACAGTCACCAAATCCCACATAGTTGCCCTCCGTGCCGGCCTTCCCGCGCAGAACCACCGTGTCGCCATCCTCCAAGAAGATCCGGTTCGAGCCGTCCGCCAGCTGGATCGGGTTCTTCCCCTTCGTCTGCTCGATCAGACTGCCCTCCATGCCGGGCTCCGGGCCGGAGATGGTGCCGCTGCCCAGCAGATCGCCCGTCCGCAGATTGCAGCCCGTGATTGTGTGGTGCGCCAGCATCTGCGGGAACGAGAAGATGAGGTTCTTGGCGTTGCTGCGCGAGATGGTCGTGGGCTGGCCGCCCTCGTTGGTGATCTCGAACTCCAGCGGGATGTCGAAGACGTTGTCGTGCCGCTTCTCGCGCAGGTACGGCAGCACGTTCTGGTTGTTCTCGGGCTCCAGGCTGGCGGTGCGGAAGGGCTCCAGCGCGTCCAGCAGCACCACCCACGGCGAGATGGTCGTCGCCCAGTTCTTGGCGTTGAATGGCCCCAGCGGCACGTACTCCCACGCCTGGATGTCCCGCGCCGACCAGTCGTTCATCAGCACCACCCCGAAGATGTGGTCCTCGGCCTCCTGCACGGAGACCGGCTGGCCCAGCTCGTTGGGCTGGCTGACGAACGCGGCCAGCTCGAGCTCAATGTCCAGCCGCTTGCAGGTGGTGAACGTCGGCACCTTGGGCACCGCGGTGGGGTTGGCCAGGATCTGGCCGTTGGGGCGGTGGATCGGCGTTCCCGAGGGCACGATGGAGGAGGCGCGGCCGTGGTACGCCACGGGCAGGTGCTTGTAGTTGGGCTGCAGCGCGTTGTCGGGACCCCGCAGGAGCACTCCCAGCGTGTAGGCGTGGTTCAGACCCGCGTAGAAGTCCGTGTAATCGCCGATCTGCATGGGCAGGTGGTTGGTCACCTCCGACAGGGGCAGGAGGGCTTCCTGCTGGAGCGACGTGTTGTCTTTGAGGATCTGGGGGAAGGGCGTGTCGGCGCGGAAGATCGACTGGATGTACTCGCGGACCTGGCGGTGCACTGGCCGTCCCAATGCTGCGAATGCGTTCAGCGTGGGTTGGTCGAAAACATTGAGATGAGGTTCGAAAGAGGGCAGCTGGGCGAAGCCGCCCGACGAGGCGAAGGCATTGAGGTTCAAGGCGTAGTCGCCGATGGCAATGGCAGGGACCCGCGAGGCAGCTTTGGCTGTGGAGATGATTCCGAAGGGAATGTTTGCCAACGAAAAGGGCGAGTTCTTGGGGATCTGTAGCCACGAAGCCATGTTGTGTGTTGAAGAAAAAAAGCTGAGAGGATGCTGAAAGGTGGACGAGGAGAGAGAGGTGGTGACTGGAGAAAAGATGGAAGGAAGAGAGCAAGCAAGAAGTAAAGTACGTCTTAATGCGATGGAGGAATCGCGGGGTTGAGCGCCCCCCCGCGGAATTCCCTCCGTCTCCGCTTATCCCCGGCAATTCCATTCCGCGTCTTTCCTTCCACCGACCGGAAGCTGCTGCATTTCCGCTGCCATCTTCCTTCCAACCTGTTTAAGTTATTCTCGAACTCTCCCTGCTTGATGGCGGGCACTCAAAGGCAGCATTATCTTCCTGTTACAGCTGGATTTTGACCTCGCACTGCAAGAGCCGATCCAAAAACGAAGGCCTTCCAAAGGGTTGCACCTCGAATGCGCGAGAATTGGCAATGAGTTCAAAACATCGATTGTCGGTTTCTGGACCGTCTGTGAACTTTGAGAAACCATCTGGTTTTGAGCAACCACTGAAAGAGGTTCATCGGCTTTCTATGGCGTTGAAGACAAATGCTTCTTCAGCTGCGACCAGTTGACTGGAGCAAGAGGCGAAGAACAACAAAGAAACAAAGAACAAATGGGACGGACATCTGTGTTAACACAAATGGCGGCGATACCGACCCCTGTTAAGTCCCGTCCGCACCAATTTCGGTCAAATCTGGTCTAGTGGAAAGCTGCAGTGGCAGTGACGGCCTGTTAGCCTGGTAGCGCGCCTTATCTTAGTGCCAACACTAACTTGCCTAATAACTCGGCTTGCTGGCTGCTCTCCATTTCAGCCTCACGTTGGCACTTCAGACACTCTCAGGGGCTCCTTGATCGCAATCCAGCACAGTATCATGGCTGAGAAGAGGGTTCTACCGTCTAATCGTCAGAAAACGTTTCGCTCGAGATCGAAAACGGGTTGCCGCACCTGTCGGTAGGTATAGCACGGCAATGCCCGGACTCATGGCTAACCCCTCCAGTGTGCGGCGTGTGCGATGCGATGAGTTCCCAGGAGCATGCAACAACTGTACCTCTACCGGTCGGAAATGCGAGTATGACCTATATCGGCTTCCTGCCAAGCGCAACATGGGTCTCCCACGCATCTACCCCAGCCGCTTTCATGGCCCGGCTTTGACCTCCGATGAGCAAACCTGTTTTGCGTACTTCCAATACCACACAGTCTCAGGTCTGGTGGATTTATTCGACTCGCCTCTTTGGGAACGCTACATTCTTCCGCAGAGCTGTGCCGAGCCCGCCGTCTGCCATGCGGTCATCATGCTTAGTGCAATCCATCAGGACGCCGAGTCGAATTGTATGAGACTGTCGGGTAACCGAACAGATGACTCCCATTTGAACTTCGCTTTAGAACACTCCACCCGATCCTCCGCCCTGCTGCGAAGACGAGGCGCGTCTAATGACCCACAAAAGTACCAGGCCGTTATCACGTGCTGTCTTCTGTTTGTGATGGGGGAGCTATTGCGGGGCCAATATGGCAGAGCGGCCATGCATCTCCACCATGGGGTGCAACTCATCAAGGAGGCGCAAGCACAGGGACAGGTAATAGATCCCGACCTTGTCGGCTTCTTCGATCACCTTAATGTTACCGCCGCCTTGTATGCCGCTGATGGACCTGCTCAGAGCATTGACTCAGTAGACGAACCTGAGTGGGTATTGAACGTATGTGCTATCGTTGTACATAGCGTCGGTGAGGCACAGCAAGCATTCACGGAAACGCTCAATTACTCGATTCTCCTGATCGCGTACCTGATGCGCTCAACGCAGGCCGAGATTCTGGCAAAATACGACGATCTGTGGCTCAAGAGACAGAGAATCCTTGCTCGATACGCAGATATTACTCAAGCTCTTGATTCTTTTTGCCAGAAACGCGGCTCCAGGTTTACTCCCAAGGAAGAACGTGGAGCGGACGTGCTTCGTCACCTCCTGCTGGTCCAATACGTCACCCTGAGGGTATTATTTCCCGGAGATTACACCACTAGTCAAATCACTGTCGAATGTGCTGCGCTACTTTCCAGCAGCCTAGCCATCATGAACCAAATCTCGAGAAGCACGACGTTTACCATGGAGCCTGTGGTCTGTCCGGGTTTGCACATTGTGGCCACTCTATGCCCGGACTTGCGCTTGCGTGTACGGGCCATCGAAGCATTGCGTGCCTGGCCGCACATGGAGGGTATGATCAATTCCCAGGTCTGTGCAAGTATCGCGGTCGAGGCGCTGAAGGCGGAGGTGCAGAAGATGGGGAAGGACGGCGAAAGCTGGATTGCTGCTGAGTATCCCGAGGGGAGGGACCGGTTTCTGGTAGAGGTTCTTCAATCAAGCCAGAAGGCTGCCGACTGGGCGCCTATTCGCATGTCGCAGTTGGACATCGGTGATGCTGTACCCTATCCGGAAGACACTGTCGTATTGAATGATATACTTTAATGTTCAAGTTAATAGACCATTTTAGTGAAGGCTATGTAGCTCAACAATACCAGCTTGCATATTCACTTTGCATGGTCTCTTGTTCCCCTTGGAGTGTCCGATACTCGACGGCGTTTTTGCATCACACCATGACTTCATCGAGGGTCATAGCGAGTTCGATAAAGTCTTTCAGAGGTTTAATCTTGTATCACTTGTACCAGGATGCTCGACATGATTCAATCAAGCGAAGTTCGATGACGATGTCTGTCATGCATTTACCCTTGTACCATGATTCTCGATATGATCCCAATCGATGGCACCATGGTTGAAGCTATTCAGAGACTTGGCTGCAAGGAAGAGTGAGTCAACCACCCATGCGGACATGGTTGCATAACCATGATGGTAAGTCTGCTGGAAATGCATTTCCTGATACTATGATGCATCTGAGTCACCGGCCCGACGACCTGAATTCTCCCGTTGAATCTCTCCATCTCCTGAATTTACCCACATCTCCTTCGCACCGTACCTGCACCACCACAAGACCTTAGTATCAGGTAGCATCCTCAACATCCAGTACCTTCAGTACTCTCAAGCACCTTACCACTATCAAGAACATTTCTTACCATCAAGTACTTTCATGCCAGCCTCCCATTTGCTATTGGTATCAGCCAGGATCGCATACTAACCCATCCAGAGCACCCTCAAAATGCAACCCTATGGAGGCGGACAGCTTCCCTGGCCTGCAACCTCCAACAGTGCCAGCAAGCCACCGGCCACGGAGAACCAGAACAAAAAGAAATGGCTGCGATGGGCCATTCCGCTGGCTGTGGTGGTTATCGCCATCACCATCCTGGGTGCCTGTCTGGGCACTCAGCTGAACAAGCACCCGAAGGCGACGCCTATGCGCCTGGGTAATGGAACCAGTGAGTCTCCCACAGATCTTGAGGGCGCAGGGCACCAGGCTGGGGTTGGCGATAACCACGACCACAATCACACTTATGATCATCACAACACCAGTGATGGGGTTCCTCGTGTTGGACTGCCGAGTCGTGGCGTGTCGTCCGGGTCTTCACTGCCTCAGCCTGGTGGTCCTGTTGTGCCTGTTAGCCCTGTGCCTGTTAGCCCTGCACCTGTCAGCCCTATTGTGCCTGTCAACCCTATTGCACTTGTCCCTCCTATCACCCCTATGAGCCCTACCAGCCCTACCAACTCTATCAATGCTACCAACCTTCTTAACGCACCTTCCCCTCCATCCCATAATAAAATCCAAACCCAAGCCCACCCAACCACCTCCACAACAACAAAACCAACCTTCACCATCCTCCCCCTCCACCCAATCACCCCCATCCCCACCCCCATCATTAATAAACCCCAAACAACCCCCCAACCCCAAACCAAAACCAACCCAGTACCCAACCCTAACAACCCACCCCAACCAGCACCAACAACAGCAACAACCAAACCACTAACACCTCTCCCCATGACCACGGCCGAAGAATGCACCACCCTGCACGGAATAACCTACACCTTCTACGGCTACCCGGACAACGACCCGCCGGGGGCCGCCATCGCCTACGAATGCCCCAACCGGGGCACCACCGCCGGCGGGACCGGCACGTACGACGACCCGCTGACCTTCGCGACGGCGCCCGGCGAATTCGAGCTGTGCGAGGTCATCTACTCGCCCTACCTGCAGAAGTATCCCATCCACGAGGACTACTGCGCGAGCTGCACGCGGCACTGGCCGCACATGTGGCATGTGGACGTGTGGCTGGGCGGGGACTCGGTGGGCGCCGCGGCTGAGCAGCTGAGCTGTGAGGCGCGGCTGACGCCCGAGCTGGAGAGCCAGCGGGTCGTGCGCGGGCCGCGGGGGGATTTGCCGGTTGATGGTATGTTTTTCATTTTCATCATTCTCTTTACTGTAGATTCTGAGCGGGGAGAGGGGGGCTGGGGTTAGAGTTGGGTTGGGGTGGGATTAGGGCATAATAACATGCTAACGACCGTTCCGCAGGCACGACGTTCTACGCGGGTGGGTATTCCGCCTGTGGCGTCGAGCATGTCTACCATGCCGCGGAGGCGGGGGATTACTGTTGAGGGTTCCCGAGCGACAACCGGCAAGGACGGGGGCTGGACCAGCGAACGGGTTCAGACCAGGGAACAGGCCCGACAAGGGGGATCTGGATCGGCGGCTGGCTTAGGGTTCTGTTTCTGGGGGACAGTCTGTTGGCCTCGTGTCTGGCGGGGTTGTCGCTGGTGGTGCCGAACTGGGTGCCTGTCCATCAGGCTTTGTCGATCTTGCTCGTGATCGCGGCCATACCCTTGCTGTTTGGGGGCGTTTGGTATCCCGAGTTGCTTGGGGTCATGTTTTGATCGCTTTGGGAGACTTGCTTTGCTCTATGTTTATTCGGGTGTTTGCATGGAGCGTTGTTGTTGTTGCGTTCTTGCGTTCTTGCGTCGTTGGGCTTTTGCGTTTTTGCGCCGTTGTGTTTAGCCCTAACTGATTTGCATGTGGATAAAGGTTTGGAGTCTGAGTTGGAATTGTGTTTGGCTGTAACTGATGCATGTGAAATGAAGTTTGAAGTCTGGTATCTCACATTGGATTCGTGGCGAATCGCTGTAGTGGCAGTAACTGCTTTTAAACCATGTACATAACCCAGGCAATTCGTGAAGATCGTCTGGCGTGCCTCGAACTGCAGGCAGGAGCGGTCAATCAAGTGTAAGGAAGGAGCTTCTCTCGCTGTTTTCAAATCGAAGGTTAGGTGGCTATGTGCAAACAAACATGATTATATTCTATTCTAACTCTATATGCATTTCCTTCGCATGCGTACTGACGAGTCAATGATATCAGTCAACCCAGTCAGAAGCCCAGCCCTAAAAGCCCTCCAACACCTTCCCCCCCTCAACACTAGACACCAGCTCCCGCACCGTCTCAGCCACCAACCCCAACCACCGCGTCACGTCCTCTTCCTCGCTGCCAACAACGCCCAACTGCAACTGGCCTCCCTTGACGAACGAAACGACCTTGACCGGGTACGCCGCGTCCCCATGCGGGTTCAGGATATCAACCGCACACTCCCGTCCAGCGAAAGGCATGGTATCAAAGTCCTCGAAGTCCTGGTGATGCACAATCGAGTCGAATGAGCCGGCTCCTTGCCACGCGGGCGCACATTCCCGTGCGATCTTCTCGAAGCCCACAAAGTCATACGCCGCGGACTCGGCGCTCTGGCACTGCACAGCGCGCAGGAGATCCGCTGCTGTCCACTCGCGCTGGATGTTGATCCGGATCGGCGCGAGCTGGTAGCAAGGGCCGACGACGTTCTCAACTCCGATGAGGTCGAGGGTCCGGCCGGTGGTGACGCCACCGAAGGTGATGTCGCGTGTCTGCAGGAGGCGGGCGAGAGTGAGAGCCCATGAGGCGGTGAGGAGGGTTGCGGTCGTCGTGGCCGTGCTTTCCTGGACAGACGAGAGATCCAAGTCGAGGGCTTGAGTGTGGAAAATGGACTTGGAGGCGGGCGACTTGGGTCCCGTGGAGGGAAGTACGGTGAGCGTCGAGTCGTGTAGAAGGTTTTTCCAGTAGGTGAGAGCAGGGGTTTGGTTCTCCGGCTTGGTGATGTGTGCCATGTACGCGGAGAAGGGAACCTGATCGGTCGCTTGCGAACCGGTGTAAAGGGCTTCGAGGTCACGGAGCAGGTGGGGCAGAGACTCGCCGTCGTATTGCGCGTGCGAAAGACCGAGGACCAAGGCCTCGCGGCCGTCCAGGGCTTCAATGTGGAAGAACTTGAGGAAGGACGAACCCAGAGGGAAGTCGGAGGCAATGTGGCTGTTGCACAACTCGGTGATGTACTGCAGCAGGTCTTCTTTGTCGGCCGTGTGCTGCGTCAGGGGGGTGGCAAGCTCATTCAGCACAACCTGATAGAAGACCGATTCGTGCTCAACAAAAACGGTCCGCAGGATGTCGTGGGTCTTGACGAGGTCGCTGCACGCGCGAAGCAGTCGCTCGCGATCAATCGCCCCCTGATCGAAGATGAGCATGGTGTATTGGATCGAGGTGCGCGGAGCATGCACGGTTGCGCGGATATCCAGCGCTTGGGAGTCGGTCACAGGAAGAACATCCTTGATTGACCAGGAAGATTCTGCCAGCTGAGGACCGATGGTTTGAGACAAGAATTGCTCAACATCCGAACGACGCAGGGTAGAGAAGGGCTGGTAGGACTGAGCTTGCTTGGCCTTAGAGGCCTGATCGACCCTCAACACTCGGGCCGCGTCACCCAGGCGCATGTGCTGGAAGATGTCGGCTACGGACAGGTTATGACCCTGGCTACGAAGACTGGAAACCAGCTTCATTGCCAGGACGGAGTCACCTCCCAGGCGGAAGAAGTTATCGTCAACATCAATCTCTTCCTCAGGCAACCGAAGAATCTTGGCCCAAGCGGACCGTAAAATCTTCTCGGGAGTTGTCAGGTTAGTATGAATAGCAGTCTTTGCCCATACTTCCTTGATCCCGTTGCGGAGCTGTTCCAGAATATCCTGGGGGATCTTGGAGGCCAGCTGGTTGAGAAGGGTGTGGTCACTCTGTTCGCCCTGGGCCGGCAACTTCTCAACCACAATGTATGCAGACGGAGACATGTAAGATGGAAGCGAGTCGCGAATGAACTTGTCGAGCTTCTTCAGAGCAACCGCAGCACTGACGGGAATTGTGGCACTGAGGGTGGCCGCCGACTCGCCGCTAATCTCCTGCGTGGCTGGTAGGATGGAAAGGCTCTCCTCATCGGAAGACGGACGCTCAACCAGAACGACCAACTCGGGTCCAGACTCGTTGAGCGACTGTCGAATAGCTGCAGCGGCGCGAACTGCAGCGGGAAGCTGTCTGTTTAAGTGCAGTTCAATATCGGCAATATCCACAGCATGTCCCTGGATTGAAACAACATTTTCCTTACGGCCAACAAACACAAGGCTACCATCCTCGCGCAGCTGGACCATATCACCAGTCGATTGCACTGTGCCACTGCGACCAGCACTAATGGAACTTCCCGCAATAAGCCAGGCCGGGTTCTCAACAGTTTCGCCAGAGACAAAAGCGCCTTCGAGCCAGAGCTCTCCGACACAGCCAATGGGAGACAACAAAGCTGGGTTGCGAGCATTGACTACCCAAGGAACAACTGCAGAGGGGTACTGCGCTCCCTGCTTGATAGTAGCATCGGCACGAAGTCGTCCCGAAGACTCATCTCGGGTCAGAGGGGGGGTCTTGTTCCATTGCCAAATCTGGTTCAGCTCAACCTCAGGCAGACACGAGATGTCTTCAATGCGGCGCTGCAGGCCCTTAGTCAACTCGACGCAGGCCACTTCCAGCTGTACCAGCATACGCTTCATCTGTGCAACTTCGATCAAGCTGCCGTCAAAGCTAGCACAGACCCGGAAGCCACCCTTGCGCACAGCACATCCCAGCATCAGCGGGTAGGGGTTGAAATGCAGGGCTTCGCGAACAACATCACCCGTCTCAAAGCCCAGGTCACTACCCACGTACTCCGGTTCCAGCTGGACGACCAAGCCAGTACCGGCCTCGCATGCGTGTTGAGCGTCGTGGCTGACCTTGCGGATATTCTGCATGCCCATGTGCTGATAGGGGACACGAGCCAGAATAGTCTGCTGCACAGCTTGCAGATAGGACTCAACCGTACTGGTACGGCTGACATGGATGCGAACGGGAAGTGTAGCAATCAAGGGACCGATGATGCTCTCGACGCCCGGTAAGGCGATATCACGACCGGTGAGCGTTTCACCGAAGACGACGTCGTCACTTCCAGAATACTGAGCAGCCACGAGTGCCCAGGCACCGCGAATCAGGGTCGCCATGGTGAATGGCCACTTCGCGGCGGTCTTCAGTGGGATCATGTGCTCGATGAAGGCGTCGGGAGTGGGCATGAAATCTCTGGACGGCAGGCGAGGGAACTGGGGACCAACGGCACCCTGTAGTTCGCGTCTCCAGAACTCATTCATAGCGGCTTCATCCGTATCGTGCACGTACTTCACAAAGTCGCGCATCTGTGCCTGTGGCTCGATCTGCTTAGCGCTCAGCGCGTCACTGACATCCTTAAGCACCAGCGGCTCAGACCACCCGTCGTACACAACATGGTGGATTGTCCAAACCATATGTTTGCCCTCCTTGGCATCATCCACAATCGCGTAGCGAGCCAGGCTCTCGCCCAGGTTCATTCTCTCCTCGCGATCGTTCTCCAAATACTGCGCCAAGTCGGTCGCATGCTTCCAGGTGATGTTCTCCCTGAGTACCACTTGCTGCAGACCGGGATCCTGCAGCTGCACCAGACGAGTGCGCAGAATAGGTTTGGCGGCTACGGCTTCCTCCCAGGCTTTCTTCCAAGCATCGAGGTCGATGTGCGACGGAATGCGCGCAACTCTCTGTGCCACGTACAACTTGACAGATTTGAGCGAGAAGGTAAAGAGCGACTCCTGCGTGGGTGTGCAAGGATAGATGTCTTCAACTGCCGCCGCGTCAACTCCGCAAGCGGCAGCTGCCTCGCGACAGGCGCTTTCGACATCTTGCGAAATCATCGAGAAAGGCGGCAACTCAGTGCGGGCTTCAGTGTCGCAAATCTGAACGACACTGGCCATTCCTGAGAGGGTAGGGTGCCCAAAAGTGTTGGCGACGGTGAGGTCAAGACCTTGCTCGCGGCACACCGACACCAGCCTCATCGCCATGACAGAGTCACCTCCAAGCGCAAAGAAGTTGTCCTCGGCCCGAATGCCGTCAGCATCCTGCTTCAAGACCACACTCCAAGCCTGGCGAAGACGTTCCTCGAGCTCGGTCAGTTCCCGACCAGCGCCGTTTGTCTCGGCCCCTTGGTCGAGCTGGCGGATGTCGACCGTGGTAGCAAATTGTCGGAGTCTCTTGCGATCAGTCTTGCTGGAAATCAAGACTGGGATATAGTTCACAGGGATATAGACCGTGGGAACCATGTATCGTGGCAGGACCTTGGCAACGTCGGCATTGGCTTCAGAAAGCGTCTTTTGCTGTTCATCCGATAGCTCAGCCAGGCTCAGGTCGCCCTGCTCATTAGCCTTGGAGGACTGGAACG